AAAGAGAAGTTACAGGAAGTCTACAAGAATTCAGACCACACCCTTTACCATTTCCATAAAAACCACCCTCTACGAAATGTGTACTATTTAACTGAAATGCTTGGAATAAAAAATTGTAATTCTTCTCACGATCGATCTGGTATCTTTCAGAGCATTGTCAATTTTTCCTGATTTAATTCCCCGTGATTTTGGGTTTTAAAGGAGCTTTTCTGGACGCCTCGACATCGAGGGACGGGATTCCTGCGATTTCCGAGGCCCTGGGTACCCGAAAAGGGAAAGAAACGAAGGCGGCCGACACGTTTGGGCCCAGAAAGGGCCCGCTAAACGGGACCACCTCGTTTGGGCCCATAAATCAAAAGGCGGCCGAGCCCCTTGCCTCGGGCGCGAATACAGGCCAATGTGATCAAATGCGCCCGAATATACGGGGGAGGACGAGGGAATGAAGATGAATACAAACGAATGCCCGAAAGATGTCCCCGAATAGGAGTCGGCGAGGAGACCCCACGAATCGGACGGTAGGTGGTCCGGAGATCCACCTTCGTCACCTTTCCCTTTCGGGGAACCCGAGACGCCCATTAATCACAGGTTGGTCCGAAAACCGACGAATTCGGGCTAGAACGTCATTATTTTGATTTCGACTCGAAATCAAAATAAACGTCGATTTTCGCTTCGAATTTAAGGCCTCGCGTTAAACGCGAACGAGAATTTGGACTCGACTAAAGCAGAGGAAATACCGTTGCGGAAAATACTGGAAAATACTGAAAAATACAGGGGGCGCCTCCTCATAAACTGCGGTCGAGCATCCCGGTGCTTTCCGGTCGGACTTTTCGATCGTCGAATTGGACGCGGTCCAATTTGCCCGCAACCGCAACTCAATCGATTATTTAAATTCGCCCGACGTGCCCGGCCCCGATCTAACCGAATTTCCTTTCGAATTGGATCCCTTCGAGGCGATTAAAATTCATTTCTGCCGGCTTATCATATTTTTTTAAACATTTCAAATAAATATTCGAGATCCTTCGTCTCCTCGCGTTAGGGGCGGTTTTTAGGACAGATTTTTCGACGGGGTTTTCCCGCGGTTCCCGGTTAGGGGGACACAAGGGGTAGTTTCGGGACATAATCGCGACGAAAACCCGGCTCGTGAGAATAATCACGGAAAAGGGCTTACGCCAGGAGTAATGGACTTATTCCGCTCGTTTTGCCCAGCCCGCCGTCGAAAGAAACTCCCCCGCCATTATTGCCGTCTTATTTGTCAAACCCCAAGAATGCCAGGGTGGACCTGGCCGGACAATGCCGACCACGAATTGCCAGATAAATATCTGGCACAATGATAATCCGCTCGTTTGGGCCGAGCCTTTGTCAGGTCTCGCGTTCGTTTCTCTTTCTCCAGGAAAATCGCGAAAACGAGCGTCCGCGCAAATTCCTCAATTTCGAGGCAAACGTTCTGGGCGTTCCCCCCGAATTTTACGGTGTACTTTAAAAACACGCGAAATAATGAAATGAACGCACAAGAGAGCGAGAATTCGGCTTCGCTGCCAAAACGAACGAAACGATAAAATAAATAAAATAAGTAAAATGGGGAGAAATTCTGACAAATCACTCACGACGTTAACGAAGTCCTGGAAGGTGATGGCGGCGACCCTGGCCTCCTTCGCCCTGGCCAGGAGGATGTCCCTTTTATTGGCAGGAATCTCCGCCCTCCACTCCGCACTCCTCAGGGCAGCCACGAAGTCCTCCACCGGGATCTCGCCGAATCCCTCGGGATCGAACTGCGAATTCCACAGGATCCGATAACCCCTCCCTTACCCTCCGTCCGTCCCGATTAGCCACGTACCTTGTCGAAGAGCATCCGCCATCTCTGAAAGCAGTAATGACGATTCGTCAATTACCGGCCGACAGGTACGGCGAAATCGCTGAATTCGCGTAATTGTAAGCGATGGCTCTCGCGGATGAAAGCACGAGGTTAAACCACGCGTCAACAAAAACCCTACAAAACGTAGGACCCGATCCCTCACCTTTAAAATAATTTTTTTAAATGTAATCAAAAGTATTAAACTTGTCGATAATTACCCTCGTTTCCGGTATTTCTACTTTTTTCTTTCGACAATTTGAATTTCTCTCTTCTAGAGTACTCACGTCGTTGAGGAGCTCCCTGCGGTACTCGGACTCGTCGATGTCACCGTCGATGTCGCCGTCGAGGTCGAGATCGACGTCGATTTCGGAGGCCAGGTCGGTGCGATCGGTGGCGTATCCGTCGCAGAGGACGCCACCGGCGCCACCGGCGCCCCCGGCTCCCCCGGCGCCCCCGGCGACGCTATTCGCAGCGCTGCGGGCGTCCTCCTCCTCGAGCGTGCCGGCGATCGTCGGGATGGAGACGCCGCTCGTCAAGGGCATCGTCGGGCGCGTCGCGGCCGACGCCGGCGTCGCGTCTGCATGCCGCGCGCCGCGCGCCGTGCGCTGTCCGATGCCGGGCCTCGTCTTTACCGCGTCGCGACGTCTCTCACTCGCCGGTAAATCGCGAATCCTTCTCCTCCGAAACGCGGCATGACGACTTAATGCGGAGTCGGCATCGAGTTCGAAACGCTTCTAATGGGACCAGCTGACTACGACCACGTGGTCGGTCACGTGGGCCAAGATGGCCGCCGTCGCGCGTCCCAGCTTCTAGCGCCTCTCCTGCACCGAGAGACACTTTAATTACCACGCAACCGTATTTATCGAGTTTCTTGAGCGGGGGGAGCGGGGGTAGTTCAATATCGAGTCTGCATCGAACTCGGGGTGGGGACGTGCCCAAAGGAACGCAACTATCGTCCGACCGCGTGGCGGGTCAGCTGATCGCGACCGCGTGGGTCAAGATGGACAGGGACTATACCTGTCGCGGAAGAATTGAATTTTATCGAATCGATAATTTAGGGACCTCTGTTCTCTTTCGATTAACGAGAGCGAGAGAGACGAACGAATATTTGTGCAGGTTAGGTGGGGGCGACGCAGGAGTCGGTCACGTGGGTAAACCAATCCGTTTACCCCGCGGCGTTGCTATGACGACGCGACTCGTCGCCGCTGCTTCCCTCCCGCCCGGGGCGCCGATGGCGTCGCACCCCTCCACGGGGGATTCGCCCACGTGGAGAAAGAGAGAAAGAGAGAGATCGTTGACGCGTCCGCTGCGCTATTAACTTTCGGTCGATAATGCAGAGCAGTGCAGCCAGAGCTCAGACGCGTCGTAGACTCTAGGGGGACTCCTCGCTCGTTCCCTTTTCCAGGAATCCCGTGAGCGAAAGATCCGTATCAAATTTTCCCGATATCGAAATTTCTGCCGAATTACGAGAACTCTAGTTTCCGATGAAATCGACAGTTTCGGGTACGACATTCAAATGTGGACCAAAGACGCGACTTTGCAACGATGGGACATTGTTTCACGAGTCTCTGTTCGTATGCGAAAAAATCCACGTATTAAAAAGCGATGAAACAACGTATGAGCGTCTCTCTCCCCTTCCCGTTGCGTCCGAGCTAAGACCAAGATGGCGGCGCCCATGTCCAAACAAGATGGCGCCCCCGTCGCGGTATCGGCCTCTCTCTCGCTGTCCTTTCTCCTGGATCCAGCCCTCTCGTTCCAGCCTCCCTCGACCCACGCGGCGGGTTTCCGCGACTAACTTCAAACGAACCACTCGTCGCGGAGGTCCCGAGGTCGATAACGCGGGGTCGCGTGCCGATAACGCGACCACGTGGCACCCGGTTCACGAGCGACAGCGCCGAGCGTCGCGACGTCGACGGACTCGACGCTACTGACTCGGGAAGGCGTCGCGCCACCCTCTCGCGCTCCCGCTCGTTCGCCGTCTCTCTCGCCCGCCCGCCCCGTCGCTCGCTCCGTCTCTTCCCACCCGCGGAGTGCAGGCGTGCACGCCGCGAGGCGCCCTCGAGTGAGTCACTCGCCCTCGTTGCGCTCGCCTCTTCTCCTGCTCCCTCTTTCGCCCCGCCGTTTTCTCCGTCTTTCTCTCGCCGCGGGGCGCTCGATACACGAAATACGCACACATAGACGGTGTACATCGATCGCTCTCCCCTTCCCCGCCGAAGCCCCTGAACGAGACACCCCCGACGTTTCCCCGGGTCTTTTCTCCCTTTCGCACCCCGCGTCTGATAGCCGAGACGACCGACGTCGACGCCGGAAGACGCGTCGAGTGACTCGCTCGGATGATCCCTCGAGTTATTCCTCCTCTCTTTCGTTTTAAAGGGATGTGAAAATTCACGAGAACACAGGAGGAAACGGAGGCTAGCTTCAGCGATGAACGTGGATTTATGTTACAATAAAGGGGAGCACGTTGTAAATTACATTGCAGCTGGATCATGCGGGAGGTATTAAAAATTGCGAAGGTAATTTATATCGAAGGTGGAGGACTCCGAGTTTCTCGAAAAGTTTACGGGTTGAATCAAACGAGGGAAACAACTCGTATTTGAAGCAAAAAAAGAGAAGAAGCGAATGGCTGCGCCATCTGCCGGAGCGACGGCGCACTACGTACTCATTTGGCTGACTCGTGAAAAGCTTATCTACTGTCAGACACGAGTGGCGCCATCGCACGGAAAATATCTACACCTCGAGTAGTTAACTCCGTAGTTTCCTAACTTATCCGAGAAAGGGTACTTTACCCACTGTTTCCTACCTTATCGAGAGATGAATGAACAGAATGAACAGAAAAATGAATACCTTAATCGACGAGAAACAATGTCCGAACGACTTGGGACATTGAGAAATAATTTCCTAGCGATAACCAATTTACACGGTAAAGTCGCGGTGGATCTTTATTTACACGTTACATCTAAATCCTACAAACAGTCGCAGGGGGGATAAACCTTACGATCCAGAGATCATCTAAACACCCGAGTGACCGAGTCCCATCTAGTCACCTATCAGCCTTCCAGATAATTAAATAGTTTAATAAATAAATAAATAAATAAATGACCGCATCTCCCCGGCACTTCGCTTCCCAATCGAGTCTAACGTGCAGGCGAGACGCATTCCCCGTAATGGAACGGTCTCCGCTTTAGTTTTCGGGAAACGTTCCGGTCGGTCGACTTCCTCCCGTCGTGTCCCCTCCCTAGAAAAATCCGAAAAAGCAAAACGACGAGATCGCGATCGGCAAAATCAGGCGGTCGTAACAGGAGGAGGACGCAACATCGATTTCGTCGCGGATGACAGTTTTTGTGACACCAAGTGTGCAATATGCGACGACCTCTTCCAGACAAATTCCCGGGTCCTGTCGTGGTCGTCGGCACTCTCCACTCGTACCTGAGAAGTAAGAAAAAAATTAGGAACGAGAGGAATAATTGTTTCCGAATGGAAAACCATGCCCCATGTTCCTCGACCTTCCCGTCATCCGATTTTTTTAAAACAACTGCCGGCATCTTCCTGTACCTGTTTCGGCTGCAATACGCGAATCGACTGGAGAGTCGCCGCCCCGCCATGGAGCACCCTAAGGCTCAATTTCCCGGACATCTCCGCCGTGGTGGCAGTGGCGCTTCTCAACTCCTTTTTCGCAGCCCTGCCGAATTCCTTTTCGACCTTCAACACCAGGGGACCGAGGTTGAACTTGGTTTTTATGGTCGTGTGGTCGCTCATCATGTTCACCGAGACATCTCCGGCTCTGTGTAACGAAGCCAGTCCGTAAAGCGTGGCTCGAGCCTTCGGCTTGCTCTTCTTCGTCTTCGTCTAGTTAACATACATTCTCACGAATAAAATAAGAACTTAAAATAAAGAGTCCCCCAAAATTGCGAAAAAAGAAGACCGATTACTTTGTCCTTTGGCGGCTTGCTCGCATTCGGCGTCTTCGTCTTCGTCTTCGTCTTCGTCTTCGTCTTGTTACTCTTGTTGGGGGTCTTCTTGGTGCCGGCACGGTTGGTCGATCTCGAGGTCGCGTTTATCGGGGAAAGTTGGTCGGTGGTCAAAGAGTTCGTCGAGATCGTTGAGGTTTCCCTTTCCATCTGGGAGCCCTAAAGATCGTTCAACGAAAAAATGAACCGTCTCTATCTTTTTCCACCACCCCGCCGGGACAAAAGTTTAAGGAGTGGCTCATTTAAATTCGAGCAATTCCGCCCACCTTGAAGACCTCGTCGACCGAGTTGCTCTCATGGGAATCGATTTTGATCGACTCCTCCGTCCTCCTCCTGGCGTTGCTCTTGCTGCCCTTCCTTTTCGTCTTTTTCTTGTTCTTGTTCTTGTTCGATTTGGTGTTGACGTTGGGGTTCGTCAATTTAACGGTCACAGGGTCGTAGTTCGTGCGCAGGATCTTGTTGATACGGCCCAAAATGTTATCCACGAAACGGTTGTATTTCGCCACGTAAATGGCGGAAACGTGAACGGGCTCTTCCATGGCGCCTAAAAATTGTTTCCATACGACACGAAATTAAGCACACGATCATCTTCCAAGCCACTCGATTCGAGAGATCATCCGACGTAACATAGCATTTATAACTTTTTTCAATTTTTTGACAGAGAAGTAGCGACGGTCGTCTTCGCGTCTTATTAATTTCCGGGCTCGTCACGGATCCCTGAGGCCATTTAGAGATGGCGTTCATTCCGCTAAGGAAGTGGAAGCCAGATCCTCCTTAATGGTCGATCGGAACCTACTTACGCGTCGAGGAAACAATGTTAACGGTAACGACCGGTCTGTTGGAATTCTCACCAAACTGGTACCAGAACCAGGCCATGACCCATTTCCGATGGTCGACCAAATTCGGCGTCCTCCGGCCACCTTCCCCTTAAGGTAAAAACGGCGGCGGGGAAGAACAACCAACGATTCCTTGAATACGAACACCGTAAAAAAAATTAAAATAAAGAAATTATAGGATTCCAAAATCAGCCGCTTTCACCCTAGCCACGTTCCTCTTAAAATAAACGACAGCGCATAATACCTGTCGATTCTGAATATGGGCAGGTAACGCGTGTAACGCTTTACGAGAGCTTTAAAAAAGAGTTAAAAATAAAAGAAAGAGGATTTTGGAGAATCTCGAAATCCGCGACGTTCCTCGCGAAGGCACGAGATTCGATTCGGCGAAATTGAAAAAGAAATTGGGAAAGGAAATGAAGAGGAATGAAAAGGGAAGAGGACGATGGCCCCTCCGTATTTGGAAGGTGGGAGTAGGTCAGGGTCAAGGTGGGACTCCAGGGTCAACGGGTACCGTCTCCCATCGGTCCTGGTCGACGACCTCGTTTCCCCTGGAGCCGGCCTCCGGGTGAAAGCCGATCAAAATTCCGCCCTCGAAACCTCGTTTCTTCTCCCGACGTCTCCTCTCCTTTTCTTCCTCTTCCCTTTATCCCTCTTCCTCGCACCGGAGTGAAATCTTTCTTGGAAACCGGCGACGCAGGAAGTGGACGCGCCTCTTGATCGACTCTCGAGGTAATCCAGGATTACCTCTTAACTCGGAATTCCCCTTTATTTTTCCTTATCCCCCTCGTTCTCGCGAGTCAACGAACCGTCCATCCAGGAGGATCTTTAAATCGCGAGATATCGTTTATTTCTTCACGATTTAATCAAATAAAAGCCTCGATTTTGATGTCTTTTATACGGCCAATTTCTGGCGCCGTCATTTTGAAAAACCATTAGAAAGGAAAGAAGCAGATTTTTCAACTCGGCCAGAGAGGTCGAGTTTTATTCCGTGTTTATATCCGTGGCATGGAAACGAAGAGAGATTCGAATCGATGAGAGAAAGAAAATAAAAAATAAGGCCTCGCCGACTTTCTTCAACTTTCGGCCGTTTCGCGTCGTTTGCATACACCTGTTTCGTCGGAATTCCTTTTAAGGAGAGGTCTTCGACGAGACGGCTCTCGTTACTTCTCTCTTGAAATTGCCTCGAGTGTCCTCGTTTACTTCCGCGTTCGTGCGAGAAAATGCGATTTACTCTCGTCAAATCGAGGGGCTTTTAAGGAAATTGAATAAAAAAAGAACCATTACCCCGAGATCCAGGCAACGTTTAACAAAGGCCACCGCAAGACGCTGCACGACTGACCCGCCATAAATATATAATTAGCGACCCCGAAGAAATCTTCTCTTATCACGGTTTCTCGATTTTATCGAGGCCTCCGACATAACTTATCGAGGTTTACATTGAAGGATCGTCCGATAAAACCGATCAGCCGGTGATTAACGGTGGCCGAGCCCGCGCTTCGATCTGCATCGTGCAATTTCACTTCCGAGGCAGCTCCACTTAGCAAATTATGGGTAAATGGGTCGGACGAAGAGGAAAGGAAACGGTGCCAGACGTGCAGAGTGTCCCAAAGACTACGCATGGTGTTTCCAACTCTACGGGGAATTCTAAATCTACTCTTTGGCGACCACCTCCTTGTCGCGAAAGGTTTTTGGTCTATAGAGCCTCGGAAAATCTCGAGATATGTATTTACAAGGAGGAATGAAGGGTGCAATCGGTTCGTCCTGTCGAGATCGTGATCGAGTCACCGTCAATTCCGTCCTTACCGTCCACCTTGCGGAAGCAGAGTTAGCGCAGAAGCAATCCGATCCCAAAATTTCGCGATTCGCGATCGCTTTTCTCCACTTTTCCTCAAACACGGAGAAAAGGTACTCGAAAATCGGCGCAAGAAATCCCGAGATCGTCGATAACCAAAATTGAGAATAACAACAAAATTTCATTTCGACTATACCTCGGAGAACGGCCAAAGAACGAGCATTAAAACGACGAGGCAATTGTCAAATTCGCCGGGACAAAATTTCATTTACAATTCAATCGATAAAAATTAACGTTCGCCCTGCGTTCCTTCGAGGGTCCGCGAGCGTCGAATTTGACAACCTCGTTTAACAATTGGCAGGACGGCACGTCACGCACAGGAGGAATTTGACAAATAAATAAACGTCCAGCACCGCGGAGCGAGGCGAAAAAGCGTGAGAGAAACATGAGAATAAAGTGGAATAAAGTCTGACACAATTTTGTAAAAACAATAAATTATCTATATTTCGTCAATCCATTGTGGAGAAGGGGGGGTGACTGTACAGTTTCGGGTAATGTTAAAAGTACAAAAAGTTCCTTAACGAGCTTTATCGAACGGCATCGTCAAACCGAGTCATCGACGAGTCCTTATCCCACTCTCCCATTTCTTCCTCGCACCCATCCTTTCTTTCCTTCCATTTTTCTCTTCCCTCCACATTTGAACGCGAACCAAGCACAACGAAACTCGAAATAACGCGACGTGACGTCACCAAAATAACACATTTTAATGCCACCTCTTTCGCCGATAACATCGATACCGAGAATATCGGCTCCGCCATATTGGATCGAATGTCTTGGAATTTGTCATTTACGAGTTAACGAAATGTTGAAAATCGAATCGAAAAATTAGACTCGACTCGACACGGCGGACTCGACAGATCGCGAAGTGCGGACCCCGTCACGGCGCGAACGATACGACCGAATCGATAAATAATCGCGAGAAAAGCTCGCATTCTCGGCCGTCGATTTCCCTCGACGATCGCGAAGACCGAACGGACGAACGTGGCCGGCAGGAAATAAATAAATAAATAAATAAATAAAGTCTACGTCCCTCTTCGTACAAAGAAGTCAAAGGAGGAGGGTAAAAAGGGAGGGGTCCACTGTCACGGATCGTCGACCAAACCCAGAGGACTTGAACCAGGATTTACCATCCAGCACCCAAAACACCCAGACAAGCTCCCTCTACATAGACTCTTCCAGGTTAGACCGAAAGCTTTCTTCCACCTCTCGAGTACCTTTGTTCCAAGGCGTTAGAGAAACCGAACCTAATCTCGACACTCTCCAGAGGAAAAAAAAAATGGAGAAAATTCCAGGCAATCCAGGAGAGTCAAATCAGAAACGAAGGGCCAAGGAGAGCCTCGATGATCCTACGGATCCGCCAAATCGCCCTCGTCCCTCGCAACCCCTTAACGAGAGGTCCTCCCTCTTCGACGGTCGAACCCCCTACTGAGCCCGCAGTCGCGAGTGCTTCTTGGCCTTGAACTCACGTGCTCGCCGCGCGTCCGCGATGTCGGCGATCGAGTCGTCCTCCTCGTCCTCCTCGTCCTCGTCTTCGTCCTCGTCTTCGTCCTCGTCGTCGTCGTCGTCGTCGCCCGTGAGGTCGAGGTCTACGTCGTCCTCGTCGTCATCGTCGTCGTCGTCCTCGTCGTCCTCGTCGGCGGCCTGGGGAACGGCCTGATGAGCCGCGGAGGCCACGGGGTCCGAACCTTCCGCCGGGGTGTTCTCCAAAATGGAGGCCGCCTGACCTTCGGGCACGACCTCGCCGCCTTCGACCTCTTCCTCCTCGTAGGCTCCCTCGGAGTCCTGATCGCCCGAAGTCGCGTCTCCCGCGTTTTCGTTCGACCCCTCGGCCTCGGGAATGCCGTTCAGGTCGTTCTGCACGTTGGCCGGGAGCGAGGGCGTTGCAACCGCCGCGACCGGCTGCACCGGCGACGCGGCGGCGACTGCTGGCTCCACCGCGGAAACCTCGTCGTCGTCCTCGTCGTCCTCGTCCTCGCCTGAGGACGGAGTTAAAAGTCCAGCTTTAGCGATTTTTTTTCCAACTCTCTCTTAATAAATAAAGGGGGTAAATTTTCTTTCGGGGTGGACCGAATTCGTTATTTCCGATACACCGATTTTCCCGACCGTCGCGGCATATCGGGCTTTTCAGGTCGAGCGGTAAAACGCAGATGGTGCATTTTAGTAGGTTGTCCCGCGGCGGACTCTCTTCCGGGCTTTCATTAGCCATTCGCCCCGAGTGACGGGTGTCCCACTTATTAAACGTGGTCAGTGGTCAACGCGCGGGAGATCGGTCAAGCTTTGATCCCTGTCCCGTAACAGGTCGGACAAGTTCACCGGACAGAGAGTCGACCATTTTCGGGCTCTGACTTTAAACTCTCCGAGACGGGACCAAATGCGTGAATTTTGAGTTGGACTTTTTGCCCCACCGGCGAACGATTTCGAACGATTTCGAACGATTTCGGTTCCGGATTCCCGGCGAGAACGAACCTCGACTCGGATTATGCCAATCCTTGCGAGTATCCCGTTAATCACGCTCGTACGCAACGCGGACCCGCGGAACCACTTCGCGATGTATGCTCGCGGGGATGGATATGTGCATAACGGTGGACGTCTCGGCTCGCTCGTCAATTTACGGTACCGAGGCGAACTCGAAGAACGCGAGGAGCACGTTTGCTCACCTCCGAGGATGTCTTCGATGAACCTCTCGAGGTAATCGTCGTCCTCGTCGTCGTCCTCCTCCTCCTCTTCCTCCTCGTCGTCGTCATCGTCGCCGGTAAAATCGAGGTCCACGTCGTCGTCGTCGTCGTCGTCGTCGTCGTCGTCGTCGGCAACGGCCGCGGGGGGAGCGGCCGCGGCTTGCCTGCCGGACTCCTTCTCGGGGATCGCCGAGGACGAGCTCTGCGCTTCCGGGACCGGCGAGGCGATAGCGCCCATCGCGAGGCAGCACAAAAGTGCCAGCACCGCCACCAACCTCATCTCTCTGAAAGGAAAGAAGATTCGGAAAAATAATTACCAAAGCGAGGGAGGTCGTGACCTTTCGAGACTCACCTGGAGGGGTGTCCGAGCTGTCCGATAGCGCCGATAACGGGTCAGGTACGAGGGGCACTGCACCTGCGACTCGGCGGAACTCTTCGGGGAAACAGGCGCGACTCCGAGGGCCCCCCTCTTTTATACCTGGTGGCACCCCACCTCCTCCGCCTCTTCGGCGTCCTCCTTCGGAGCGTCCTCGTCCTCCCCCTGGTCCCACGTGGGGCACGCCTGCCACATCTCCAGAAAAATCAGGGGAGGTCCCCCCTTCCTCCTCGTCTCTCCCTATCGGATTTACTTCCAGGTCGATGTCGCCGCTTTTCGGGAGAGGTTCCTAGGGATACGGGGATACCGGCCTCGAAAAAGTAAAAGTAAAAAAGGAACGCATTAATGATCTTCCACGAGAGAGAAACGCGAGAGGAAATGATAACTTTCTCGAGTTCGGGGAGATAATTTGAATGAACGCGTAGCGTATATTATTTGACGTGCTCGAAAGGCGATCGAAAAATTGACTCGAGCGCTTTGGGCTGATTTTTCGGAAAATTTCGTGTTCCGGAGCCCGCTCGGGTCGGTCCGGAGGACCGCATTCCTCTGGAGCGTTAGAACGCGCCGTCCCATTTGTCGGCTCCGAGGGAAAGCAATGATCTGGTTAACTGTACATTTCACGCTCGGATTTCCTGGGGGTCGACCGAGCCCCGAGGACGTCTTCGTCTTCGAGGATGACTTAGGGAACCAACTAGTCCATAATATGGATCGCTAAGAAATTGACGCGATTCCGAGCTCTCCCAAACGACCGGGAGGAAAATCGGATGGAAAAATTCCTTCGGAGGAAGGGCAAGGCTTATTTATCGCGCACATTTAGCGGGATCTTGAGCATCTCCTCGGAGGCGTCCTCCCCCCGAAGACAATGACATCGAGGCAAGTGCACCGAGCATCCTTCGACTCGACCAAGTATTAAGATAAAACCGGGAGAGCCTAATTGAACGATTGATTTCTCTTGCCTGTCCCGATCGCCGAAAGGAGAAAACGAGAGAAGAAAAAGGAGTGCAGCGACTTCTTGCCGCAATGATCAGTCCCGAGGTGATTTGCTCTCCAGATTTTACGAGTTTACTCACGATTACCGGCAATGCTCGTTTCCCGGCGATTTCGCCCCCTCTTTCCCCGTTTGTCGCTTCCCTCCCTCCTCCCGGGGGGGAGGGGCAAAAAACCGAGACAAAACGCGCGTCCGTAACCCAGATCGCATTCTCTCGTTCCTGTCCTGGATCGAGAGATCGGCGAATGATTTTCCCCAAAACGAATTTCCGAAAAAAATCCCAGAAACCGGCGGCCGACCGTTAGAGCGAGATTCGCGGGCCAATTCTCAAAGGAAAGTGAGCCCAAAGTCTCGGCCATCGGAGCACTCAACGGCGATACCGTATCGAATCGAATATGAAATTCTGAAGACAAATAAAACGACTTTTTTGTTTCTTAATTACGTTAATGAATTTCAGCCGCAAGGATAAAATCACACGGAAATCTAGGGGATAATTGTAAATCTCCAAAATGAAAAAAATCCTCAAAGCGACTCAGATCACGAGGCGTTGTCACCGAGGAATGCGGAGGGCCCTGGTGACGATGCTCCAACACGGAAACGTTACCTCGTACAGAAACGAAGACGCGCACATCCTGATTACTAATTCCGGGCGAAGGCGCGCGCGTACTACTTATCACCGAAGCACTGACACCAAATCCCATATTCCACGCCGGAACCATAGCGGACCGCCGAACGAATTATTCCGAATTGAAAAGAAAGAGAGAAAAAAGGAGAGCCGACGTTAACAAAAATCCCCCCAAAAAGACTGCAACAAGCTACACAAGATAATAAGATCGAAAGGAAAAATCAAAAATTTGTTAAAACGACCTACCGGGCATTTTTCTAAGTAACCGCAACGTGCCTCTGACACCGTTCCCTTGAACTTAGACCCGACTCTGCATCCAAAAACGGCGACGGCCATCCCCGCGCTCCTTCGCAAAGTCGCCTATTCTCGGGGTAGCTCCGTGTCGTCGTATTCTCCTGATAACCGACGCCGGGTTCGGTCTCTCTTACTAGGAGAGTACGAAGAGCACGGAGGTGGCCGGACTTTGGACAAACCTCCGTGCACGTTCTATGTTCCCGTTAACAAAATTCAATTTCCGCCCAGGCCAGAGTAGGAGAGAAGACGCGCGACCTCCTTGCCATTTCTATGTTCCTAGTAAGAACTCCGTCGAGGTGGCAGTTTTCGGCGGCGTCCCGTTTCCTCGGTCAACCGCCCGATGGCGCGACAATCGCCAGCGTAATGGCCGCATCGGAGTGACAGATTAACGAAAGGCTTCTTTTTATCGGCGAAAGCAATGTCGCTGGACCAGACGGTTTGCGAGGGTAATTGTATTGATAAATAGAACCGCCGGTTTAAAGGAAACGAGATGTATTTCATGATTCAGGGAAACCGTGCGATCTGTTGCTGCCGTACTCGCGCCAAAGTTCGTGAAAAACCTAGCTTGTGCATCGAGCTTAATTTAGATGCCCTGTCATTCTTTCAGATTTAAAGGCATTCGAAAGACGTCTCACGGAGGTTATCGCCAGCTTACAGCCTTCCACGCTCAGATGGAGAAGTACGTTTGCGTTTAAGCAATCTCTTTCTCTTCGAATCTACCTTAGGTTAAAGCTACGATGTTTTCGAGCCAAGTCGAATGACTAGAACCTCCGTAAATAAATGACAGGTACGCTTGACTTTTGTTCCGTCTTGTACAAGCAGTCTGCTTGCAGTGCTACTGGGATTCATCTCCATTTGCACGGCGGTAGGTGCATGGCACTGGCTAACCGATCCCAATACCTCCGCGGTTTCGTTCGCTCAGAGCCTATACAATCATCCGTTCTTCACGCTCGCCAGCATTATCCTGGGTAAGTAAATATCTCCCGATTTATCTTTATCCGTGTTCCTCGATACTCGATACGTCTCATCTCCGTTTCCTTTGCAGTGATACTGTTTATGATGGGGATTCACAGACGAGTCATCGCGCCGAGCATCATCACGCAGAGGGCTCGGAGCGTTCTAGGTGACTTTAACATGAGCTGCGACGACACGGGGAAACTCATTCTCAAGCTGACGAGACCCCCGCATCCTCATGAAACTTAAGACGATCGATTCACCTGGAGGCACGTCCGAAGAAAGTGTTCGATCCCACGAAAGGACCTTCCATGGTGCGTGCAGACGACGAGAGGGCGCATCTACCACATGTGTTCCGCAAACTATCTTTAATATCCCGACGCCCGGAGTCAAAGTTTCCTTCCATCTTGATTTATTCTCGTCTATACGAGGTTTTGAAAATTTCGCTACGTTTCGACTCTTGCCAGAAAACCTTGCCAAGAGTTTGGTGCGAGCCAACCGCGATATCGGTATCTAATTAAAGGAATCTCTCCGTGACTCGCTACTCGAAAGTTTTACCGATGTTAAGGGAATCGGTGGCCCATACTTTTGTTCCTGTATCGGAGACTAGCCCCGTTCCCCTCGCTAGCTCCACTAAAGCAAGACCCATACCGAGGCTCGGTCGGTTGTACAATTGTTAATATATACATATGTATAAATTAATGATAAGCGGTTACGTTAACGCAACGGACACATACGCGAACCATATTTATTAAGGCTACGATATTGTAATATAATTTCTGTTCCTATACGTATCTTGTGTCTTTATCCCACGAACCTCGACCTCCATGAGCGAATGCTCAAAGCTTTGATTTTTATACAAGCCAATGTAGTCGCCCGACTTTCCAGAGACCAAACTTCGAATGGAATAATCCGAACTTAACGTTGAAAACATTTATTCGTATAGTCTCCACAATGTTATAATTTAAAGCGATACATAGTCTCGCGCTTTCTTCCGTAAAATAATACATGTACAACGATAATATACTCCTGACGTTAATTATTGGTATTCAAGACTTAATGAGCTGTAACGTCGTCGCCGAAGAATCAAAGGCTCAATTCGAAATCCGTGTGTATGTACAAAGGGCAACGATGCTTACGCCGTTTCGTGCAAACTTCAAAAACCATCATCAATGTCATCAAACGGTGAGAGGACCAACTAACAACTCGCAACTCGCCCTCTCCGGTCATGCACATGCAATGTGCATAACATAATAGAGTTCCCAGGAAACGGTCTCTAACCGGTACCCAAAATATCCGCGCAAGTCTCAACCAAACTTGAGGAGAACGAATCAAATACGTCGGCCCGCCTAAAAATCAAGCTTGAATCATTAGCACAATGCTATAAAACTCGGCCCGAATTTCTTCTGGAAACACCGGAAACACCGGAAACACCAACGCCATGAACGTAACCTAATTTCAATTCCAATCCAGTAACTTTTACCGAGTCTCATGATTACCCCGTGGAACATTCCCTACAAACCGATATGTCATCGCAATCGTCCGACGTGTCTATAATCAGCGGAGAGATCGCTTAAATTCCGGATTATAATCCAATTTAAAACGGTAATCGAATCACGTTCCGTGATGTCTTAAATAAAAGGAAAGACCCGAGGACGCTCCGACGGGACCGTCCACCACGAAGCGACTCCCCAGAAAGCTGTCCTCCCGTCTAGGGAAGGTAAGGTAAATACCCTAATTTAGAAGATTTCGTCAATAGGATTAATTAAATCTACCCGCGAGTACCAAGAACACTCATCCCTCGTCCCCGGGCCTCGTTGACCGGGATTCCAGCTCTTCTTCGGTATCTAGTAGAAGGCAGAGTGGCAGAACGTCCGAATCGACCCTTTTTGGGATCTCTTCGCGTCGGAGGCGCTTTTCGTCCAGTGTGCATCCACCAAGGTACCAGTCTACGAGGACGATTTCCACGCCAGGCACTGAAGTCCCACGGGGAACGGGCGTGCCCCTCGAGGGGGAACCTCAAGAATAGAAGCTCGAGCTCCTCGGGAGATACTAGTGCATGGAAAATAAATCCCCAGCGGAAGGTAACGGCGCCAAGCCTCCGGTAACGTCAGGAAGTTGGGTCAAGTCGGGAAGGTTCGAGATGTGGGACTTCACCTCCGTCCGTACCGTACAGACCTTTTTCAGCTTCTCCTTGTAATCCTAGGAACGGATTTTATGTTTAGGTAACTTGTAAGAAGGAAAAAAGAATTACAAGGGTCTTACCTCTAGCGTAGACTGAGCTTGCTGAAGAAGTTGCTTCTGCGCAAGGGTATAGTCCCTGAGCATCGTCAGGAGCCTTCTTCGGTCTTCCATCTCGGCTTGCAACCTGCCGTTATAGTCTGCCAGTAAAGCAGCTGCCTCGTTGACCGCGATGCTCAGCTGATCCGCGGCGGCTCGATCGGCCAGGTTGGCTAGCAGAGAGACTTCGGAGACCTCCGGGGGTAGCGAAGCAATGCGCTCTCTCACTCCTGCATCGGAGGATGCCGTATTCTCCAAGTCCTGGAAAAGAGAAACCTTCGTTAAGTTTTGGCGTTTCGTTGTCAATGGAATGTAATCTCTTGCCGCGATTGTTCCGGAAATGTTCGCACGTTAAAGAAAACCGATCGAGCAACTCAAGATGAATGACACCTTGCACGTAACCGTCCGACGGATAAAAGCCAACCTAGCACAGCTATTGCACATCCAAAATAAAGTTGAAATCAATTTAAATACTCTGCACGACTGCTCTAAGAAAAGATAACGTCGGGGATGGACTCGTTATTTCGCCAGCGCAATTTCGTTTATGCCTTATGGAGTCAAAGTGTATTTTTCTAACATCAAGACACTTTATTGGAGTCGGTACATATTCCGTATTATCGTTCTCTGCTGGAGAAACGGAATTAACCATTAAAGCCTTAATAAGCTCCTCCGTCTCCGGCGGGTCCCCCGCAGGCGTTCTCGGACTGAGGGTAACGTGAAGCTCTTTGGTACCGTCCACTTCTACTTCGGTCTCCGACTTCTTCCTCTCCTTTTTCTCCTTCTAAAAAGTCCAAAAATTAATAGATCGTTCCAATCTTCGTTTTAAAATGGACGTCGACTCGTACCTTTTCCACTTCCGTTTTAGCTTTCTTTCTAGGTGGCGGAGTGCCAGGTTCCTTGGTCGCATCGGGAGCGGTCGCAAAGGCTGCCTTAAACTCGGAAATTTGTGCCCTGTCGTAAACTCCTCTCTCTTCCCAGATCTGCAGTAACCTGCTTAACCGTTCCCTGGTTTTCTCGTCGAAGCCCTTCATGTGTTCAAACGCCTTTGGCAGAACGGTCTCGAACTCCTTCCCAAACTCTGGCCCCTTCTTCTTGCTGTTTTGAATGACGTCGTTCGCCAGATACATGAACATCAGCTTACGATTATCCTTCACTGAAACGAAGCACAAATGGCACATAACTCCTGCAATTACCCCGATCGATAGCAAGAACGAATCAACATGCCATTTGCTGTAGCAGCGAATTCCAGGTACCGATCGTGCACACTTCCCTCTACGCTACCCTAAAGCGATTACGTGCATAAACAAACGGCGTTGCAACAGCCTCGATCTCCCTCCATTTTCAAAAACCAGGAGCAACAGGAGAACCTTCTCGATGTGAAACTTCTATTAAAGAAGCGTCGATAAAATTCGAACGTCGTGCCAGTCCTTCGGGCATAGAAACGACTAAGAAAAGGGGGACCAACGAGAACCGCTCCGTGTCTCCTAACCTCAAACTCCCAACTGCGTCCGGCGAGCCTGGGTACCGGAATTCGAGGCGACCGCGCAACGGTCTTGACATTTTCTCGATCGCACGAAGAACCAGCATCGAGGTAACGGGAAACCCGGGGAAATCGTGTCACGGGGACTGCCGAGAGCTCACCTTTGCACATCTCCTTGAACCAGACCTTAACAATCGTGGGATGGTGCTTTCTGTGATGTATCAGCCACAGGGAGAGCGTCTGGATGCTCTGCTGGGACGGGTTGAGGTCCATCAGCTTCTTTACCAGTGCACTCTCCGTAAATCCTGCCATCTTCACGGAGAAACGCGGCGTGACGCGACTTCGCTCAGCAACCGAGACGGAACTGCTTACTTCGAATTTGCTTCGAATCGCACCGAATCGCGATCGTCCTGTCCGGTGCTATCCGGTGGTGTCACGACGAAACTCTGCTCGCTTTGCGCCGCCTAACGTGCCAGCTCCACGCGCCGTCGAAATAACGAACTAACATGGGGTGTTCGGAACTCTCAATAAAATCCCCTATATAATTACATCCCAGTTTTGTACGCAACGTAAATTACGTGAAGAGATTTACGTGGAAACTCGTTTCCACCGCGGTTTAATGTGATATTCCAAAAATTTGTTCCAAGTAAAATATGAATGCAAGGGACGATATTTGTATGTACATACTTCGTGCCTTTAGGTTGCTAGGCAACCTACGAGTACACAAATATGAAAGCATGACGAATACTTATTTGACATGAACGCATAACCGATTGTTTCGTAGATTTTATTTAAAAATTGATAATGTTACTTAAGTATTTAGGACCGTTACTTTCTCCGCATGTAAGTTGGCATTTAAGGATATTATGTTATAATTTGTTGAATATAAGGTTATACTAAATTTGACTTTATTATTTTATCTCTTATTAATAGGAAGGAGAGAATCGAATAATTTCGGCGGTATGGTCACCAAATAATTTAAAACTTGCAGTGGCCCTGTCGGATCGATCCGTTTATCTTTTCGACGAAAAGGGGGTGAAGAAGGATCGCTTCTCCACAAAGCCAATCGATGCAAAGGTAGCGTATTTGATGACGGAGGATTATCAAATTCTTAATCCACTGCGTTTTCATTATTATTATAAGTAACGTCTGTTCTTCTAGTATGGGAAAAAGAGTTACATCGTTAAAGGCATTGCCTTCTCTCCAGATTCCACCAAGATCGCGGTGGGTCAGACGGATAACATAGTCTACGTGTACAAGATCGGCGAGGAATGGTAAGCCATGACGCAACTGAGATATAATGACCATTTTTAAATAATTGCATCTTCAAACAGGGGTGAGAAAAAAGTGATTTGTAACAAATTTGGCCAAAGTTCCGCGGTGACTTGTTTGGCCTGGCCGCTAGAAGGGCCGATAGTCGTCGGTTTAGCCGATGGAAAGGTACGAGCTGCTTTAGTGAAAGCAAATAAGGCACAGACCTTGTATGCTGCCGACACCATGACCATTGCCTTGGCAGTTAAGTAGGTATTCCAAAGCTTAAGGTTTAATTCCTATCGTTTTACTCTTAAATTTAATTTACTTTACCCACAGTGTCAAAGGGACTGGTTTCCTGTCGAGCCATGCCGATGGAAGTATCATAAGGTATTACGTGACCGATGACGGTAACGGCGAACCATCCGGCAGAGTGGTAACCCACGGAGTACCAGCTTATGCGCTGGCATGGCTTCAGAGTCACATCTTGGCGTCCGGCTGCGACAAGAAGATAACATTTTATGATTCTCGGGGTAAAGTGTCCAAGACATTCGACTACGGTCGCGAACCGAACGAACGAGAGATGACAACGGCATGCTGTAGTCCCAGTGGTCAGAGCGTAGCAGTTGGATCCTGGGACAAGGTCCGAATCCTGGACTGGAGCCCTCGAAGATCCGTCTGGGAAGAGTCGAACACTCGATTGCTCCCGAACCTGTATACCGTAACTACCATGGCTTGGCGAAGGGATGGCTCCAGGTTAGTCATCGGAGGTCTCTGCGGAGCAGCGGAACAGTTCGAGACGGTCTTGCGAAGAGCAGTGGTGCGTGGAAGCCATGAGGTAGCTTACGTGGGCCCTAGCCAAGTTGTAATTCGCTCCCTAAATGGTACGAGTCGTCCCGTAGTGATCAGATCCCAAACCGGAAGCGAAATCGAAGACGTTCGAGTCCTAGGACGCAGAGACAATCACGTAGTAGCCAGGACGACGAGTACTCTATTAATCAGCGACTTGGAGCTGAATCTGCTGAGTGAAATTCCCTGGGAAGATAAGGGCGGCGGAGAAAAGTTCTTCTTCGAATATCCCGGGGTGTGTTTGATCTTCCGAGCCGGTGAGCTGGCTATCGTCGAGTATGGAAAAAACGAGATCCTGGGATCCGTCAGAACGGAGGCGATGAATCCACACGTGGTTAGCGTCAGGATAAACGAGAGACACGTCGCGGGCTCCCCGGAAAACAAGAGGTTAGCCTACCTCCTGGACCCTCGTACCGTCAGGATCGTCGATTTCGTCACCGGGGCGACAGTGAGTTACTTCCTAATCTCCAAATTGAACGTTTTCATTAAAAAAAAAAAATAATAATAATAATATGATACAAGCCCAAATGATATCAAAGCAAGATTAAAAAACCTGTCAAACTTGTAGGTCAGCATCGTTAGTCACGACGTCAGGGTTGACTGGATCGAGCTCAGCGAGACCGGTCATCGTCTTCTGTCTCGAGACAAAAGAGGCAGACTCTGGCTGAGCGACGACCAAGGAAATCGTAGCCTCTTGCTAACGGGAACGAGTTTTGCATCCTGGGTGCCAGGAAGCGACGTGGCAGTTGCTCAGACTGGCCAGACTCTGGCGGTCTGGTACAACGTAGATGCTCCAGAGGCAGCTACTCTTATAGGAATCCGAGGAGATGCCATGGATGTTATCAGAGAGAGCAACCGAACGTCGGTCACCGTAGAGGAGCCTGGAGGACGAGTGTCCTACGTCCTGGATGAGAGTTTAATAGAGTTTGGTACGGCACTCCACGACAACGACTTTGGTAGAGTAGTGCTCTTCCTCGAAGAACTCGGGGACCGTCCCGAGGTAATACATTTATTTATACATAAAAACAGTCAATCAGCACCGCATTTATGTATCACTCGAACTCGATATCTTTCTTATCGATGTACCATTCAGGCCGAAGCCATGTGGGAGAACGTGGCAAGAAACGCAATGGCTGGGAGACAGCTCCTCGTAGCCGCCAGATGTTACGCAGCCCTTGGTGACGTGGCCTGCTCCGACTTCCTCAGGAACATCATGGAGATCGGACAGAGGTACTCTCGATTCACTGTCACTCAACTTCTACCATACGTTACACATATTTTAAATTTTCTCACCACCCCAGATATGCGGAGGAAACTGGAAATGACCCACTGGCAAGTCCAGACTGCTGGGCGAGGATGGCAATCCTGAACGGTGAGCTGAAGACCGCAGAGGCCATCTACCTGGAGCAGAATGAGCTCGACAAAGCCCTGGAAATGTACCAAAGGTAACCGATGCCTGCGTAAACCCTCTTCGATATACCTTCTATATCACTGAACAAACCACAAAAACTTATTAACATTTAATTTAAAATTCTCACGATCGAATCCAAGATATTGGCATTGGGAGGATGCCTTGACTCTGGCACAGAGCAGAGGCTGGTCAGGTCTTTCAGATCTGCGAGACCGACACTTGTCCTGGTTGCTGGAAAGTGGTCAAGGAGCTCGAGCAGCAGCGATCCTGGAGCCAGAAAATCCACAAAGGGCAGTAAAACTATATCTAGAAGCTCGTCGCCCGGGAAGAGCGGCAAGACTCGTCCTGGCGATCGAGGACCTCCTAGAAGACGAGGCTATGGTCAGCCAGGTGGTGAAGACCCTGAAGAGCGCCGACCTGATGGAGCTGGCTGGCGAGATCCTGGAGAAGACCTCGGACTCCACAGGAGCGATAAAGTGCTACGCCCAAGCCGGAGTCTTCGCCAGGGCGCTGGAATTGGCTCGAAAACTGGATCCCAATTCCGTGGTTGGTCTGGAAAGAGACTGGGGTCATCATCTAGCCTCCAGTGGGCATTACGACGCGGCCATCAACCACTTCATAGAGGCTGGGGAGACCGCCCTGGCCTTGAACGCCGCCATCAACGCCAGACAATGGAGGAAAGCCCTGCAGATCGTTCAGGTACTCGAGGAACACCTCCGACCCAATTTCTTCAAGATGTAGCTTGTCCCATCGTACCATTATTATACCATAATCGTCATCATCGTGCGTTATACTATATCTGCAGGGAAAGCATTCACGTCCACCCCGGTATCTTCTTCGGATTTATCAAGAAATCTGTTCAACAGGTGATCGAGAGCGACGATCCAGAGACTAGGGAACAATGCGAGAAACTAGGAGAGTATTTCGCATCGGTTGGAGACAAAGAACTTGCGGTGAATCTGTTCATCAGGGCTCATCGAGCCCATCGAGCCGTGGAGACCCACGTCCAGGCTAGAAACTGGTCCCGGGCGTATCAAGTAGCGACGGAGTACATGTCCCCTGAAGAAGCCACGACCGTCTTGGTTAAACACGCCGAGGTTTTAGAATCTTCCGGCGACCTGCGACAAGCCGAAGCTCTGTACTTGTCGGTGAAACAATACGACTCGGCCATATCGATGTACCGCAAGGCCGGCAATCGCGGCGAGATGATCAGACTCGTGGCGAAGTATAGGCCAGAACATCTAGAGACGACGCACGCCCACCTGGCGAAGGAGCTCGAGGCTGCCCACAAGGCCAGAGAAGCCGAAGAGCACTTCCTGGGAGCCGGGGACTGGCGAGGAGCGATTACGGCCTACAAAAACGAGAACATGTGGGAAGATGCTTTGAGAGTCGCTAAGGAGGCTTCCGGCGACAAGGCTGCCCAGCAGGTATGTAGAGTCAAAGGAACGTGGATATTAATTTCTTCGTAAATTTCGGTAGAGGTAAACCTCTTCGCGGTGCTCTTCCAGGTCGCCCTGATGTGGGCGAAGACCCTGGCTCCTGAATTGGGTGCTAGACTGCTGATGAGGCTGAATTACCTGGAGCCTTGTCTTCGACTTGCCTGCGAGGCGAACCTCTTCTCCTGGGCACTGGAGATAGGGAAGTACTGCGCGAGCGACCTGAAGAAGGAGGTCCATTATCGTCACGCCATGTACCTGGAAGACCAGGGGCATTTTTCCGAGGCTGAGAAGGAGTTCGTCCTGGCCAATAAAGCCATAGAAGCGGTGCAGATGTATATTCACACCAGAGAGTGGGACAGTGCCGAAGAGGTGGCCCACGCGCATTGTCCCGAGGCTCTTCCTCAGGTTTTGGTCGCGAAGGCTGCCGAAGCAGTGGAGTCTCAGGACTACGCCCTGGCGGAGTCCCTGCTCCTCAGGGCTCACAAGCCGGAGATCATCGTGGACCACTACAAGGTAGACATCGGATTCTCCTTCGGGAACACTGCTGTGACATTTTATTTTATTTTTTTTAAACGATTCTAGAAAGCCGGCATGTGGTCCGAAGCGATGAGGGTGTGCAGAGAGTACCTGCCGAGTCAGGAGGCGGCCCTGAGGAGAGAGCTGGGCCAGCGCAGTCTGGGTATGGACGCAGGAAGCAACCTCGAAGAGGCGCGTCGATGGTTGGAGGTAGGGGAGATTCGAGCAGCTCTCGACATCTTGATCCTGGACCCCCAAGCTCCCAGGACGTCGTTGATCAAAGCAGCCGATATCGTTCTTCACGAAGCCGACCCTGAGACCGCGGTCCAGGTGGGAGGTGACCTTGCAGCGAGACTGCTGACCATCGGAGAACACGCTCTGGCTGCTCAGGTGCTTCCCTTCATCCAATAATCCGCGCCCCATCGCAATCAGCGCGAAAACGCACACCAAGTCAAGGTATCTGATTTAAATAGAAACGCAAGATTAAGACGTGATTTCCCACAGGTGTTCCTGCAAGCGGACAGGCTGAAGGACGCCATCACCGCTCTAGCTCTGGTGGGCGACTGGGGAAGGGCTCGTCGAATCGTCCAGGAACTAGCTCCAGACCTAGAGCCTTACCTCGACGAGAAGTACAAAGAAGCGATGATAAGAGACGACCAGGTCGACAGACTCGTGGAAGTAGACGCCAACGCGGCCTTGGAGCTCCTGGTCAGGAAAGGTCAGTGGTCCCAGGTCTTCGAGGCAGCTTCCAGCCAGGGCGAAGAGTTCCTCCACAAGTACGTCGCCCAAAGGGCAGCCCAACTCCTCAAGTCCGGGATGCACTCCCAGGCCCTGCAACTATTCGCCCAGTACGGTGCACCCTGCATCCCACAGAACTATAATCTCTACTATCACCTATCGGAGAGCATTCTCAACTCACCGGAAACCAAAGAGGACTACAAGCACCTAGGAGAACTGCGAGGGACTCTTCGGGGTCTCTGCAGGAGTCTTGATGCCTCGTCGGAGACAGGGGAGAGGTTCGAAAGACTTTTGAAGGCCACCCATTACTCTGCTCTCAGGTCTGCCTGTCGACCTTTTGCCTCTCTCTCGGGGTTGATCCTGAAGAGCTCGATTACCTTGCTGAGGTACTCCGACATACTTCTAGCTGATCGATGCTACTTCGAGGCCGGAGTGGAGGCCAGATCGGCAGGACTCAACAGCGAAGCTTTTGTCTTCTTCAATCATTTTTTGGACCTCGAAGAGTGCATCGAAGAGGGTGATGGAAGTATCCTGGACGTGGACGACCTCAGGGTCACGGATTTCCCTTTGGAGGTTCCTTTACCTGCAGATCTGAGTTTGACGAAGGAGCAGAGGGAAGAAGCTAGAGAATGGGTTCTGGCTGTGTCAATGGACCAGAGGGTCGAGCAAGGACTTCCCGTCGACCAGAGAGGCGTTTATATAGGATCCTTGACGAGTCCCTCGAATTCTGGAGGAGTTTCTCAGGAATGCGTTCTTACGGGATATCCCATTAGAGCTTCCGTGGTTAGATTTGAAAACAGCAGTCGCGTTGCCGACAGAGACGACTGGAATAAACTGGTCAGTACTGCGAGGCAGGCATCGGTGGACTCCCCGCTGAACGATGTCCTGGTCTTCGTCCAGGAATGGGTCGGCACTGTACCTAGTTACACGTTTTAAATTACTTTTTATGACTATCTGAACACCCTGACTAGGTCACCGAACACTTTTGAAGGAACCCACGACATAACCTCTCTCCACCCTTACGAATGATTCTGTATTCGAGCCTGAATATACATAAAATATGTATCTGCAATCGTATAAGTTAATCCTACTCGTCAACGGGAGCCTCGCCAGGGTCGCAAAGGACTCTACGCAACTACTCTGTCCGCCGCTCGTAGATACACAACTCGCTACTCTCACACGCCTACGCATTCGCGTCCTATTTATAATATGTATAGTATGTATAGTATGTATATTATGTATATTATGTATAGTATGTATATCTATGCGTATGTATAACAATAATACAAGTTAAAAAGGTACAACCGCGACGGGAAAAGGGTTTTACGGTAAGATTTACAGAGTGGGACCCTCCTGGCTCCCTTCGAACTAGGTCGACGCGAATCACGAAACCGACCCTGAAGAGAAACATCCCGAAGAGGAAACTCTTAGGAAACCTCCCAAGAATGAACATCCCGAGGACGGATTGCACTAGCAACGGAGTTTCCCGATCCTGAGACATTTCTCGACCTCGGGCCACTGGTTCCATTTCCGACCATCGCTGTACACACCGAAGAGGGCCCCTCGTGCCTCCCTCACTTCTGGGTGATGCGAAACACCGGGCCGATCCTGAGAAAGAACCTTCTGAGGACGGACCTCAATTCTGGCTTCAGGTCGAAGCACATGACTTCGCACAGTAGAGCGTAGCAACTGGACGCGTGGACGGCGAACCGGTTGTCGCTCATCTTCAGGATCCTCGTCAGCATTAGAAGAAGGATCGCCATCCAGGCGTCCCTGTGGGCTTCGTTCGAAAGAGCCAGAAAATATTCCAGAGCCTCGCGAGCGACCCCGACGAGTCGTTCTTCGACCTTAGGCCAGTCGCTCGACCTTCGTTCATCGCTGTACATCTTGAAGAGGATGCGGAGGGCACAAGCCAGAGACTGGGTCTCCTGCTTAAGGAGGTTCGGTTTCACGTTTCCGCGGAATCCGGCCTTCCACAAGACGTTCCTCTGCTCGTGATTGGCGTTGAAGGTCTTGGCGAACCTGCAGAGGACCTCGAATTACTGGTCACGTTGATAAAACTACGAATTACAAAGGCTGAAATAGGGCAACCCGTAAGGGTATTCCCTCGCTCGAGTCTAGACTGCTTAGAGCACCTCTTTGGGATGTCTTTTACCGCACCTGTGCGACCTTAGGAGGCATTCCACGAGGATGAGGAGGTGCGCGGAAGTCAAGGCGTGGTACATGCCCTGGTCCTCCTTCTGCAGGTCTTCATGGGTCTCCTGTGTGCCGGTCTCGGTCGACCTGCCGTTGAGCATGTCGGCCTGCGCCAGAGCCAGGTTCTCCTGGTCCTCCTTCCTCGAGGTTGCCGGGTAGAAAATGACGTTGTCGATCGTCTGAATCAACTCCAGCTGGACCACGCATCTGATCAGCAATCCGGAGAAGACCTTCGTCCTCGCACTCTCGCCGTTCGCCAGGCTCTGCGTGCTGTTACTCCTCTTCAGGATACCCACGTGGCCGTCGCACTCCCCCGTGATGACGTCAAGGTCCGACTCCTTGTTCGGGGACTGCGGCTTCCAGATGAGAAGGGCGCTCGGCAGGGTGTTTTCGAAGATGTCGAGAACGCACCGGCAGGTCTTCTCCCACGTGGGCTCGTCGAACCTGACGCCGTTACTGATGACCAGGTTCTCCAAACAATTCGTACCCGACCTGGCCAGCTGTTCGTTGTCCTGTTGCACGCACCACAGCAACTGGAAATACAGCTGCTCCAGTAAAATCGGACCCAGAGTATCGTAAAATTGGGAGAAGACGTCCACGATCGCGTAGAGGGCGTGGTTACAGGTCGTCGTCATCCACTCGGCTTTCTAAAGACAAAATTAACGTCTCTTCGGCATCTATACACCATGGTAAATAAATGCGCTTAAATATATACATAAATGATCTCATCGCTCACTTCCGTGTGCTGCTCGGGCAATTTCATGTTGTCGAAAATCCTGAAGAGCACCTGAAACAGGTCCTTCCACCAGTGGGGCTTAAAAGAGGCCCCGTAGGTCTTGACGACGTCGAAGAGTACAGTCAAAGCTCTCGTTCGAACGTCCAGCTTGCACCTGCTGACCACGCAGGAGAGCTCGAAGAGCAGGGGGAACCAGCCCCTCACCTTGATGAAAAAGAAATTCCTCTTTCAGTCTCAGGAAATAATTTTCAATTTACAACGTCAGCAGTTTTCGTTACCCAAGCTCTGTCTTCCTCGGAGACCATTCCGCTGTCGTCCATCATGCCCTCGGCGAAAAGATGAGGATTCGCGTCGATATAGGACGCGCAGGAACGTATCAGCCTGATCGCCTCCATGCTCGTGTCAGGGAAGGAGGCGTTGCAGGCGAATTCGCTGAGGCACTTGACGGCATCCTGGAAGGAGTCCACCATGATGCTGAAGTCTTCGGCATAGAGCTCATCTACGGGAAAGACGATAATAAATTCTCAAGAGAAAAAGTAATTCCACTCGTTTTAACCAAGAATCTAGCTAGTACTTATGATTTTCCCGGTCATGGAGAAGGCAAGGTCGACAACGGACTCGTCCCTATCGCTGGCTGCATGATGAAAAACGCTGAAGATGTTCTTCCAGCCCGACCTGATGTTGGGAGCTTGAGAATGCACGATCTGGGCGACGCACCTGACGACCATGTCCCTGATGATCGGCGAGCGGTTTTTCTTCATGATGTGCTCGAACGGCCTGAGGAACTCCTTCTGGAAGCGGAAATTGGCAAACTCCCCCTTCTCGATGAACTTGGTGGCCAATTGTCGAAGAGAATCGACGGCGAAGAAGGAGATATCTTGTCGGGGACTACAGCCGACTCTGTCGAAGTGGTCCCCCAGGACCTGCCAGATTCTGGACCACTGGAGTCTGATGCGACCCATGTTGTAGTAGGAGATCTCCACGATCTTCGTCAAGGAGAACATCCGAGGCTGCGAGGGGTGGGCTAACTCTTCGAGGCTCACCTGGCAAAGGGCCTTGACGAACTCAACGATGGCGTCTCCATCCAGCCTTGTGGATCCTGTGAATATCCTGTCCACGGCCACCACGACGCTTTGGGAGCTGGTCTCACCTATGGACTCCTTCACGCTGGCTGGAAGGACAATATATTTATGACCATCCACCAAACGATTGCAAATACAAGTTCCAACTTTTAAAGTTAAGGCTCCAACGTACGATCCAAGGAGCTCAAGTTCAAGCTGTTGGACTGATGCGAATTGTGCGTCAGGTTGGTGAAGTTGGCCAGGGGCGACGGGAAGTGAGGCTTCGAGGGGGGTCCAAGAAGTTGAGGTCTAACCCCGGTGCCGATCAGCTGGGCCAGCTCCAGCTGGGATATGCACTTCACCACGTCTAGCCATGAGCTTCCTAGATAATTCCCATCGGTATGCGCCACTGTGATCAGGGTCTTTATGGTGTCGATGTTCTTCGCCTTCATCTCCGTGATCGGCGAATTTGCCGTCAATAAAGTGAACCTCGCCAGAGCCTGCACGTACGCGTCGCGCTCCAGCTGGGGTTGCAATAAAAAATGTGGTCAGTCTTCGAGGTCTAGGCCGAAGAGCGAAGCAAGTCGAGCCTTGGGCTTACAGTCATGTGAAAGATACAGGCGATGCGAATGGCGCACCGGATCCCGTCCAAACACAGCGAGGCTATTTCAGGGTCGTCGCAATCCTGAAGACCCACACTGAAGGCCGCTAAAAACGGGGTCCACGCGATTTTGAACATAGGTCGAACGTGTTCGAGGTGCTTCGCGGTCGTAAATGGAGCCTGCACGTGACTGACCGACTCCATCAAGTTCTTCGCCGCCGTGGAGATAACTTCCATCTCCATATTCCACAAAAGTCGACGTTTCTTTTCACTGGATATTACTGAAAATGTTATATAAATATTAATTGATGTCTCGGTCGAGTTTCTTCAGGGTGTTTTTTAATTATATTTCTAAGTTAAGGATGCTCTTATCGAGCGATTTACCTTGCTTCCCAGGTCGGTTAGGATTGGACTTCATTTTGATCTCGTTACCGGCGATCTCGTCGTAGATCTTAGACAAGTACTCCTCGGGCAGGTCTTCGTTGTCGCTGATACGCCGGTTCAGCTTGATATACTGCTCCTTGGTCATTTTGTTTTTGACCTGGGGCGAATGAAGGTCGGTCGTGAGCATTATTATCGAGAAGCCCAAAACGTAGGCAGTGTCTGCACTGGTAAACAATCCGTTACTACAACAGAAACGGTATGGTTCGCCGCTAAAAGCTTAACACGGTCTTTACAAGTCGCGAGGCGCCGACGGGTTATGATTAAAAGGCCGGACTTCTAGTTAGAAAACGTTTCAGACTTATCGATGCTAGTGCAACCATTGACTGCAGGGCTTGACATGGAAATGTCTACGTGAATAATAAACATTCGAGAATTTGAATTTTGGAATGACATTTTGCCAGCCTTGCACTCGAGGTATTAATGAAACTAAGGTATCGTCAGAGGATAGGAATCTTTCCGAAGTAAAGGCACACTCACTTCGGATTGCACTCGCAGTAGCGACTGGCGAATTTCTCCATCAACCTGTCGATTTTCTGGGCTTCGCCAGGGAGCCTGAAGCCTTCTAGGAAATATCGGAGAGCCGTCACCAGGTCCCTCTCGGCAAAATCCATCTGGTCGATGTAATTGTACATAACCTGGTTATGATTGTGGTCTCCAAGGAAGTCTCCGACGGCAGTCTTGTCCAGACGTTCATCGCCATGAAGCCATCGAGCAACATCCTCTGCGAGGTTTCCAAGCAGACCCTGTTCCTGCAGGTACTGAACACCTTTACTTGGTTTCCGGTTAAATCTGTGGATAGGTTAGGAATAAGTCGGATTGAATGTAGATATATATGCTCCGATGATATAATAATATCTGTTTGTTATAGAAATTATATTGAAAATCATACATGTCGATGCCAGCCTCCCAGACTTCTTTCTGTTGTTTCTGAACCTCGTATTGCTCCGGAGAGTCCGGCACCTCTTTATTCCCTACGAGACTAGAGTTAGCGGATGACAAGCTGCCAGCGCTACCGTAACGAGGCAACGGAGGCTCCAGGGTTGGACCAGTTGGCTCCGATGGCACTTGCTGATCCGCAGGTACACTTGGATTTACATAGAGATCTCTTGACCACTCCACCATACATTTTAGGATCGACACTAGACACTCCAAGCCCCTTATTCTCATGGATTTCTCTTGATTGGGAGAGGCTCCGAGCTCTAGTGCCTGGCGACCCTGTGCAATCTTTGACAAGTCGTTGACGAGCCTAAAAATGACGAATATCATCGGTCAACCATGTATCAAAATTGAATAAAAATAATTTCTTAATGGAGAAAAAAATTACCTTTCGAATAAATTAGCTGCCGATAGATCACAGTCATAGTTTACGTATATGTCGACAACGCTCTGCGCGTCTGCACAGATCCTTGTCAGCGCATGGATGACCATCCACTTGTGCTCGAAAGAACTGCTCGAGGTCTCTAGGATGTTCATGAAAATTTCCTTAAAGAAAACTTCGATCTGCATTTTGAGGTGCATCTTGAATCTTGCCAGTAAAGCGAGGAACAATGCAAGAGAGAGCTCGAACACTTCAGGCACAGAGGACACACCGTTCTTTGATAGTGCTACGCATAAGTACTGCTTGATCGCTATGACAAACATCTCATTGGAACGAAGGACCGGTCCAGCATTCTGAAGGATTCCAAGGAGCAACTGTAGAGATAGGATCTTTGATCGGAGCTCGTGTGATCTGAAAGATTACAGGTAGTTTAGATTAATTATAAACCAGAGACAAATAAATTTATTACCAATACTCACTTTGGATCTGGCGTTCCATCGGGTAAAGGCTTCATAGAGAGTTTACAGAGTGCCCTGAATACCAGAAAGGCATCCTTCTGCAAGACATGAGTAAATTTAGCGGTGACCATGTTGTCGGTCTCTGCAGTTGCCTCGTCGGTATTGTCATCAGTGGGCACTTGGTCAAGACTAGGCTCTTCAGAAGGCGACGTAGCAGGCTGATCCTCAGGAATCACCGAGTCTACGACATCCTCCAAAATGGACTTCACTACGTTACGCGCTTCGGAGGCACTTTCTGGTACAGACTCTTCGTTGTTTATTGGCTCGCTCTCCGTCTCCGCCCCAGAGGCCATCGACACATCCTGCTGCTCCACTTCGGTCCTTGCCGTGTCTTCTTCCTGAGAATGGATGGTCTGTGCAGAGTTTAAATTACAATGGCTCGGTTGGAATGGATTAGGACATTGTAGGTGAGGTTATGAGAGCATAAGAAATTATTTCAGTGTCTGACCACTATCAGTGACAAATCTTATCTTTAAATCTAGTTACTAAAACTTAGCAAGGTACGAACCGCTTGAGTCTCCATCCTTGCAAATATCACATTAATCATCTGCGTGAGAGTCGCCCGAGCAGTGGTTTGATTAACTAAATTCCTTGATGCCAGGTAAACGTTATAAACAGTGCGTATGGTAAGTAAAACAGTTCCTTCGTGCACTTCGACATGCTGACTGGTCATTACCGTCAGCAAAGCTTTGATTATCTGCAATTGTACACCCTCGTCTGTCTGAGGCCCCATAAAACAGCCACATATTGTCTCGACAATGCGAACGATTAGTAGCTTGTTAGGATCAGTCGAGTCCGGTACGTTTCCGGTCAAATGGCCATAGGCAATCAACTTTTGCAAACAATCCAAGGCAGTGACGACAATTCTGGGGGACTTGCTCTGGCAAGCCAGTTCAAATGGTAAGAAGTATTTCTCCGCCGATATAACATTCGAATCGCTCTTAGGCTGAGGCAAGGCATTAGACGTCGCTTCCTCGCCCTGCACATTTGGAACCTCCTTGATCTCATTTCGCAGGTCCTCTAGAAACCAAAACAAACATTTAGATGTTATTCCAAGGAACATTTCTACAATGAAATATTTTCAAACCTTACCCAAAGCTGACTCGCAGGATCTTCGTAGCTGTGAAAGGTGAGACCGCTTGACATCACGATCAGCCAAGATCTTCTCCAGAGCTCTGACGATGAACATCTCTCTGGTTTTGGAGTTATTTTGCATCGTCACCGGCTGCAACAGTCCGGGTCGCCTCCTGGGGCTCTAGCAGGCCCGCGTTGGAATTTCGTTCGGAGGAGCGCCAGATGAGCGACTGACGAGGTTAAGTCTACCGAAATGCATTGACGTGAGCATCTTCGGATCCTCCTCAGTGTGGAGTGCCCTTATGCGCGGTCGGAACGGCGTTGGAGTCGCCGCGACATGGAAGTCACCTCGCGCGGTACCATCTGTGCGATCCTTGACTCGTGCAGAACCTATCGGGGAACGCAAAATTCGAACCAACAGGGTCAGGCGGTCTCTGCGGGGAAATCAGGGAAAATTAACGGAGATTAGAGCGACCTAACCAGCTGACAGCCACATATACACACATTATGCACATATAGGACCTCAGGTGGCGCAGAACCACCAGAGACCATTTAGAGATCACCAACAACCCTCACCGATTAGATCTCGCACCGTGATTGGACACGATATTTTCGCACCTGATTGGCGGATCCAAAAGTCGACCCGAGCCGTGATTGGCTGAGAGCCGCGGACAAGAGACGATGATTGGCGACTGGGTCCGTACGGTTACTGTCAGGTGGCGCCACCGGCTCCACACACCCACCTAACCTCCCCACTGTCGCCGCGTATGCGCTTCGTATATGTACGTAGAGGTTGCGTCCACCGTGTTGACGCACACACGGGCCGAGGCACACGTAGCAACCCGTCGGAGATTCGCTACGCACCGTCCGGGTAATATCACGATACCGTGATACGTGCACCGTGTGCGGATACGTGTCCCTCCCCGAGTCTCTCCCAAGGTAAAGCAGGCGGCAGGGAGACTACGGTCGGCGCAGGGGTGGCAAGGGCCAGCGGAGGCAAAACCGGACACCGACGTTGAACACCTCCTCGGATCGCGATTACTGGGCCCCAACGGAAACCTGACGAATATCTCGACCTGTCCCGGAAACCTCGGAGGGAGGCGACCCTATACTCCGGACGAACGGGCCCGAGAGTTCGAGAAGATCGGGAGGAGAGACTGGGTGCCACTGGGAAATGGAGGCGATAGCCAAGCACGACTTTACCGCTACGGCCGAGGACGAGCTCAGCTTTCGCCGCAGTCAGATACTCAAGGTGCGAAAATGGGTTTTCCTCCTTTCCGAAACCCAGAGCTCTGTGCCCCTCGTTTCTGTTTATCGAGCTCTACCAGGTGTCAGGAGTGATGATGCTTCGGGCTGATGATGTTTGATAACAATCGGGTGCTTGGCAGCTTCCCATCGTGATTTTGATATTACCTTTTGTATGCACTGCGATGAGCTTTGCATGCTTCAAGGGCTTAAATTAAATGTACTCGATGTGCATCGGGGTTGCTTAAAATTTGCCGAAGGACTGCGAAGGGGTCTGTCATGTCTTTACGTTAGGCGAGAAAACCTGAGATTTAAAGGATCTTTTAGAGGGGATTCTTTGTTGGAGTGAAATCGATGATTCGAGATAAGGGAGAGATTTAATGGAGCGTTTTTATTTTATTGATAGATCCTTAATATGGAGGATGACATGAATTGGTACAGAGCAGAATTGGACTCTAGAGAAGGCCTCATACCAAGCAACTACATAGAAATGAAGAATCACGAGTGAGTGGACTTGGATTTGTATTTTGCAAAATTTTGGTAGATTTAGAGGAGGTTTATTTGGCTTTCGCTCTGTTTGTAGTTGGTACTATGGTAGAATTACTAGAGCAGATGCAGAAAGACTACTAATGAACAAACACGAAGGTGCCTTCCTCATAAGGATCAGCGAGAGCTCACCGGGAGATTTTTCTCTCTCTGTCAAGTAAGTCAATAATTTATCTGTGGATCGTTGAACAATTTAAATCGATGACTTTCGTCAGTGAATATCCCTCACCGAATCATTGCACGTTCCAGGTGCTCCGATGGCGTGCAACATTTCAAAGTCCTACGAGATGCGCAAGGAAAGTTCTTTCTTTGGGTTGTTAAATTCAACAGTTTGAACGAACTGGTAGAGTACCACCGTACAGCATCGGTTTCACGTTCGCAGGATGTCAAACTACGCGACATGATTCCAGAAGAGGTAGAGGACTCGATTTTATTCTCCAGTTGCGCAACCTATCAAGAACACTTACTTAATCTCCAGATTGTTGACTTTTTCCTCAAAGTAACTGGAACATCTGGATTTTTCAGTGTCTAGTGCAGGCATTGTACGACTTTACACCCCAGGAGCCTGGAGAGCTGGAGTTCAGAAGAGGCGATGTCATCACTGTGACGGATCGCACCGACCAGCACTGGTGGCACGGTGAGATCGGCAACAGAAGGGGACTATTCCCATCTACTTACGTTACTCCCTACCATTCTTAGGTAACGAGAGAATCACCTAAGTAACGTTAACTACTAAATCTCGTCTATTAACACGACTTTAACGCTAATAATCTCAATTATTAATCGCAGACTTTGTACCGGTCTTGTGGTAACGGACGACGTGATTCACCAGCTTATCCCAGGCACATCACCTACGAGATCAGACTAACCGCGGAACCGATAAACGAGATTCTACAAACGCCGCTTATCGAGTGGGCCGCCAGATTGTATCGGCGGTCGGGAGCCGTGTAAACGATGCAGCACTTTGGCAAATGGAAAATTACCCACGCTCAACCGGATGCGTTACCTGACCAGGTTGGGAGACGAAAATCGCATCCACCTGTCCGTCGTCACGAGGGAAACGGGGGGAAAATAATATCCGGAGACGAAAGAAATGCATCGACATTTTCAGTTCGTCGGGAACACGAGGTTCTCACGGATGTACGAGTCGCCCTGAGGAGACTCGACTCTCTCCCCACGATTAGTCTAAGATATTAATTCCTAAGGCTCGTCCATTCTCGTGCAACCCGTATCTCGGTCTCCCTCGGGGCAACTCGTGCCTGGAACTGTACAATAATTCACCGATGCAACGTGCCCAACGCGCGTTGCCATCCCCGCGGCCATGTGACAACCGTATTACAGGAGCTCGGCAACAAAACGCGCTTCTCCCCCTCCCCGGGAGGGGGGGAACATTGAACGGCGGGTGACTTTGTATTTTTTCAATAATCTCTTCCTCTACCCTCTTCACCGCACCCTGGGGTGAAAGGATGAACTTCTTTTCGACGATTCGAGGGCCTAGCTAGTGGTTTTAACCGATACCGGGGGAATTACGCGTTGATATACACTATACATAATTATATACATATATATATATATATATAGGTATACGTATATATGTATATAAGCCGTTAAATTAAAGCGGTAGCATCGAGACGTGTCGCCTTTTAGCATTCTGGGTCCGGAGAATAATAGATTGGGACCGTAATACTTGTAACCTGATCAACGAAGGGGAATGGAAATATGTGTAGCCGATGCGTGTTAACTGCATTAAGTAGTACTGCCTAAAAAAATGTGTAACGCATGTTAGGTTGACTCGAGTAAATCCTTGGACGATTGATTTTTTTTAAACAAGTCATATCGAGGGGCTGTTCACTTGGAAATTGGTGAAAACTATTTCTTCCTTTGAGAACCGATTGCCTTTGATTTTGTTTTATAAAGAACATGGACTCGGTAATTGAGGACTATTAGCCTTAAAATTGTGACAATGTTTCGGTAACTCTCAACAACTTACAGCTGATTTCCACGTGATTTTGGGTGTTAAAATCCGTGATCCAGCGAGTGGATAACCTCTCGAGTTGTATACTGCCGTTATCTGTTTTGGAACAGGAGAAGATATGCAGGTTAGCGTCTAGCTCAGGGTAATTCATTCCTCCCCTTGTGGTAGTAGGCACGAGTTATGTAGATACACGGGAACGAAACACGCACGCACGTACGCACCACGGTGGTTTTTTCCTGATCTTCAAAACGGCGCACGAAATCGACGAGGTCGGCTAACGAGTAAAACTCGACGTGTAGGCACGATGAGTGCGATATTTTCAGGATACTTTGCGAGTACGTGTACAGAAAGTACCGTCGAGGATTTTTTATTTTTACTTATTAGCCGCGCGGGAGAAATTGTGTCGCGCGAGGGGGCGAATTTTTTTTTTCTTTTGGAGGAAGCGTTGACACCGATATGTAGATTTGTATACATACAGAGGGAAACGTCGACGGCCATCGATTCTAGTCTGCCTAGGATTTGGAAATCGCGAATTTAATGTCGAAACTTTGTCGTAACTTCGGTGGAAGTGCGAAGATATGAATCCGCGCGTTCCTTGTAAATGCTACAATTTCGAGATCCCAGAAGTCGAGTTTGCCGAGAGGCGAGACGATCGTTGACAACTACATGCAAATCAGCCCGTTGATCCGTTTCGGAGCCGGCTGACCGTTTTTTCGCTCTCATTTTTCGATTCATCCCTCAGTTAAGGAACTCTCGATATCTGTAGAGGAGCAAAAGTATTATACATTTATATACGTAGATATATATATATATATATATACACACACACATTTTCTCTCTTTCTTTTTTTTTTCTTTCTTTTCGTTTCTCCAAGTCGTTTTCAGCACGACCCAGGCAAATGAAAGCTTCACTTTGCACATATAAACACGGATGGAAAGCTAGCCTCTTATCACGTTTATAACGACGACCTATGCAGTGGTATCATCGTCATCGTCATCATCGCGTTATGTTATGTTTTATGATTAACTATGCATATATATATATAGTATATACATATGTACATTACATTACATTAATCGGATATGCGTGCGTTCTTTTTTTACTCATCCAACCTCGCAGTCTCTTTCGGAAAGAACTTACTGCGTATGCGGTGTCACTTTATGCATCATCCTTTCATGGATTTTCATTTGAGTCTACATGCCTGTCACCGACGGGAGGGACCAATGAAATGAGATTTGTTAAATGGTGGAAACTATTTATTATTTGTGTAATTACCCTCTCTCGGGCTGTGGAAAATACTGTCTTCGACTTATGAACATTTATGAGTTATCGATAATTAAGAATCACAGATCAATGACTGAGAGCAAAGTTTGTACGTTCAGCACACAAGTCGGTACGATATGTACCTTCCTGCGGTTTCAGACGGGCGAATGATTTTTACTACTTGTCCTCTTTTCAGACCAAAGTATCGAGCTACGGGGTCACCGGCTTGAATGCGCATCAGTTGGTTTTCCTTCAACTTGTATCTGGTAAGGAGTTCCTCTTTTTCATCAGGTGTCAATACGATGTGCTCTGGGACCAACTCATGTTCCGTTATGTTTATTAAAAGTTCAGACTCCAGGAATTGTTCCAGAATGTATTTTGGAGCCATGTCTACTAAGGATTGTTTGGCGGAGGGAGTCATGCCTTGTTGCACGACTATAATGGCTCTATAAAAATTAATAATCAATATAGAAATCACCTCATTTTATAAGTTATGAATTAATGGAACCAATTTACCTGTGAATCTTCTCTTCTTGCATACGCTGGCAATATGTCTTAATAGTTTTAATCCCAATCTTCGGCTCATCCGGGAAGAACACAAATAACTGATTGGTCGGGTCGTCATTGTGGGCTACGAGAACAATAAGATCACTACGTGCCGGCCTTTTCTCACTTGGTTTATCCCCAAATTGTTCTTTGAAGTGTTCCAACGTTTGATCCAACTCGTCCTGTGTTACGAGATACCCTCGATCGTGACACAGCTGCATCACCGTTTTTCTAATCCTCCATAATTTGTATGTCTCTGCTTCGTCATCCATGTCGTCTCAATATTCACTTAGAATGTATATCTTTATAAATAAAAAATGAAAATTTTTAGAAACCTTTGTTGATGTCAGTATATTAAAATCATGATTTATTCTCTGCAAGTAACTATAGTGTAACATGATTTCTCATTTTGCTTCATTATTGTAGAAACAAATACGTACAATTTCATACAAACAGTCAAGGCTTAAACTATATAAATACCTTTCAATTGTTAACGTTTAGATTAACGTCACTTAACAGGTTCAAACTGCACGAGTTCAAAATCGTAATTGTTTGAGGTTATGTGCCTGTCTAAAGAGTTTATCACTTTTCGAATAGATGGCGCCAATCTTCTATTATCTCTGCTTTCTATACAGTCTACTCAGGTGAAGTTTCACATCTTGGAATATTCTAAATGAGCGGACCATGTCCATTCGTCGACATAAATTATACTTTGACAGTTCTTTGGTAGAGTCGTTTCTTAAACAACAGAATTCTGAAATAATCGAAACCCGTACGTGCTATTAATTTAAATAATGGCCAAATCGTCAAAGTGCAACAATGGGAAGCTGAAACTATTGACAATGTGCGATTGTAATGCGGAGCCACGAAGCTTATATTTTTCTCAGCTCGAGATGACGCAAGTTTTGTGTCCTATCAATTAAAGGAAATGAAAAGCTCGATTTTTGCAGCTTAGTTGTTACAAAATAATCAAGATGTACTGTAGGTATGCCTGCGTGATGCTTAAAATGGTTTCTCGTACTCTTGTCTCAAGGAGAGGGATACATAACCTCTTTCGCTATTGAAGACATGTATGACACGTCCGTTAATGGTTCATGCACTTCCAAATATGGTAACTTGCATCTATGTAATCTTACAAATAGCTGAAAACTCCGATTGATATGATGCAGCATAAACGATTTAAAATGTGGCTTCTTGCGTTTCTTGTTGCTCTATTGGGCAGTTCGCCTGGCCTTGCGCAGCAGGTAGCAGAGGTAAGTTCTGCGTCTGCTGTTTTAAAGTCCAGACATGAGCTAAAATTACATCATATCTTACAGAATCACAGTACAGATTTAATCTCGGACCAAGAGGACACTCTGCTGATGTTTGCAACCCTAGCAGGATCATTTATCGGTGTTGGACATAAATCAGGGGAAATACGTTGGAGACACGACGATGGTAGAGATTATATATATTTTTTTCATGTATTTATTCTTCCTTTCATGTGCATTAGGTATTTGATGTGAATTTATTGCAGAGCCTGTAGTAAAAGTACCGGTTGATGTTTCCGAGACAACAATGTAAGTGAACGGTTGCATACCAAAAATTTTTGCTGAAAAATTGAATTCTGATCAATGTGCTGCTTTAGGCCTAGATTCCTGCCAGATCCAAAAGATGGATCTTTATACTTATTTGGTACAGAGACGGAGGCTCTTAAGAAACTTCCGTTTACTATACCGCAATTAGTTGCCAGCAGTCCCTGCAGAAGTAGCGATGGAATACTATATACCGGAAGAAAAATTGATACATGGTTTAGCATCGACCCACGATCGGGGGCGAGGAAGCAGCTCTTAAGCTTTGATAAAGCAGAAAATACTTGCCCTCTTGAAACGCAAGATGCAATCTTTGTAGGTCGCACAGAATATAATGTTATTATGATCGATAGCAAGCACAAAGACAGGAAGTGGAATGTTACCTTTTACGATTACTCAGCATCCAAGATAGATCCTGATGGATCAGAAAATTATGGTTTGTGATCCTTATCAATATTACCTATTTTAATGTGGATCTATTTTATATTTTCTACAATAAGATTACTTTTCTCCCAGATCTGGTACACTTTACTACCAGCTCTACTGGCCGAGTGGTAACACTGAATCGTAGGTTAGGTTTTCTACTTTGGGAATTGGACTTGGGAAGTCCCGTAATAGCAGCATATACCGTCAGTGACGATGGACTTACTTCTGTACCATTTACCAGCGTTGCCGATGGAACGTTAGATCATTTATTACAGCAATTTATAACTAAGCCAAGTGACTTTCAATTATTGTAGGTTACATTTATCATAAAGAATCGACAGGTAAAAATTGTCCAAAGTGGTACTACATGATTAATACTTTTTCAGCCAAACTTTGTATATTGGAGAACATCAGCATGGTTTGTATGCCTTGCCATCTTTAGCTGACTCGTCCACTGCAACGATATCGAGCAAGGCAGGTCATTTAATGCTCGAAGGGCCGTTGATAATACAGGAGGCACAGGAAAACCAACACTCTATTCCTCTTCCGGGAGCTCATGTGCGCATGAATCACATCGAACAATCGCAAGATGATTATCAAAGTATGACTCGAGATAGGATAGTGACCACCGGTGAATTAATTTTTCTTGTATACTACTTCGATAACTCCTAAGATAATATTTCTTATAATGTAAAATTATTTAACAGGATATTACAAGGTCCCCACTGAGTATCAGCTTCAGAATCAGCCACTGCAGATCACGGGGCGATCGGACCCTGTAATTCACTCTGATCCATTTGTTTTGAACCTGTCAACACTTTCCACGAAAACTGTGCAAACTGACGAGTGCAGAAACGCAACTATCGAGGCGAAAAACTGGAGAAGAGCTGTGTCAGCTACGTACAATGCCAGCAGAGGTTGGATCAGTCGACAGGAAAATAAAGGCCTCAAACTAGCTCTCGTCATTTTACTAAGCTGCGTCATTGCAATGTTCTGGTATCTGAACGTCCAGTTCAAGGAGTTCCAGCAGCTGTCCCAGGTAATCATCCAATTTGATCGCAGTGTCTTGATAACTGAGTGGAACGTGTAAAGTTCTCCGATGTGCCATAAGTAACCAGGGATTTATCAAGAATTTGTACGCCACGCCTAAGAGTAGCAACTTGATCAGGGTTCCAGGGAGAACAGCCGAACAGGCAGCAACGGCAAACATGGAAACTTGGCTGCCCCCGAAGACATCGGTGAAGGTCTGGTCAGGATTGGGAAGATCACGTTCAACACCTGCGAGGTTTTAGGAAAGGGATGCGAGGGAACCTTCGTATACAAGTGATTAAATCCCATTTCGATATTTCCTTCAAGGTTTCGTTTCGAGATTTATTAAATAAATCACCGAGAACGTTTTGTTCTTCTAGGGGTGAATTCGACGGAAGACTGGTAGCGGTGAAGCGTCTTTTGCCAGATTGCTTCACATTTGCAGACCGAGAAGTTGCGCTTCTAAGAGAATCCGACGCCCATGCAAACGTGGTTCGCTACTTTTGTATGGAGCAGGATCGAATGTTTCGATACATCGCCTTGGAATTGGCCGAGGCGACTTTACAGGATTACGTGGCTGGGAGGTACAATAAAAATAAGATCTCAGTGAAGAACATCCTCAGACAAGCGACCTTTGGTCTTGCTCATCTTCATTTCTTGGACATCGGTGAGTCAAGGCTCCCATGTCCTCGTTCGTTAGGTCTAGTTTGTATATCGACGTGTAGATCATAATCGCTTTAACTTTTAGTCCACAGGGATATCAAACCGCACAATGTTTTACTATCGGTGCCAGGTCCTCGAGGAGAGGTTAGGGCGATGATATCTGACTTCGGACTCTGCAAGAAACTTCAACTGGGTCGAATGTCCTTCTCGAGAAGATCAGGAGTGACTGGAACGGACGGGTGGATAGCGCCGGAAATATTTAACGGACAAAGGACCACCTGTGCCGTAGACATCTTCTCCTTGGGCTGTGTCTTTTACTACGTCCTGTCAGGAGGCAAACACCCCTTCGGTGACCCTCTCCGACGGCAGGCAAACATTCTCTGTAAGTTTAGTGGCATGAGCTCAAAGTTAAAATTTAAGATTCCTTTGTAAACGTCATTTCGATTTTCATCTTCGTGACACCTTTTCACCAGGTGGTGAGAATGATTTGTCAACACTGCAGGACGTCTCTGCGAGTGATAAGGAGTTGGCACGAGTCCTGATCAAAGCGATGATCTCTGCGAATCCTTCCGACAGGCCACCAGCTACGGCTATCTGTAGCTATCCCATGTTCTGGGATGCTGGCCAAGTTCTTAACTTCTTTCAGGTATTCGCTTCGAGTCCTTTATCGATTTTTGCACCTTGATTTTTTATATCGGTGGTCCTTTTTATCCCCGTAGGAGGTCAGCGACAGAGTAGAAAAAGACGAGCCAGACAGTGCTGCCTTGATAGCTCTGGAGTCCGGAGGGAGGAAAGTCGTCCAGGGAGATTGGAGATTGCACATCGATGTCGAGGTGGCTGCTGACCTTCGAAGATACAGGAGCTACCGTGGAGAGAGTGTCCGGGACCTCTTAAGAGCCCTTCGGAATAAGGTGACCGTTTAACATTATTTTTTCTCACCCATTGAGATATTCAAAATACACTAACTCGAAGAATCTGTCCTCGTTAACAGAAACACCACTACAGGGAACTAACCTCCGAAGCGCAACGTAGCCTAGGTGAAATTCCTGGAGAATTCGTAGAATATTGGCTTTCGAGGTTTTCGTATCTCTTGACGCACGTCTGGTGCGCGATGCAGAGCTTTCGTTCCGAGCCCACGCTGAGACATTACTACGATTCGGAGTATGAGTTTCTGTGTGAAAAAGACAGCCCCGATCCCGGGGATGCTGCAGAGACTGTCGCGGTACCCACGTGGAGGACTCACGATACCGTAATCTGGAGTCCACAGAGGTCTAGGTTTCGAGGACCTAAACGGAAGCAGGAGAAGCGGAAAGTCGAGGAGTCTCTCGTTTGGACTTTACCTTCGGCACCTGATTGAATGTGTCCTGAATTCCCGGTGCGTAACGAGTTGTTCAAGAGCGAGTGCGCCGATCCATGAACTGTGTGATCCGTTATGTAAAACAATTACCTAACGTGCAAGTGGTAAAAAAGTCTCCAACCAATGGGATAAGTGATACCCTTCATCGGTTGAGAAGTGTTTACGGTTTTGCAGGTTAAGAAATGATTCCACCCAGCGAAGGAATCTTGCAGTAAGTGTGTCACGTTTTCTCGACATTTTTCTCAAAGTCTATGGATGAACTTCTGTGATGTTAAGGTTTCCCATTTCAATGGAATCCACCGGCTCGTCCCAACCGGTATCTTGTAAATATCGTAGTTCACTAAGTCGGACAGTTTTTGATGTTTTTATACGATAAATCCGTGAGAATGGACGCAAGAGGTGTTCCACGTTTACCTACATTCCCAGTTATTCACACGAAACGTAACATCACGAAGTCAATGATATTTTATGATATCTTTGTATTGTATTGTCACATGAGTAGAAATTACTCGATTGGCTACAATCGCGGAGAAGTTTAACATAAACCAATTTTACAAGAGTGTGGACATGGTAGTATTACGATGCTTTCATGGGTTTTAGGGGTTGACAAGAGATCTAATGGATTCGCTGTACAAAATATATTTGACGAACCACATTTAGTCGTAATATAAATTTTATATATATATAATAACTGTACGTATGTACATCTAGCAACGATGAGGAAATGTAAATTACATATTTTATTATATCGCACAATTTATATTTATGTACAAATTAATTAATGACTACGTCGATTCTTCCCAGAAAAATCCTGATCGATCTCAAAGACTAGCACTAAGGTTACGAGTTAAATATTCCGTGATTTGCCTATCACTCCTCTGCGTAAGGGTCCTCAGCCTTTCGGAATCATTCTTGGTCCTCTTCGATCCAGGTAGGTACTTAAGATCTCTTTGTCCTATCACAGTCCAGCTCCAAGGACCTTGACAACGATCTTGGCAACATCCATCGACTTAGTATGGGCCTCTTCCAGAGCAGTCAATCCTTTTGAATTCCTGATCCTGGTATCGCAGCCATGTCTTACGAGCAACTCAGCAATCCTATTGTTTCCAGTCCTACAGGCGAGGTGCAACGGAGTGTCACCCTGCAGATCCTTCACGTCAGGGTTGCAGGTTCCACACTCTAGAAGGAGTTTCGCGACCTCATGACTCCCAGATCGGCAGGCCAGATGAAGAGGAACTCGGCCATCGAGTTTGGTCCTGGCTCCGACGTCAGCTCCGGCATCCAGGAGCAACCTGACCATTTCGATGCATCCATTGGCAGAGGCAACGTGAAGAGCGGATTCCCCCTTCTCGTTGCACGCATTCACCCTGAGGAAATTACCAGGAGTCTCCCTCTTATCCCTCCCCTCTCTAAGCTGTCTAAGTTCATCGAAGTCTTCGGGGTCCTGAGAGATGCATTTCTGGCAGTCGCAAAGAGGATGGCACAGATCCGTCGATGGCTCCAGGCATTGATCGAAGGGCTTTCTGGGACCTTCCAGTCCTAGGTAATAGCAGGCTAATCTAACATCTCCTTCGGCTACAGCAGACAGGAGTCTTTCCGTCCTGCGAAGTCGCTCCTCCAGGAATCGACGGCCTTGAGGCTCTCCCTTAGAATCAGGAGTGGCCGACCCGGAAGACGTGGACTCCTCTCTGCTGGGAAGGTACTCTGGGCGTTCGACCGGAATCGCAGGAGTCACGTCGCGAGTCTGGGACTCCAGGAGTCTTGCCAGATGAGTGCTATGGGCTACGGATAGTGGAGAGTGACCTTGGCGATTTTTGACCTTATGATCTGCTCCGTACTCCAGGAGAACCTTGGCTATCCCAGCGTAGCCCCACTTGGAAGCATGGTGGAGAGCGGTGTCCCCGTTACAATTGGCCGCATCGGTCTCGATGAGGATCCTCATGTGCTCGGCGAAGTGGAGCAGAGCCTTGACACAGGCTTCGTGGCCATGGTCCGCTGCAAGATGCAACGGAGTGTTTCCTCTGGTGTCAGCTATCGTTGGGTCTGCATTCGCCTGGAGCAGCAATAGCAGGGCGTTTTGGTGCCCACTGGAGGCTGCGCAGTGCAATGGGGTTGCACCGTCGGCATCTATGTCGTTGACGTTTGCCTCTTTCGAGAGCAGAAAGTCCACTAGAACTGCGTGACCATAAAAACAGGCCAGGTGGAGAGCGGTTAGGCCTTTGTCGTCTCTCCAATGGACCGTGGGAAGCCCCAGCTGAGGATCCCCTGCAACAAGAGGTGTGGAGGTCAGGATGATTTTAGGCGTCTAGATAGAGATTTCGACCTCAAGACGGTGTTTCGGACGCCTAGACGCGCGTACCTGTTACTCGCTGTTCGCAGAGCTCGCAGGAACAGAGAGGGTGGCACAGCTTGCTATTATCAGGTTCCGGAGGCTCCTTCGACAAGACCTGCCGTACCACTGCCAGGTCGCCCTTTCTCACGTGCTCGAATAGATATCCCAGTGAGATCTCCTCGTCCTTCGGAACGACTTTCGAATCCGCACACTCGTCCACCGGGATATCGGCTTCTGGGTTCGCAGGTCCTGTCAGAATTCCAGACTTGACGTGCTCTACCGCAGCCTCCAGGGAAGTTATCAGGAAGCCTGCCTCGTCGGCCTCGCAGGTGGAGTTCGAGGAAAATCTGAAATTCTTCATGAAGGCCAACTGGCCGATCCAGTTGGGGAGACCTGCCCTGATGACGAGGAACACTAGCACCGGAAGCAAGTCGTCCGAGGAGACGGACGCCTCGCCCTGAGACAGGAAGTGGACCACTCTCTTCAGGCAACCGACTTTCCCCAAAACTGTTGAAAATCCGTCCAATCTCGCCAACTCCTGCTTTCCCCTGAGAACACCTTCGTACAAGTCTGGCCGGATACCTAGGTCCTTCAATTCCAGTTCGTTCAAGTTCTTTATGATCTTATTCAAGTTAGCGTCCTCGAAAGCAGTCCTTGCGAAGACTGATCTGGGCAACAGCTTCCGCACTCCATGCAGGATGTAGGTCTCGATAGAGATTTTCACCGTCCTAAGGATGTGTCGACTGGTGGTCGTCCTCTGCCTCATCCTGCTGTCCTTCAGGACGATTCTGAGCCCGTTTGCGTACAGGGTACCCACCAGGTCTCGCTGGGCACTCAGAGGCTCATTCTCCAGAGTCTCGTGTACCTGTTGGAAGTCTTCGATGGCTCGGTCCAACTCCTTCAAGATGCTCTTCTCCAGGATCTCCGTCCAGAGTAGGTCCATGCACTCCCGGAGATTCGTTACGACGGATATCCTATCTTCAGGGGTCGAGGTGTCCTGCTCCAAAGGCTGCTCGATGCACCTGTGTAGCGAACATAGGCTTTGATAATTTACGCACGGTATTTAGGTTATTATTGAGTTGATTTGCTTACCATATTCGATACTTGTGCAGATCTTCCGTGTAGAAGGTCTCCTCAAAGAGAAGGTGCGAAGAGCGAGGCTTGGCAGTATCGTACTTTATGGTTAGCACTCTGTTGCATAACTCGACTTCCCTCCCAGCTAAAGTGTGAAAGCGTTTCATCGATGGATCTTCGGTAGGGATTAGCACGTGGCTCAGAAAGTCGTCTTCTCGTAAGGAACTCCTCGTGAAGCTCCCGCATCGTGGCACGCAGATAATCCAACCCTCGTTGATGGCTTTCTCGTAGGTGCAGCTGTGTTCTTTGCGGAACTCCTGTAAGAATGGGTTCTCGGAGAGGTCCTCGTCGTAGCACGACTCCATGACCCGGTCGATCCATGAAACCAGGGGGCGCGAGGTCGCTCGAGGGTAAATCCTTCTTCTGAGCAAGAAGCCAGCCGGTCCAAAGAGGCAGGAAAAAAGGGATATCGCCCCGTGGCACATATGAGAAAACTTTGCCACGTGTAGTCTTATCTTTGGAGCACATAGTGAAGTATTAGTTATTGCTAGATCTGTCGAATTAAAGCCCATACGCTCTTGCCAAGGTATGGAAATTAAAACTGCTTGAAAACAAACTTAACTACGGAATTAGAATTTATCGCACCGAGACGCATCTTATCTTTGCAGCGATTAACTGCGAATGCCATTGCTAATGAGATTTCTTGAAGGTGCAATGTACATACGAGTCAATGACTTCTTGATTTTATCGAACAAGTGGATATAATAACAGAGTTCTCTTACCACAGGTATCGGCACCGCAGAGAAGCAGGTGAAAACCCAAGTGTCAAGTGACCGTTCCCAGGGTACAACTTCTACTCATCGGTGCCTGTTCAACACTGGTTCTGCCTCTAGGGAGATGTCTGGAAAGCAATCAGTAATTGATACGCCTGGAAAGCCTTTGGCCAGCAGCATTTCTAGATGGTCAACCTCTCCACAAAAAGTTGTAGCACAATTTGTTTTTACAATTACTAATCGCTGACATAAATTGTGTTATTTATTAAAACAACATAGATTTCTCGTTTCTTCAATCGAAACAAATTAGAAAACTCATGTGCAATGGTTGCATGGCAACTTAACCTTACAGAAACGTCAATAGAGATAAGCACAGTTTCTGTAATCTCTTTCATTGCACGTTCTCTTGTGAATACTCATAATTCGGCCCCTCCACGGCCATTTTAATTCCATATTTTATTAGGAGAAAATAAAGAGTATCGAGGTAGCCAAATTAAGCCACCTCTTTTATCATCATATTCTCCTATTACCCTGTACCATCCCTTGAGGGGACTCGATACCAGGAAAATGTAAGTAAACAATAAAGAAGTAATTCAAAGATTGAACATACATACACCTAGTGGGGACAACTATGGAAAGTGGAACTCTTTGGTATCGCAGCGCCTCGTGGCGATAGGTGCAGTAAAGGAAATCTACCGAAACGTACTTTCCCCCACCAACGCAACGCATCAATCAAAGCATTTTAATCTGTCTATGAAGCAGGGATGAGCCATGGGAGCCATGTGACACAATGAATGTTATTGTTCGTTATTATTAGTATTTCTTATGTGACGTTAAATTCATCGGCGTTTCTCGAGTGGAAATCATTCCAAACAATCTACAATGTACCATACATAATTTGGAGTAACCTCAAAATTGAGGATAACCTGAAGGATAGTGTGTCACGCGTGTGAATAACTACAATTATCCCACTTTGAAAAAGTCATTTAAGGTTAGGGCCATAAATGATTAATTAATTGGAAGAAAAATTATAGCTCCCAAAGAATTGAGGAAGAAAACTTGCTGTTACGAGCAGATTGGGATTTGAGTTCTGAAATTACAATGTGTTCAGAGACAGAGATTGTAAAATTGTAATTAAGTTGTTACAATTAATAAGTACATAGATCAGAAAGAATTGGCAGACTAACTGCATCGTTACCATGCATGTTTACATTGAAAAGATTTTAAACTGCGCCGTGTTGTGTATTTATCTCCGTACAATATGGCTCGTCGTGATAAGCATCTTGTATGAATTTACCATGCCTTGGATCGTATGGGGTATGATGATTGTCATGATCGGAGTAAAACTTGCGAGGGTTCCACCACCACACCCAAGCATCGTGCAGGAGGTCCTCGGAATCGACCCTTTTGTCTCCGACACTCAGACAACCAACGACGTCGACCATAAGAGCCAGGGTAACGGGGACGGGTATTGCATGCGAGTGGTGGCTCACCGTGGTGGAGGATACGATTACCCCGAGAACAGCTTGTCAGCCTTCCGAAATGTAAAAACTCATACGCTTTTAACGAACTCATGGCCCCTTTCCATCCAATTTCCCTGCAGTGCCTAGGCACGCTCCAAGAATCCTTTACTGTGACAGTCTATGCTCTGTGGCACTAAGTACATACTTTGATAATTTTAATTCTATTGTCAGCACAGTAATTACTCTCAAACACCTGATTTCGATTTAAAGGACACAGTAATTAAATTTAATTCTTATCTCCAACTTTGCATGTATAACTGTTTTGAAAGCAAATATTGCTAATAATTAACCATATTTGTATTTGTTAACAGCATTGATAATACTTGAATTAAAACAAAGTGAGTGATCCATTTATTGTGTCCTTTTTATTGAAAAACTGAAGTTAAAGGAAAGAGGAATTTCTAATGGTGGTCTCATATGTGAATAATGAGCGTTCTTTTCCATTATTTCTAGTGCAAAGAGAAAGGCTGCACTGCTGTAGAACTTGACATATCTCTCACCAAGGACAATGTTCCAATAGTGTTCCATGATGCTACCATTGAAAGGCTCGCTGGTAGAGAAGGAACGGTGCGAGACATGACTTGGGAAGAAATAAAGGAAATAGACATTGCGTACACTCATCCTCTTCGGTAAGCCCTTGTTGTTTAAATTAATGGGGCCATGGGTCAACTTAATTAAAATCTGTCACAAGATTTATATAGAACTGTTTTTATTATTCAAAGGGACAAGTTTGGCAGCTCTGAGAGGATCCTTCTTTTAGACGATGCCATTGGAATATGCTTGCAGAACGGTCAGCACATTATTATGGATTTAAAAGAAAAAGGTCCTGTAATGGTTCAGACTATTTTAGACTTCTTTTCAAAATATCCTGAGCTCCTTAGAAGGGCAGTTGTCTCTAGCTTTGACCCAATTGTCGTGTACATGGTACGTAAGTTAATGAAGCATTTTAAGTCAACAGTAATGACCTAATCTTAAATAATATTTAGATACGAAGGAAAGAACCACGTATAGTATGCAGTCTAGCTTGGAGACCTCAATATTTCTCCAGGCAAGCTTATTTAGGGTTGGATGGGCCGGCGCTACCACGCTTTGACAATCCCTTAAAACATTTGATGGCCTGTCTAATGGACTGTATTTATGGGTGGGCTTTTCCTCGGTTTGTGTATTATATTGTAGGAGTTTCGGCCGTTCTACTGCACAAAGATATGATCAATCCGTGAGTAGTGTATAAATTATTAACGTAGAATTACAGTGACAGATTTCTGTACAGGGGTAATGAAATTATACCGAGTAACGTAATAATTTCAGTAAAGTGATTTGTCAATGGAAGGCAAGAGGAGTACGAGTGATGGCGTGGAGTGTAAATCAGCCCTCAGAGAAGATACATTTTTCCAGGCGACTTAGAGTGACATACCTGACGGATACATTACTAGCAGAGAAGATTTCGTAGCAACGTTCATAACATTGACAGGTACAACAGAAAAAGAGACTCGTTAATCTCGAGTTTCTAGATTTTTACATTGAGGCACGGTACATTAGAACCAAGGAAGGTCGTGTTGTAAATCATTAATTATACGTTTAGGTTTCTAGTTTTAGTTACACTTATCTCTAATCTTCTATAAACACGCGGGGAACGGTTACAAATTAGACACTTGGCCAGTTAAGAAAACGGGTTATTCGAAAAGAGGCAAAGGCCTCAAAGTATCGTAACCGAAGCTCCACATGAAACGTATCCGCAGAGTAAGTAGGAAGTGTTTTTAATTTATCAGTATTATTTATTTAGCAGTATTATTAATGGACGTCATTATGATTGGCAATCGTGTATCGCGAGAAACATTCCTTTGTTTGAGTACAGATCTTTGTGGCATTATTTAACCTGTGAATCACTTGTAAGAAATGTCATCATTACTAAGTACTCTGCTTTGTGTAGATTTTTTATATTTTTGTACATAGTCACATCATGCCTTGGCACATGGATACAATACCTTGGCAAGTGATCCGTGGCAGTGCTATAAAATTAAGAAACGAGTATTTGCGTATAAAAATAATAAGTTTGACCTAAGTATTTCGTTCCAGTCAAACTATACGTAATATAGTGTACGTACTATCGATAAGATTCATTGAAGTGGACGGATGAGGACGTTTCTCGATGTCATTTGCCCTTAAACTCTAATGATTACTTTTTTAAGGTAATACATTTTTTAAACAGTAATTAACGCGCAATTACATTGAGTTTATAAAGCAAGGATGGTTCCTCGTGATTATAGCATATTTTTCATCCCATACAAATCACTTAATCTAAACGAATCATGGTTAATTTATACAACGGTTGTCAATTTGCTCTTACGGGACTCCATCCCCTCGATGAGTCCGGTCAATAAATCTTCCATTTCGGTGGCAGCACGTTTAAGCTCGCAGTTGTCATCTGCACTAAACGATTCTAAGGGAAACAAGAGGAAAGAATTGCATCTTCCTAATTTGCTGTAGGCTTTTGACAAAACTCTAGATGGAGTAAATCGACGTGTCTTACCTTCGAGGAGGCACTCATTGGCAACCATGTTCTGCAACCTGTCTAGAATGTCATTTAGATCGCCCTGAATATTCTGAAGACTGCTGTGCTGCGAATGCTTGTCAGGTCGTTGTAAAGAAGAAGGCGTATTATCTCGATGAAGACCTCCGGACGGAGAGGACGAAGCTGCCAGAGGAGGGGATGCTCTCTTGACATCGTACTTGCTCTCTTCGCTCTTTCCCATGCCAGATTTCAGCCACTGAGAGAAGCCACTGTTGCCATGATTCAATCCTGTCGTATTACCCCCTGATAAAGCGAAAATGTGACACGGTTTGCATGACTTTGTGTATACAGCATTTGTAGTAATAAGACAGAAAGCCATTTAGTTACCTCCGACCCAAGTGCTGAGTTCAATACCAGTAGGCTCCAGGAGATTAGGTAGCCCTGAACCGTAGGTACCACCGAGGTGTGTACGATCCTCGAATCGGTCTTCTTTCGAAGAAGAAGGGTCAATTGCTGCGGGGGTCGAATCGAACCGAAAATTTTCCTGCGGTCGAGAATAAGTGATCGAGCCCTGGCGCACGATAGGACTCAGCTCAAACTCTAGAGGCAATGGAGCTACTTCCATGGGACGGAGTACCGGCGTGCTTTGCATGCGGCTTATCATACGCGGGGCTGAGGTGCTCCGAGCAAATAAATATTTCTGGAGAGGTAAAAGACATCGTATAAGTTCATTGGCCACAGACAATTGCGTTAGAGCGATCGAAGTAAGATTATAATTAAACTGAAATATAAAGATTTACCTTGAGAATCTTGAGGCGTTGCAACTGTGACTCGATAGTGGCTCTGTGACGTTGCAACCTCTCTGCTCTGGTGCCACAAATCTCTAGGAGTTCCGTGTGAAGTTGCCTGTTTTCTTCCTCCAAGTGACTAATAATACTTTGCAATTCTTTTTGTGGATCATCAAGCACTTTCCTTCTTACTGTACTTCTTAAAGATATAGTGTCCGATGCTTTCGCTTCGTTGCTACAAAAAGTATATTACGTCTTTCAATGTGTTTTTCAGAGTATCGATGACATAATAATGAAAATGTTTGTCATAAACGTCTTGTATGTACCTTGAAGAATGTGGCGCTGGGCCTGCCAAATCCGCGGCAGCAGCTGTTCTTGTCGGACATAATCTAAGTTTATTTCTAATTAACTCGATGATTAATTTCGTTATCTCTCTATTGGAAGTCTGCAATAAAGAAAGGGGAATACTGGTAGTGATGATGGAAAAAGAGACTCTAAATGCTAAAATTAATCATTGTCGCTATTCTTACCTTTACGCAGTATTCCCTGACAGGATGTTTTGATTTGTGTTTGTTAGATGTTTTTCCTAAGAGAAAACATGCCTGGCATTGGTGGTAGCCTGCACACCTTAGACACGAATAACGTGGTCCTTGCACTGGAGTTACTTTGCATGTCGAACATTTAATGTCATGTGTTACTAAAACAAAAACCATGCTTCTATTGAAATAAAAAATATGATTAACAAAATTTCTAATTGTTTGTAGTTTTCACAGGCTTGAAAGTATATAACTGTTCTTAATGTATCTTACCATGTTCAGCAGCTTTCATTCGATTCAAAGTCGTTAACCAGACGAGCAACGGCGGGTCGTGCATTAACCACATGGCAAATTCTGCTTCGCTAACTCCAAGACCACTTTGGGACTGTAGGATCGAGAAGATTAAAAAAAGAAGTTGTCACATTGAAGACAATTTATACGAAAGGTAGTTTTCAAACAGGTACCTCTCCGAAGCAGCTGTCGATACTGGATTGTATCATGTGATTACCATATGCTGCATTTTCTCCAAGCATTTCAGTTATTTTGCAAATATTTGTTAGTAAAGTCTTTAGGGCTGCTCTTGATAAACAAGCATTATGATCAGCTAATTGTTGATATAAATACCCATACTTCTCTTGCAGACGACTGCTACTTATCACGATCAGTGCAACTTTGACAGAGAATACAGGAACGTTGCCTTCACGTTTCCTGTGTTTAGAATACAACGACAATGGTCAGGAATTTAATAACTAACTCAAGATATTAACATAGACAACTCACTCATCAAATACATTGAGGATATAATTGACACCAAGCTTCGTAGCTAGATCTATGTCAAAGTCGATGCAGGCCTCCTTACGAGCTGCAAAATAAATATCAGAAAGCACATCTTCGATTTCGCTGGCATCCAAAGTTACTGAGTTCTCTGTAACCGATAATCCATGTCTTTCGAATACACCGGCTACTAATTCCAGATGAACATGACGCACTGAAGGAAAATTGAAAAGTCTTTAAAACGTATTTCTAAAATTATACATGGCTATAGTAAACTTACTGTTCAGTTCTCGATGTAAAATTAACATTTTAGCAGCAGTTCTATACGAGGCATATCGAATCGCATCGCACTCCTCGATTGATCTTAAAATTCTCCGCATGGTTGGATGATTCCACTCTGTTTGTTTTGTAGCGTGGCTGTAACGGTATGATAAAGAATATTTTATCAAACATAATAATAATTCCACAAACCAAGGGACGTTTCATCATATGACAAATCTTACTTGATGTAATATGGAATGCCTCCATTTGTTTCTGCCAGGGCCCAACCATTGGTATACTCTGAAAATAAATTATTTTACTACTTTAACGAATCAAAGTGAGCTATAAATATGAAATACGTAAGATGGAAGCTAGGGAAAATTGAACAATAATAGTAATGCTTATCAAGTACCTTCAGTCATGGTTTTCACGAACTTTTTCAAAATCGGTGATTAGAGATACACTGAAGGGTTGAACCTTAATTTGATATCATCTCTTGTAGAATGTAAAGATCATCGATACGACTCTAAAAAATTGTTCCCATCATCTCGGCAAGTTAAACCGTGAACCGCGATAATTTTCTCGCAATTATTCTACAAAATCTTGAATTAATAATATTTAATATTGCCGTAGGAACGGAACAACGGTAAACCACCACCCACAGAGGGGTGAATCGATACTTGGGCCCGCTTCGACCTATCGATGCGACTGTCGAGAGTCGTTCGATATACTGCATGTCGACCCAAAATGGCGGGGAACTGGATGCGCGAGAGTTACTGGCGGTTGGAAACTCGTGTGCACGCGGTGCGAACAATTCGCGCGCGAATTTGCTTTTTCGGTGAATAACAAGATTTAACGCTCGTTGTGACGACTGAAACGGCCTATTCTTTAGTTTCCTGTGATTTGTTGTCCAAAGCCACGCTAGACGTGAGGTCTACGGACGCTTGTGGACGCTTGTAACGGTCTAACGGAAAACTGCGCCGGACATAACCTCCAAGGCAATTCCCATCTAAAAAGGTACTTTCAAATTTATTATTAAGCGTTTCCTGATCTGTTAAGAATTCCGAGAGAGAACAATCGCTCCCTGTCTAAGCTGTGTGATCGTAGATGATACATAACACGAGTATCAAGTTTAATACCGAATTCTGGTTCCTCAGGAAAGATCTCGGTCTCTTCGGAAGAGATTGGCTTCAGCTTGACATCTCCGATGTTTTTCCTTTTACTATAATTTTTAGACTTATTTCACATGTGAATTTAAATGTTCTTTTACATGTTTTGGGAAGTTGAAACTTTGCTGGATCCAAGGTCATTTGTAGAGTCCGAGTTTAACGTCAAGCTTGGAATGTGTTTTTTTGGCTGATAATAGTGACTCGAATAATGTGTGTGCCATGACAAGAAAATAGTTTGTAGATTAGTTTATTAAATTAATAATATAAATAAATGCTGAGTCACAGGAAAGAGTCGGGTTTTTAATATACAGGAATTGGATAGAATTGTAGAGAAAAATCTGTTATCTGTTTATATCTATATATACAGTGTTTATTCGGGCTAAAAGTAGAAAATATAAAGCTATACACCCGAAATCTTGGGTGTCATCAGGGATAACGACTCTCACCTGAATGATTCCTTGCACCATTGGCTGCTCAAAATCTGTTACAAAGCAGCAAAACGATACTTAACGCTAGTGGACGAACTCTACAACTGCTGTTTGGACTCTCAAAACATGGATAGCAAGGCTATGAATTTTGGTAGCAAAAGCTAAAATCTATCGTTGCCCCAGTGGGTCCAGTATCCTCAGTGGTATTTCTTAAGAATAATTGCAACATTATCTATCGGCTATTATTTATGCCTGTGCTTATACTTTTATACAAGTATCCTTTACGAGATAACTTGATTTCCGTAATAACAAGGCAATTGCATCGCACAGCAAGCCATTGTATACACCAGCCCTGTGGACCACTGAGGGTATTGTGCGTTACTTGTGATATCAGATGATCTTAAATCTCGGTAGATCGCATGAATGAAATGGAGGAAACAGAAATGATATCTTAAACCCTCTCTCGATTCGTAATTGACTTGGGCCAGTACGTGCCGGACCTGCCAACATACCTTAACTCGTTGTATACAATTTTAGCCACTCGTTGGCACTTCTGGAAACTATTTTCTTCAATGTGCACCCTCTTTGTAATCGATTCTCATTCTGTTTTTCCTTTAACAGCAAAATCCGGAAGAAGATCCAAATGCCTTTAAATTTGAAACATACGTAGATTCTTTTCAGAAAGCCATCGATGAGTCTCCGATTAAGGTATTTCCATGCAAACACGTCTATCCATCCTGGGGAAATGTGTGAAACTCCCAGATGAGCCGAAAGGACCCAGAATTGAAATTTCATTTGCAATTCATGGCTTTGGGAGTTTACTACCAAGAAGGCTACGCGATCATAGTTGAAATCGGACTGAACCGCATGATCTTGCTGAGAAGAATCCAAGCCACCGAGGCCAGGGCACAGAGGGTAACTCCACCCCATCCAAAGTCCATGCTCCAGCTGGTAGAGAATCTCCTTGCTTTGAGAACCACTCTTGGAACGGGACCGCCTATGACACCATCCTCTGGCCCATCGACGATTCTAGCTCCTCGGTCTTGAGCCCTCTTGAAATGGATTATCGTCAAAGTGAACAAAGCAAACGTTGCTGAAACGTATAATTATACTTAATATAGTTCTGTTTTGACATTACTCATCTACATAACCTCAGAAGTAATGCCAGCAAAGACCCACAGACCTGCTAAGAGATACATCACTCCGGTGACGAGGACTGCGGAGATTTGGTGCCTGCAGAGGCCAAAGAAACCCACGAGCACCGCACATCCCAGAATTATCAGGCACACCAACGAACAGGAAATGCTGAGATTCTGCATCCCTGTAATACAAGATGAATCGGAGGTACTCTTTGTGACATTCCACGTCGTATGCATCGCACATTATCATTTTTCCCATTCTCGTCGAATTCGAAGGAGAATCATCGATCCAGAAATCATTGGGGACTTTCACCCAAGGACGTTCCCACGTGTTAAATCCAAGCAGAAATGACTTGCGTTTGTATCGTTATTACGTGCTTCGTTATCGCAATCCTCGGAACAGGATTATCGATCCTAAAATCATTAAGGAGACATGCCACGCGAGGTCATTCCCGTGTATTAAATTTCCGCGGCAATAAGCGGGTCGATCGACGAGTACACCCGAAAGGTCGCGGATAGACGCCAAGCGTACCGAGGACGACGAAGGAAGGTTGAAGGTCGACCCTGAAGGAATCGATCGCCGACATCGCGAAAGTACGATCGAAACATCGTAAAAAAAAGGTTCCAGAGTCTCCGATCCAGGATGGAATCGTTCCCTCCTCTCCAGGGATCGATTTCCGAAACGAAGGACGATCAACGATACTCACGATTCTGCCAGGCAGCTCGCATTTCTTCGTGAGCCTCGTCGGGGCTTAAGTAATTGATGCATCTCTCCTGAGGGAAGCCCAATTGACCCAGGAGGCGGATCTCCTCCTCTGGAAGACGACGGGTCAGGGTAACTCCGGATTAATCGAGACGCAGGAGCGATCCAAGAATATCGATTGCTCGGAGAGAGGAGTAAGGACCTCGTCTGAAAGATATTCGTCCCGGACCGACCCCCGAGCGGTTAAGGTCGAGGATCAACGGACGGGGATCGACGCAGCGCTCGATTACCTGGCAAAGAGACGCACATGGTCCAGATGCCGCCGTGCATGGGGATCAGGAAGACCGGCTTCCGACGGGGATGCCAGTTCCCCCGAGCTTGGAAGCCTGGTCCCAGCATCGCGACCCTCCCGTCCAGGTACCACGTGGTGCTGACGTTTGCCCTGGCGAGGGCCTCCCTGTCCCAGCCGACTTCCTCCCAGTGGTCGGACATGATCGCCCCGCAGAGGAGTCCCGTCGCTGGAGCGTTTCAACGAGGGATTAGTCGTGCCCCAGGGAACTTTTTCACGCCCTCGTTAACGGCACGCTTCGAGGGCTGGATTAATCGATCCATCGGTCGGCACGGAATCTCATCGCTGCATTCGCTCCGCGGTTAATCGACCCCGACTTCCGCAGGGACAAGTTTCCAGGACTGGGTTAACCGATACGCTCCGCGCTCCGGAATCCTGGGGAATCGCTTAAACGAACTCGTGCGCGCGCGCATTAGGATTTCGAGGGCAGGAGGGCGGCGCGGGGTCGATTTCAGGAGGACTCGGCGATGATTACCTGCGAAGGTGAGCGCCAGGGTGGCCAGGAGAAAGACGAGCCTGGGCCCGGGGCCCCTCGGGACCCGGGAGGGCTCCATTCCCGGCCGCGAGCGGAAACCCGCTCGGCTCGACGTCGCGAGTCGCACTGGCGGCAACTGGCTCCAACTGGCGCCGCCACCGCGCCGCCACCGCGCCCCGCCCTACTGCGCCTCCCCTGGGGCCTGGTGCCTCTCGCTAAAGATTTCACCCCTCGACGACGGTCTTTTATTTATCCCATCTTTACGAAGATCGCCGTTTCCGTCCCCCTGCCAACGTTAACCGAAGCGAGGGATGTCCTTAACGATCGCCACCTTGATCGCGATCCGTCGATTAATCTCGATCGCTGCATCGATCGCAGTTCCTCTGGCAACTCTTTCCGAGTGAATTTCGTTTCTCGGCGACAGCACGCGTCCCGCGTGAGCAAAATTTACAAATTTTCCCGTAACAATTATCGCATTCCACCCCACCGTTAACCGGACATGAATCGATCATCCTAACGAAGAGGAGTCGGAGGATCTAGGGAAGGAAAAGGAAAACGCATCGAAAGGAGAAAAGGTGACGATTGCGCGAACGATGCGCGTAACCTCGTCGAAACGAAGGTTCATTCGATGACGAAGAGCCATCAACGGTCGCGACCCTCGGTAATCCGATCTCTTTGCGCTTCCAGATGGCGGAGGTCGCGGACGACGCACCCCTGACGGACCCGGAGCTGGCCCTCTCCCAGGGGAAACGGCATCTCCTGGTGATGGACTACGCGATGGCGGTTACCGCCCTCGGCAGAGCCTGCGAGTTGCTCGCCAGGAAACACGGCGACACAGCCGATGAGCTAGGCGAGCCCTACGTTTTCTACGGGCAGGCACTCCTCGGTCTCGCCAGGGAAGAGGCGGGGGTTCTGGGGGGCGGCGTTCCCGGCTCGGAGGATGCCGACCCCGACGCCGATGACGAAGACGAGGACGTGGACGAGGAGGAGGATGCGCAGGATGCGCAGGAGGAGGAGAGCGGCAAGGTCGAAGCGAAGGAGAGCGACAAAGACCCGGAAAAGAAGAGCGCAAACGAGAACGTAATTGTGGCTTTGAATTTTTTATTCTTCCATATTATATTTCTTTTCGATAATTTGATTCAACCCTTCAAGCATCGACGTTATATTGTGTTCTTTTAGGAGAAACTAGATAGTCAGGAGTCGAGCGCTCCGGAAAGGACGACCGAGGACGAGGCGAAGGCCACGAAGAGCGATATCAAAGGTTCCGAAGTAGTGGCCAACGGCCTGGACGGTGCGGCCTCGACCTCCGGCTCGTCTCCGAAGAAAAACGGGGGAAAAGAGGACGAGACCGAGGACGGGGACGAAGAAGACGAGGACGAGGATGACGTGAACAACCTGCAGTTGGCCTGGGAGGTGTTGGAACTGGCGAAACTGGTCCTGGTGAAACGGGGTCCCCCGGGATTGAAGCCGCTGGCCGCGGCTCACCGGCTCCTGGGAGAGGTCGCGATGGAGAGCGGTAATCACCTGGGCGCGCTGGCCGAGCTCAGAGAATGCCTGAAAATCTTGGAGAAATTGGAGCCTCGGGATTCCGGGGCGATCGCCGAGGCCCACTATCAGCTGGGATTGATCCATTCTCTGGGAAACGAATTCGACTCGAGCATAGAACAGTTCAATCGGGCCACCGTCCTGCTCCAGGAAAGAATCGAGGAGTTGGAGAAGACGTCGGAACCCCCTGCCCCGACGGATAATCCTTTTTATACCGTAGAGGGCGAAATCAAGGAGATGAGGGAACTGCTGCCAGAGATTCGTGAGAAAATCGCAGACATGAAGGACTTCAAGCAGGAGGCCTGCAGGCTGTTGATCGAAGGCATCAAGAATAAAGTGGGCTCTGGCGCTGCGGATCAAGATGGCTCCGCCGGTGCTTCCGGCTCCGGGCTGGCTTCTGGAAGCGATCAGGCCAAGGCCAAGAAGGAGCAGAAGCCGGTCAGTGACATTTCGCATCTGGTCAGAAAAAAACGCAAGGCCGAGGACAAAGAGCCCGAAGGGGCCGCGGAGATTTCGCCGTGTAAGAAGCTCACTCCGGATAGAAACGGACTGAATTAGGGGAAAGAATCGGAGAAAAGGTAAGGATGGTAAATCCGATGTTGCCGAAGAGGCTCGCTTCCAGGGAAGTTCACCTCGGATAAGAGCCGACCAGGAAGGAAGAAATTCTGTGTCGGAAGAATGGTACAGATAGTGGTGGCTTAGTACTCGTGAACGAACCGTGTAGAGGTGACTACCTATCCAATTGTCTCGAGTGTTTTAGGCTTAAAAACTATGACTATCTGAATGGCTGAATTTTTTTATCCTTTGATATGATTCTTGGTAAACTTCTGTGTCATAGGGTTCTATTGCGATGGTCTCCTCTAATCGGTGGTTTAGTTAGTCTTTATGTATTGAGGTCTTTTAAAGGAGACTCGATGAGAAAGGACCGTCAAGACGATAGGGAACTCTGTGTAACTCTCGGAGTGTCCGTGCTCATACTCGACAGTTTCTTCTCCTGAAGGTGTGCTCTAACATGCATCGACGGAGTTAGTTAGGTTGTAATATTGTAAGTCCGGTTGATAAAAATTCAACGGTGTTCTTTTTTACGCTGTCTATTTCAAGATGGTCTCCCGGTTACAAGGAAGATTCTATTTGTTAAAAATAATAATAATAATAATAAATAATATACCGGTAAAGGGGTATTACTTATTCTTACTGTTCGCAGAGGAAGCGGTTTATAAAATTCTAGTCTACGATAGAATTTCACTGGTATGCTTAACGGTAGAAAAACGAAAGCAGTCGATTCATTCTCCGAGAAGTTCTTCGATCCCGTCATCCTTATCAGAACTTTCCTGCCGTTGTACGTTTATTTTATATCCTAGCGATTCTAACAAGTTAACATTGTAATAGTAGCTCAAATTAATTCCTGGTACTATGCGTTTAAGCTCTTCTATCGTAGCCCTCGCTTTGTCATCTTCACCGAGACTAGCATAATGTTGAGTCATGGTAGCGAACAGATCACCACGACGTACAGACTGCTCCAGGTCAGGACCGTATATTTCGAGTAACTGTCCAACCTGGATCGAGGCAGCCTCCGTATCGCCTCTGTCAAACAACCTGACCAAGTAAAATATTAACGTTAGTAACATTCAGTGTTTTCTAGGAGACTAAATCATAAGTTAACGGTATAAATTACTTTTTAATGTCGAGATATCTTTTAACCGCAGTCGTCCTCGTATTGACTACACGTACTGCCCTGTCATGGACCTCTGGGTCATTCGGAGAAGTCACTTTGGCAAGGCAGCGACCAGCCTGGTTAAGTGCATCGAGGGCCTTCTCGTAATTCTGGAACTCGTCGATTTCCACCTGGGCACAGGCCACGTAGAAGTTGGCCAGGAGGTCCATCGCCTTGCCTTTTGAATAAAAATTGATGATGTTCTTCAGGACTTCGGGCTGGTTCTGCCAGTCGAGGGACTGCAAGTAATTTCCAGCCATGATGTAGATCTCCCGCTGTCTTGACACCTGGGCAAAGAAGCAGATCTTCTCGGTGTCACCGGATTTAAGAAGGGCCTTCATTGCCCTGAGCTTGTTCCCAGCCTGGGTGAATTTCTTTGTGGCGAGATGGTAGTTGCCTTGCTCGAAGGCTGTCTCTCCGATTCTCTCCAGGATGAGGGTCCTCGGTCGTTCCCTTTCGGGGTCGTTTTCTACTTTCTCTGGCGTCACTTTCTCTGCAAGGTCCTCCGTCAGAGCTATTCCGTGTTGTTGAATCAAATCCAGTGCTTCGATGTACTTTCTACCCATAGCCAGCAAGTCCACTGCCTTCTCGATTTGATCGTTCTCCACAAAGTACTCCGCACACCTTTGGATCAATGCTGGATCCGAGTCCGCATTGACATCCATGGTCATCAGCTGGAGTGCGTTGTACTGGCGAGTTTTGAAAGCTAGGTCTAGGGCTTTGCGTAGTAGACCTGCCTTGTGATACAGCAATGCAGCCTTATCGGGCTGACCAACCTCTTCGTAATACTTCGCGGCATCGATTCTGGCCTGTCTGGGGGCCAGAGAAGCCAAGGGCCACAGCTCCTCCGACATGTTATTCTCCTATTCAGAAATCAGGGTCTCCCGTTAATCTCGGAAATATCTTCGGAGAGAAAGAGGGAAACATCTTCGTAGAGAGCTAACCTTGCAAACCCGTATTGCATTGGTATACGCCTTTGCCACGGTGTAAAAGTGAACCGCCTGAGTTACGTTGTTCCGCGACTCGTAGTGTGCAGCCAGGTGGTAAGCCGAGGCAGCATGACCAGTCCTTGTTACGAGTTCGCAGACCTCGTCCTCGCGACGCAGAAAACACAGGAGTCTGGTCATTGCCAGAGTGTCCTTGGCAAACTCGTAGAGACGCAGGGCCGCCTCCATATCCCCCGTGGATTCGATGTATTGGCCGTGCCAGTTCTTTATCTCCCTGGGTCGATCAGAGGTTGGTTCGAGAGGTTAGGAAACCCGGCAACATTTTTTCATGTCCATTCATCAAGTGACAGAGAAGAACTTACGGATCGTTTGTTTCTGTCAGATAAGCTTGAAGTTCCCTCGGTCTCGTAAGCAGCATCCTGGGCACTTCGAACCGATGACAGTCCGCCTTGGTGTACATATCGATGGCCTCCGATATCTTTCCTTCCTGCTCGAGAGCTTTTGCGTAATTATAGTAACTTGCCTTCTCTCGTATTTTGTTCTCCGAAGAAGCCAACTCGATGGCTTCCTTAAACTTTCCCTGGGCTTCTAACAGAGAACCCACTAGGTCTAATCTCTTTGCCTCTCGGAAAAGTCTTTCCGCGTCGTTCTAAAGATTAATACATATACAGACTCTCGTATCTACGCACATCCAGCCAATCGATTTAGGCATACAAAATGAAGTAAATTGATAATGCTTACGCAAAGATCGAGCTCAACAGCCAGGATTCCAGTTTTAGCCTCTAAACTAAGGTTTGCATCCTGCATAGCTTCTCTGAGAGCCCTCGCACCTCTGGCGTGCTTCATGTGGCCCAAACAGAGCATTGCCATGTCCAGCTGTTTCGTCTTGACGCACATTTTGGCCAAGTTTTTCCAGATGGCTTCGTTTCGGATAGTTTTGATGGCTTTGAATGCTTCGTCGGTGTTGGCGATACTCACGTGAAAACTAAAGTTCAAGATAGCCTTCTTCGTGGTCGCGTCACAGGTTCCTAAGTCCTCAAAGTCCCTCATGACCAGTCTGGTGATTTTACTCTCGCTGCCTAAAGACGTCTCGGAGTTCAAAATAATGATCTCTGGTGAGTGCACTCCGAGGAGCCTGCAGCTGTCGTCTCCGACAGGCCTTGCATCGTGGACTACGATGCCGTGGTCGGGTGTGGCAAACATCGTCACCAGAACCACTCCTGCGATCTCTTCCTGCTCGGAGTAGGGCGAACCAAAGCCATGGTATAAGTTAAATAGAGAACGTGAAATCAAGTTGTATAAAATCATTTCCTAACCTTGCTTTCATTCGATCGGAGCCTGGAATTGGCTTTGGAATCCCTTGTTTCTAATTTTTGAGCCCGACAGACCAACAGTCTAGGATCATCGGTATCCCAACAGTGAGCTGTCACTAGCCGACCTTTGCACCCTGCAGTTCTGGGTATCAATGAATAAATCTGATATATTTTTCCGTTAAACGGTAGAATGGGAAATGATTACAAATAGTGCTTACAGAGCACGATGCCGATCCTCATCGATATCTTCGATGTCATCGGTCGCACTCCGAGCAAAGTCGAACTCATGGATCCGATCGCTTTCGATATCCCAGAGATAAAGGATAGAGCTTGGCATCAGGTTGGCCATGGCAACCGTCACCGACACACATCGACAGTCGGAGTTGCACCTGGCTTCTATGATTTCGGCAAAGTCTGCAATGGCTTTGTACGCAGGCATCGGTCTGGTATAAAGCTTCGCTTCCCTCTTGCTCAGGTTCCAGATTTTTAAGACGCCATTCAAGGAGGACACCGTCAAGTAAGGCCCTGTTAACTCCATGTTGATGGGCTCTCCCTCCTCCGGAGTCATAGGTAAAGTCTGGATAATAGTTCCCTCAACGGAGCGTAACTGTACAAGATTTGGTGTGAGCAGAATGACGGTGCTCTCGAAGAGGAGGATTTTCTCGGTGTCGCAGTCAAAGGTGCCGAGATGATCAAAGGTTAGTAAAGAGTTTCTATACACCGCAACTTTCCTACTGGAAGAAACTGCTACGTAATCTCTATTCACCGCCACAAGTTGTACTTGAAGATCGGTCTCCAGAGTGCAGCTTCGCTGATCTACTTCGATCAGTATTCGACTCGGAGCTGACTGACTGGCACAAACCCCATCATGGTATGCGGCACACATTGGCTGTTGATGTAAAATAAAAACATTCGTGATACAATTCACTGCCAATAACGGATTTCTTAAAGAATGGGCTCCCCATGTTAGGTGTTTGACAGTCCCATGCACAGTGCATGACTCCGGCACAGTTGGCCAGCCATTCTCATCTGCGGTTGGTACGTTTCGTCGTCTCCACAGATATATCCTGCCCAAATTAGTACCGGCTGCCAAAGTCCCTGTTAATTGTAAATTTAATTAAAAAATCATGTTGTCGGGGGAACGATCCCCGATCGAGTTGAGAAATCTGTAAAAATCGAGAACAGGGCTAACCATTACTCCTGCAAAAGGAGAGACTCGTAGAGATCTCCTGTGGTGTGGCTGCATTGGCCAGGGTGGGCTCCGAAGGAGAAAGTATGTAAGTATCTCCGGTGTGCAGGTCCCAGCACCTGATGGAGAGTTCTCCCGTCAATAATGCCAAAGTGTTTGGACCGGCCCAACAGATAGCTTGTCCAGAGCGAGCACTGTCGATTCTTCCACTGCTGAGCTTAACCTGTTAAAAGTTGAAAATGAGAAAAATTATGTAATGGTTTAAAATTATTTACAAGTATATTGATAATAAAAAATATGTCGCATACTTTGGTTAGTTCGGTGAGTCGGCCGGTCGTAGGGTCTATCTGGAAGTGACCGATATTTGGACCTTCTGTCATTACGACAAGGGAATCTCGGTGACAGTGGTAGAGTAACGAGCGAACTGATGCGCCTTCGGTGTTGAGAACTTCGATGCACTGTCCTTGGGAATCGACAAAGTAAATTGATCCACTGACCGTAGCGATGTAAAAAGCAAAATTATCGCGTCGTACAGCAACCGCAGTGGGCGCCGCAGTTCGTGGACGCCACGAGCTAAACAGATCCAAAGCTCTCTCATCGCCAGCAACGGCAGCCTTTGCTAAACCACTGAAATTAAAGTCTCTATTCGCTAAGATTGTGAGAATTTATCAATATTTATTCAGATTGCACTCGCTGCATACCTAATATCCACACCAGGTTTAGGAGAAGAGAGTTTAAACGCAATACGCGTGAAGGAATCATTTAGTTCATGGTGGAAAACCACAAGAAGCTGCCCTCTCGAGTCGATTTTCCAACCAACTACTGAGCCAGCGGTGTCAGCCGATACTAATCGACCTCCATACTGACTCCATTGAAGCACGGAAATCGGATCTCTGTGCGGTGTTACTACAATGCCAAATTCTCCGGTCCCGGTATCGCCAGGCCACACCTAATAATTATTAGCATATACATTTAGATTTAATTAGGGGATATGAGAAAAGAGAAATACGAATGACTTACCCTTAGCTCTCCGCTTTCCCAACCCACGGCGAGCCATCGCCTCTCTGGGTGCCAATCTAAAGCTGTAACACGAGCAACAGAGTGGCCTGGAGATTCCACATCACGAAGAGGCTCCCCATGGTCATCATAGACTGTTGCAAAACCTCCTTTGTCTTGTGAGTATGCCGCAACCGCCAATAATGGAAATTCGTTATGCCAAGCGACGTGTGTGCAAATTGAGGCAGCTTCTACACTTTGTACCCGAGTGTCGAAGTATAATGACATTGTAGGAGTTTCTAAAAAAGAATGAGGCAGATTTTAACACACTAAATAATTAGTTCCAACGTGTCATTCTATTACATTACCTTAAACAATGACGGTAAAATAAATATCAGTCAGATTTCTATGTTTTACATTTCGTGAATTTTGCTGTTGAGAATTTGTCATGTTTATTCACTGTATGCATGGTTGCTTGGTAACGTAACTGCAAGGAATGTAACAGCAACATAACCGCAAATGACGTCGATAATGACGTTCACTAATAACTCTGCTAATAACGTAGAGTGTATCCTACCTTCCACGGTTGATAACTATATGTCGGTATTAGGTTCTACTTTTGCTTGGGTGTTCCGAGGTGCGTCGACAGATGGCGCCACAGTCCACTTGCAGGAACCGTTTATGAAATTTCAAGCCGATCGCCATTTTGAAATATCGATCGTTTGTGATCCATTCGTGTTTAGTGATGTTTCATCTTCCGAAAATATTAAAATTAACTGTCAGTATATATGTGTACATCCTGTCAGTAAATTCAAGTGTCGAGTGCCTCGCGTATAAGAGTATTTAACAGCAATCGATGACGTCTTTCGTCTTACCCAGCGTTCGGACGACTTAACGGCCACCGGTCAACGTGCTCTCAAGGTAATATACACAAAACATTGAAATAATTGATGAGCCGCGAGAATTGGCACTTTCATTTCAAGAATTATATTTAATTCCAATATGCAGAATTATTTAAAATCTTGCAGTTTTTCGTTCCGAAGGGGGAATCATAAGCAGAGGTTAGGAGAGTCGTTGCTGCTGCCATTTTCTTCCCTTTTGGGGAGCTGCGTTCTCAACAAGAGGTTTAATAAATGTTCTTAATTGAATGCCTAAGAACAAGGAATATAATGAATACGAAATAACAGACCACTCGTTTATTGTTTCTCTTTCAGCACTGATCTCGGGGATCTTAACAAACCCCAGACCTGCGGATGATTGTGGGACAATGAACGTTGACGCTATCACGCCTGCTGACGAGAAATGTAAATACAGAAGGAGACTTTGTGCCCAACCGTTTGTTCAAGGAATTCCCACATGAGTCGGTGAGAGAACAATTCTCTAGTTTCTTCTGGAAACGAATTCTTACGACTAGTCTTGCAATTACCATTCGGCCCCCTTTCGTGCTGGAGGGTTATTGTCTGCAAAGAGATGTCGCAATTGTTTATTTTTGCCGATGCACTGGCGCTTATACATATTTTTTGAGCTTGCTCTAAATATCTATATTGACATCGGTTGAGAAAAGTAGGCTTGGTTTTATACGATCAGTGGATTTGTTCTCTGATGTATTATTTTAAATATTTCATGTACTATTTAGAGAAGGAGTGATATTCTAGACATTTATTATTAAGTACAATTCGAAGTAGAATTGAAGGAACGAAGAGGAATATCGTCTGAGAAATATCAAAGAAAAATTATTTTGAATACTTTTTCCTTTCTTTATCGTAGCATTTAACATTGTGACCGGTATTAATTATTCGCGGGTTTTGATGGCCGAATAATTAATTGTTACCAGTTGAAATAGGGAGATAACACGGTATGAAGTACAAAAACAAATTTTTGAAATATTCTTCCTCGGACCATATTCTTTGATTTCGGGATCAATGTTAATTGCGGGAATTATCGGCAGATGCAAGTGCACAAATAATAATTAATCCTTGCGATTAAGAACAGCGAGAAAACACTGCGAGATACGTGAAAATAAATTTCTTGAACGTCTCTTTTGAAACGCATTGCACGATATCGCGGTGAATATTAATTATTAAGAGGAATTATCGACGCAAATCGGTGAATAAATAATTATTATTTCTCATTAATTGGTCGCGAGTGTTGTTCTGTTTCAATATCAGAGATAAATGCTTGAATATGTTTCATTTATTTTTCTCACATGATCGCGTATTTTAAAACCAGACATATCGAGGTGTCGTTTCTTCGTCTTTCGTCCGGAAATGTTTACGCCTCGTGGAAAGATGTTCTTGAATTTTAATTAGCGTAATTACCATACGATGGCTTGTTTTACTTATCGGCGGCACACCGATAACTCTTCCAACGTTAATGCCGCCATTATTGTATTTACAATATACAGGCATTCAACGGGTATCGCACAAAATATTGGAAATGGATAGACTAGTGGAGGATGAGACGTAAGTTTTAAGTTGCGCAACCGTTTACCTCCATTCGATTCGCGAAATTTCGGCCACGCGAATTATCCAATTGGCGGACGCGTATAATCTGAATCTACTTGTTCCATTGTCTTGCCGACTGTACTTATTCTATTGTCCGTATATACACGTACGAATTCTACTCGAACAAGTGGAATTGGGCCGCGCGCCTCGGCCTTGGGACTGCTGGAAAATATCCATTTGCGGTTTAGCCAGAATGACGTGAGATGACAAATCAGTGGAAATAATTATCGGCGTTTATGGGTGTTAACCGTGCCGAGCGGAAGCGTAGCTGAAATCAATCGTCGCCGTTTAAAGCAACCTTGAGAACGACCGGGAACCGTCCGGCCCTAGGTTCGAGACGCACTTACTCCCTGGACTCGCGCATTCACGTGGATAACGATCGAACGCACATTTATATGGATTACGAAACGCAGACTTGACCTCCGTCGCGTCCACGCACCGAAGAGGCCGACTTCCGCGTTGCGTGGGATATCTTTGAGGTTTAATTTCTTCTTCTCTTGGCCGAACGTCCAGAAGGCCGTAGCTCGTGCACTCGAATTTTTGATCGGTTATAGCTTTCTCTCTCTCGCGGTCCTTCGGAACGTTCGACCCGACGAAACGCATCGTTTCGATTTCGCGCTCATCCTCGGAATGCCCGATGCTAGTACGCGTATGACGTCGCCGAGGACGGCCACACCGAACGGTTGAATAATTGCCGCGCTAACGCGTGCCGTTTGCCTCGCGACGCTCGCATTTGCGCGTACGTGTATGCACGTCAAGTGCACCGAGGTGGGCGATCGTGGAAATTACGCAACGAGCGGCAACGCGCGGAACCGCGCGGAACCGCGCAGCTTCGGCCGGAAGGTGCGTCGAGTTACGACACGCTCTCTCGCATCGCGGGCCTCGTTACTGCGCCGCTCGCGCCTCGAAAACGGAAAACGACGGCGAAACGTCGGGTCGTGCACGGTCCGAAGGAGTTGTCCCAAAAGCAAGGCGGTTGCTCGGTAGCGTTCGAATCGCGGCACAAAAGGTATCCTTAAGGGAAGAGGTTGCGAAGGGGAGGAGCGGGATAGAAAGGGTGGATTTTTTAAGCGGCGAGCACGCAAGTCGTATCACTGGCTCGTCGCCAGGAGCCTCGAAATCCAAGTACGCGGATATTTCCGGAGACAAAACGACCCTACGCGTTCGTCGCGAACCACCTCGGCCCGATCGGCAAATCTTTGCGCAACCCTCGTTAACGAAACAAGAAACTAACTTGCACTTTGACGTATCCACCTTCGTTCCTTGACCCTCCCCACAAGGGAGACCTTGAAGCGTCCATTTGTCGGAGATCGGTATTTACGGTACTCGCCGTCTCTGACGTGCACGATTTGTCATCTCTCGTCCGTCGCAGGATACGTCCTCGAATCTAACGTACGAATGAAGAGTATCAACGCGTGGAACGTCCGAAATCGGGTAACCGGATGATCCCGACGGTCCCGTTGTTCGGTGCCATTCCTCCGGCCTGGGAAACCCGAGAGAGAAACACTTTCAGTTCGGAACTACTTGGCGAATCTAATTGTCTTTCTTTCTCTCTCTCCCTCGCGGATCATTAATTCGAGGTAATCACTCGTTGACGCGAACGCGTAACTCGGGGAGCAGCTTTAACGAAGCGACCGCGCAGAATGCACAAAACTGGGTCAAAAGTGAGCGTCCCACGCGGCAAAATCTCCGAGCTTGGAGAGCTATTTGTGCAAAAATCTGCCCCGCCCTCTCCGATCGCGTTTTCCAGGATTCGTCGGGAGGAAAGTCCGCGTACGGGACGTCTCGGAATGGCACGACCGGGAATTCTTTCGCGCGTTTCAATTCTAACCAGGTGGCCGTTCTTCGGGTCCGAGAGCGGAACGTAATTGGGCCGAATCGAGGAAGAGGTTCGATTTTGCCGGGCAGGAATGCACCGTTCGCATAGACGGGAGCCGCGCCCGGCTCTTTCCGTTTTCCGGTTCCGCGTCGTTACGGAAGCGCATCGCTTTCTGAAATAGAACCGTAGACCGATAAGCCGGGAACGATGGGTCAGCGAAAGAGCGAGCATGGAGCGAAATTGGATGGACCGAGAGCCATAAATCGCGTTATCGAGCCCCGACCTCTATGCCCGTAACGTATTACGAGCTCTCCGCTCCATTATGCGGTAGTTGTCCGGCTCTCCGAGGGAAAATCCGTTAATTCTGTAATCACTCGCAATCGAGACAAGGTGGTGCTGCGCGTAACTCTGTGACCCTCCGCGAGTCGTTCGATCGGAGATATTTTTTTTTGATATACCCTTGGAGAGAAAAAAGAACTCGACGAGAAGGTGGGGTATCGACGTCGGAACGCGAAGATCCGCCGGAGTGCATCGGTGATCACTGGCGCGATTACCACGGTAGATCGTCGCGGCCGTCGTTCCCGGGTAAAAAGGGATCGAAATCGATTCAACCCACTTCCCCGGCTTTCCTAATTGCGCCTAATTTGAGAGCATCGTCGACGAGGATCGCGTGTCCGACCTTTCTGACCCATTTAGAAGGCGGGCAGTTAATACCGCCCGAGTCCGATCGAAATGTCCGGAAGATCCAGGCGGGGCCGCCTGCCTCTGAAAAGTTGGAAAAGAACCGAGGAATGGCGAATCGAATCGGGGTTACGTCACTTGTCGTTACTCGTGCGTCCACGATGTCGGGCCTCGGGTCGGACCTGGGTCGAGCCACGGAGAGAGGGGACCTCGTCTTAATGCCATTAGTAGACGCGCGAGAACGACGTCGCGTTTGCTCGGCGTATTAGCGAGTCCGACACGGACTCGTAGGATCGTCAGGGGAGTGATTTTTGCACAAACTGACCTGGCCTAAGGTAACCTAGGTAACCTCCTTGGCGTGCCGCGAATTTCGACCGAAACTTTCTCAAAGGCCAACAGGTTGTTCGGCCAGGAATACTCGGCGCGGTCGTTTACGCCGAATTGCGTTTCATTCCGTAGCGCGTCGGAAATCGTCGAGCGAAAAAAATTTTTCAATGCCGCCGTCATCTATCGGCACGTTGAACGATCGTTTCGCAATCGATTACACCTTCGTGAATCACGGGTAATCTTAATTTGTAACGAGGATGTCTCACCGGTTCCGCTCTCGACTCGAAGGAGAAGGTGACGTCACTGTCGATCTTTGAAAAACGCTCGATCGCGAGACGCAACGTGCAACGACGCGACGTAACGCGACGCTGCTTCCGTTTCCGAAAAGCGAAAAGGTAAAAGCCCGACGAACCGGTGCTTCCCGTGGGAACTCCGGATGTATTTTTGGGGGATCCGAGGAAACCGAGGAGCCGATTCCTCGGTTGTTTAAGGACCTATTCCGTGGTGGCGTGATTCGCGTTACCAAGGACGCGATATATTTTGACTTAACCGGGAAGGGGGCGAATGTTTGTAAAGTGCATACGCCGCGTGTACCCCGAGATATAAGCCGGGTCGCGGAGATATACACGCAACGAGCGCGTAATGCTCTAATTCCATCCTCGTTTCCACGTAACAGCGATGCTCGAATAACGCTCGCCTTTTTCGCCGAGCCATTTCAGGGCTGTTCGCCGAGCCCATTAGGCGCGTTATTGCGTTATTGGCACGTTATGGCCCGAGGAATTTCCAATTTGCCCGTACCGACCCTTTCGAGGTGAAAAGAATTTTTTCTAAACTCTTTAACGCTCCCTCGAAGGAGCAACGAGCAGGACGCGCGAGGAAATTCAAAGGAAGACCTCGAGTCTCGATTTCGTGCATTTCGACCTGGCCGTGGAAAAGGCACGATTCGGTGCTTGCTCCTTGTCTTTTTTCCTTTCCGTTTCGAGATACGTTTCGAGTATCGGCAATAGGTCGTTCGCCCCCCTCGATCCCGGGTTGCCGGTATTCCTTTATTAGAGGAACCTCGGGGGTTATTTCGATTTTCTCCTCGGGCATGTCGCGATGAATGAAATTCTTCTGCGGGGGAGAGAAGGGGGCTGGATAAACGGTCTCTCGAATAAAGGACCTCGTAATCCGGTAGAAGCACCCTGGACCAAAGGAGCGGACATTTCGATCCTTGATCGTGCGTCGTCTTTACGAGATGTGCTCTCGAGGCGCGAAACCTCGGTTTCCAAACGTGGACGCGGTGACGCGGTGACGCGGAAACGTCGGCCTCGGGAAAACGCCAGGCAAAAATAGAGGTTATGTCAATCGCTGCCAGATGACGGAGACCCTCGTTAGAGCAACGATTTTAAAGTCTGTCGAATCCGCGACCGGCGAACGGAAACTGCGAAAATGGATCCGCGAAAACCCCCGAGGCTTTAAAAAAAAAAATTCGAAGCGATTTCGGCCGAGCCGTCTCCGCTCGGTTTGCCGTACGCGTATTTCCCTGGATTTATCGTTAAATAGGAAAAATGAATCGGGATCGAGATCGAGCGTTCCACGCCTGCCCACGTTTCACGGCCCCGAAGGACGGTCTTTCTAACGACACGGGCAATAGCGATGTGCCTCCGCTTCGCCGTGAAAAGTCGATCGAGGTGAGACCTTCGTTTCGTAACGCACCTCCGTAAGGTCGCATCTACGTAACGCTTCGGCTGCAACGAGGAGCAAACCAACTCCTCGCCTCGCGAGCGCGACTCCTGTGGAAAATACTCGCACTTGGATGTCTCCCCGTTCGGGAGTCTCAAGGGATCGGAAAACGGAAAGGATTTCTTCGTCCCTCCTGAACGTGCGCGCCGGCCGTAGGTGACGCCAAGCGACTCAATTTATTAATCGAGCCACTAGACGACGCATCGCGGTCGGGCGGACGAGGTATGGAACGCGTAAGTTGATTTCAGCCCATTGTCTCCTCCCCCGACTCGAAAGCCGACTCGAAAGCCGACTCGAAAGCCGACTCGAAAGCCGACTCGAAAGCCGACTCGAAAGCCGACTCGAAAGCCGAGTCGAAAGTCGAAGGATCGCCAAGTTTTCCGTTTTCGTCGGTCGCGGGGTGTCCGGTCATGGCCGGGGAGTTTCTCCGAGTCTCCTCGAATTTCCCTAGACGGAGAGGGAAAAGGCGCGTTTGGCTCCGGCCGGGCCGCGTGACGAATGCGCGTCGCGCCATAAAAAGGTAGAATAAAAAAGGAATTGCGGGGACCTCGAGCCGAGAGTGGGTCACTGCTAAATTCCGAGCGGCCATGCATCGTACACTCGGCTCGGGATATCGCATGCACGGTTGATGGTTGCGTCCTAGACCCGCTTCCGCCTTCGTTTTCTCGGCTCCGGACCTCCCGGCTCTCAAGGGGGGATCCCCCTGCGGGAGGACGGAACGAGGAGAGGAAAAGTGGCGCGTCGCTTTTGCGCGCTTTGCCGCGCTTTGCCGCGCTTTGCCGCGCTTTGCCGCGCGAGTTCCTCGCGACATCGACGCGTCCCTTTGTCATGCAAAGCCGTAATCTCGAGGCGGAGAAAAAGGAAAAAGAAACGTCGGTCGGACACCCCGTTGAAAGAAGCCACGGAGTCGAACGTTGCGCGATCCTTGGCCCCGGTTGGTCGCGCCTTGCATACTTATCGGTAGAAACGCGCGTTTCGCGACGCTCCTCGAACGATCGTTTTGTATTTCTCGTTTCTAACGAGGATGTGCTCGCGGTCGGAGCGACGTCCGCTTCCCTCGGTCCCGAGGGATGGACGGCCGTTAACTAACTCAAGGCTGCCGAATGAGAGAATTCTCGCGCTGTATGCAACAACCCGTCGTTGCGTCATCGGCGGATTGATGTAACTCGGAAAAATGTTAACGCAGCCGCCTCGGCGGTGCTATTCTCGGTCGGAGGAGGCCGTCATCGACGGGTCTCGCTCCAAGGCTCCCCGGTTATCCACCTTGGGACCTCTGCCGCGGGGTCGGAACGAGGCAAAGGGTCGCCCGGGATTTCTCATTTTATAGGGATCGAGCGACGATCGGATTTTGAGACAATCGCCGCGACCGGCGCGGATGACGCGTCCGTGAAACGACGAACCCGCGGCGAACCTCGGCGATGACGAAACGGAAATTGACGTTCGCGGCACGTTTCATTATCAATCGAGGTTGCCTTTTTATTACTTACCGTATGCGCCGCGGAGGAACGAGTATATTGGCTTTCTCGTCACGGGCGCGACGCATCTCGACCCGAGGGAATTTTCGCTTTGCCGAAACGCTTTTACGACGTATCTTCGTTTTCTTTTTGTCATCTTTCGCTTCCCCATTTCGGGGAAACTTAGCGTCGATTAACGCACGTTGCGAAACGACCTCGACGGAGTGGCCGATAAAAATGATCGGCGCAACCGACGGCGCGGCATCGCCTTGATTAGCGTCGGTGTAACTAATCGGGACGGATACTCGCGACGGATTCCGGAATACGTCCCACGTGGCCCGAAGGTTCAGAGGTCCGCTCGTTTTGCAACTCCGAGGCGCTCTCGATTACGGTGGTTCGGTTCAGCAATTCGGAGCAAACCAGCTCCGCAAGGGAGCCGCCACCAGGGGAAGGTTCGCCGCGTTCCGACCCTTCGCGTCCCTTCGTCCGAGGGGAGAACGTCGTTCGGGTCTTTTCCAGGGGTAGTCGCCGCTCCCCCGACTCTTCGTTTCGGCACACGCGCGAGCGACCCTAACCTAACCGTACTTTCTCGACCGGTTCTCCCTCGGAGAACAAAGAACCCACGGGGACGGAGCAAAAGTGCGAAAGTCTAACCTCGGGGCGAATCCCGAGCCACATCTCGCGGAAGTAGACGCCGCCGATTTCTAAGGTCCCTAAGGAAGGCTCCCGATTCGGAGGGCCCGATCACCCCCCGTCGGGATCCGCGCCCCCGGAGTCGTGATTCACCGGCAGCAGCCGGCGAGTTAAGTAACGCTTCTCTCGCGCTCCGGGGTGGGGCGCGGCCAGGACGGCCAGGACGGCGGGGACGGCGGGGACGCAGAGGGGGCTAGCGGAGGCCGAGGGGCTCTAGGCGACGCCACGCTCGGCGAAACCGCGACAGTCCGACGCGAGCACCCGCCGGCCGAGTTGGCACCGTCCGACGAGACCTTCCGACGAGAATAGAACGACCGCTTCCCGAACGGCGGAGGACCGCGGTGTCAGACGGGTCGGAAGGAAGCGGGGAGGTCCACCCTCGAGAGCGATGACGGGCGGAAGCGTCGTCCTGGCCCTGTGCCTGGGCCTGTCCCTGGCGGCGCACGACTCCTTCCGCGTCATCTTCCAGTGGAACTACGTGGACTTCGCCTGGCCCTCGGACGAGGCCCGACAGCGGGCGGTGGACCGAGGGGAGTACGTCCTCGCCAACAACCCCATAGCCGGCATCAAGTGCTGGAAGGGCAAGATGTACCTGACCATCCCCCGATGGAAGGACGGGGTCCCGGTCACTCTGGCGGTTACCCCCTCCAGCCCCGTCAACGGCGTCACCGCTCCGCGGCTCGAGCCCTTCCCCAGCTGGGAGATGCAGACCCTGGGAGACTGCGACGCCTTCCAGTTCGTCCAGAGCATGGAGATCGACCCGGCCGGGCGCATGTGGGTGCTGGACACCGGCCGGACCGCCACCCAGACCCTCGAGGCCAAGGCCAGGTGTCCGCCCCGGCTGGTGATCCTCGACCTGGAGAACGGCGGCGCCGTCCTGCGGAGCTTCCGCTTCCCCGCCGACGTGACGCCGCCGGACTCGGTCTACCTCAACGACATCGTCCTGGACCACGAGGACGGGGGCGTCGCCTACATCACCGACAGCAGCAGGGAGGACCCGGGCATCGTCGTGTACTCGCTGGCCAACGACACCGCGTGGAAGGTGCGCCACGACTCCATGAAGGCCAAGGCGGAGGCCGTGGGCTTCATGGTGGCCAAGACGCACGTCATCTCGCCCATCAACGTGGACGGGATCGCCCTGTCGCCGGCCGGCAGTCACGACCGGCAGGTCTACTACACCCCGCTGTCGTCCTTCCACCTCTACTCGATCCCGGTCTCGGTCCTGAAGAACCGCACGGACAACGTCGACAGATACGTCCGAGAGCTGGGCCGGAAGAACTCCCAGACCGACGGCATGGCCATGTCCATGTCCGGCGTCCTGTACTTCGGCCTGCTGGCCGACGACGCGGTCGCCATGTGGGACACCAAGCACATGCAGTCCTTCACCACCGGCCAGAGGGTCATCTCCAGGGACCACGCTCTGATGCAGTGGCCCGACACCTTCGCCTTCGACGAGGAGGGCAACCTGTGGTGCGTCACCAACTCCGTGCAGAACTTCCTGAACAACCGGGTGGACGTCTCCCAGCCCAATTACCGAGTCATCAAGATGCACTCCGGGACCAAGAGCTACCAGTACCTCGAGGACGGCAGCGTGCCGGACCTGCCCACCGTCACAGCCGGCGCCCGGAGGGCCGCCCGCGACCTGTCCGCCCTCGCGGCTCTCTTCGCGGCCCTCCTCGCGGCCCCCATCGCGGCCCTCTCGCAGTAGAGGCCCCCTGCTCCTGGCGCATCCGGGTGCCGCGCGAGGAGAGCGACGCGATCGCGCGTAATCTCAGTGGCCTTTCGAAGGGAGCGGACCGAAAGGGTCGTCTCCCGCGAGTCCGATTTGGTACAAATGAATTTCCCTGTGAATGAATTACCGCGTCCGCCACCAATGGGCCTCTCCTTCGCTCTAGCTTAACGAACGTTCTTTTGCGACCGGTGACCCTTCACCGCGGAAGAAATGTATGCACGCGTTAGAGCCTCTCACGTCGACCGATTCTGGAAATCGGTTTCTTGGATGTTATTCAAAAATGGGAGAAAATAGGGAAAGTAATCTTTAACCTTGGCGCTAGAAGCGGAGCCACGAGTAGTCGTTATCGTTAGAGTTAAGTACGTAGCGTTAATTACTCGCTTGGAGCCTCGGTGGATTTTTTCGCAGCGCGGAGTTTCACGGTAGATTATTTTCTTTTGTACTTTTCTTTCTCTCGTCCGGCCCAGGGCCGGCTCGGACGATTCGACGCGTCCGTACTAACTTTGATTCCGGTGGAGCCGTACCGGCAATTGATCTAATCCGGGCTAAGATTAGCTCAGCACTCGCCGCGCGGGACGCTTCGGAAATGCCGGCAATAATCTCGCGTAAATATTTCGCGGGCCATCCGGTGTGGTTCGCCGCTCTATTTATAATAGGTTAACGCGAGTCCTTAGGAGCGCGTTCGACTCGGGTCGAGGGGTCGTCGCTTTATCGGAATCTTGACCCGAAAACGCGCCGAAAAGCCGCGGGGCCGATCTCGTGGAACGTCCGCGAGCAGGACCGACAAAAGACGTATCGAAAAATACAAGTACCATTTTAGATTATTTCCTACAATTAGGAACTATTCAACGTGAAAGTAATCGGGGGACAAGTACCTCGCCGAAAAGGCGCGAACGACGCGTTTTTGTCGCGCGAATAACTGCCAGGATGACTTTCCGGAGCGGCATAATTAATGTAATTACTGTAACGAAGGTAATATATATATTTACACACATGCGCGCGCACACACGCATATATATGTATATATATTTACATATATTTACATATATTTTATAAAAGGAACTATGTCGCTAAGTTACATTAATTTTCTACGTTTACGTGCATGCGCAGGGAAATAATTTCTTTTCGTAAGGGACGAAAGACGCGGAGACGACGATCGTTACGGCGGGACGAGTTTCCTTCTTTTGTCGATAATCTTAAACATAGAGATCGTATACCGACTTCGAGCTACCAAAGAAATTCGATTTCCACGACGAGTCGTTCTTTCTTAAAGAAGGTTAATCCAAGGTGCTACATCTCTTCGATTTTCCTTCCCTTCTATTCTCCTTTATCGCCTGATCGAATAACGAAGGATAAACGTTCTGTTCGTTTGTACAAACTTGAGGTACAATAAATTATTCAGCGAACAAGTCCCGTCACTCTGCCCGTCCATCGACGACAACGAACGCGAGATGCGACCCTTTTATTCCCTCTTAATGAATTCATTGAAATCTAGGATCCGACAATGGCCAAAACGAGTGCTCGTCTTTTTTTCTTTCTATCCACGAAAATGCGATCGATGTTCGTCGTCGCTCCCGGTCGAAGTCGTCGAAGGAGGTGGGTAAGAGAAAAATTAAGGGAATGCAACCGCAAGATATATATCTTAATCTTTCGACTCTCCGAAGCGCGTTGCCGCGTTTGCGAGCGATTAAGGAATTTTTATTAAACCATGACCTTCGTCCGAGTCGTTGGATCGAGACGCAGAAACTCCCGTAAGACGATTAAAGGTGAAGAATAATTAGTGAATTCCAGCGCCGGGTCTTCATTCGAATGGCTTAGAAAACGTTAAAAATACTTTCTGTTATCCAAGTCCATTGGATCGTCGGTCGATTGCGTGCCTTTACGTCGAAATTGGCACATCGAGGATTTCTTCGGGGGCGCCGGAGTTGTATCGCGTATCGCGTACACCGATCCTCGTTCAAAGTAATATAGTCGGTAAAACAATGCCTCGACCATAGAAAGACAACGCGAAAGTGGGCTACACTTGGTACGAAACGATCGTTCCGTGGGAACGAAAATAGATGGACGGTGCGGCCATCTATCGGTCGCGAGCCGAAACCGTTCCACCTTTCACGGGACGCGCTCCGTATTACCAATCGATGCCACCCCGAAACGACGCACCGGGTACCTAAGTCGCCCGCAACGGTAACGGCGCTCGAGTCGCAACGAGTTCTACGGCCATGGCGACTCTCGTCCTTTCTCTAACCCGAGAGCACGGAGAGAGTAAGAGTTAGTTCCGTTTGTTCCACCGGCGTGTTTAGTTGGTCAGTAGTAGTTGGTAGTATTCGTACTCCGCGTGTTCCTGACGCCGGCGCCGACGCAAGGGAAGCTACGGACTACCGGAGGTACCGGAAGCCTGTCGAGTGCGAGGGAGAAAGAAACTCGAGAGCTGTGGGCAGCTGTGGGTGAGCCGCCCCACGAAGGAGTAGGCGCGTCGAGGCGAAAAGATGCTGAGGGGCTATTCCCCGGTTACCCAGGCCCTTTTGGGCACGTTGTTCACCTGGGGACTGACAGCCGCCGGCGCCGCGCTCGTCGTCGTCTTACGAGGAACCCAGGTAAGCGGAAGAACAGTGGTTCGTTTAGATATCCCGCCGCGGGAATGGCCTAACCTAAAAATCGGCTGAAGAATCCACAAGGCACGACCTGGTCTTTCTTTTTTACTTTCTTTAGCCTCGATTTACTCCTGAGGCAAGGCATGCTTTAACGGTAGCTTTCGTTGTTGCTCGTACCTTGAGGTTGTTGCATCATCCGCGAGATTTTTAATTAATCGTATTGTCGATGAAAAAAGAGCTGCATTCTGGTACGGTAGTTGCAGGGGGTCGTATCTTGCGAGCTTTCTTGATCCGATTGCGTACAGTCGGTACGATGGAAATTGTTAGAGAAATGTATATTTTTTACTCTAGCGTAAGCTGCTCGACGCCAGTCTGGGATTTGCCGCGGGAGTGATGATGGCTGCAAGTTACTGGTCCCTTTTGGCGCCGGCTATTGAAATGGCAGTTAAGAGCGAAGTATACGGAAGCAAGGGAGAATACGCTTTCGTGCCCGTCTCCGCCGGGTTCACGATCGGTGCAGCGTTCGTTTATGGGACGGATGTATTGATATCTTCCCTTGGCATTCGGTCTCCCAATGTACTTTTAGCTATGCAGTCAGTCGGTACGAAACAAAGATGCAAGATTGCAAAATTAAAAAGTGACGAGGACTTAGACAATAATCCGATTAGCAGTGTGCGATTTGCTGGTGGCAAAGAGTGCCCTCGTGTCGAGTCGACTACTATCGATGGTATTTCTTATTAATTTTTTTTTCCTTTTTTTTTTCCCACTCTTATATAATGACCCTGTACTACCCGCAGGCTTGGAAAATAGGTTGGTTATTAATGCGGCGATGTACGATTTTTGCCTCTCTTTGCTTCGTCATGTGGCACAAGTTACATACTCGTAGCTAAATGTGGACTACCAAGACACGGACCCACAAAAATTAACAAAGTCCCAAACTTACGCGTTAAACTAATGGCCCAAATAATCGACGTCGTCAAATACGGAATGTAAACGGTAAAGTGTGTGCACTAGTGCGGTCAATATAAAGAAACCATTAAATCTAACTTAAAACATGACTAGAAACGGCGAGAAACCAATGGGACGCTAACCCCAAAAAAAATAATTCATAAACCGCGTAAACTGGAAAATATAAACATATCTAAACTTCTCGAACAATTGGTGGATCCGTGTCGAGAGACTCCCACAAAATTCTTAATATCCGATCTTTATTAACCCTGCCTGTGGTTAGTGTACAAGATAATATATATTTTTCACGTAGCTTTCGTAAAATCATAAATATGTAAATCAAGCCAGTTCAGATAGATCCCGGTTGCATAAGAAATGCACAATGATCAGCAAAGGGGATCGAGAGTCTGGACCGGTGTTCTTGGTGCCCCTAAAACCCTTTGGCACGTCGGAAAGTGGAATTAGCGTCCTAGGGTAAAGATTCGTAGAGGCCAACGGTTTCGAATATTGATCTTTCCAGGATTCTACGAGCAAAATGCAAGGAGGAGACAGGCCGGTGTTCCACCTCGGCCCTTGGAGACCGGGGACGCGGGCACGGTCTACGAAAACCCGACTGACGAAGTCAAGAACAGTCAGTGGAGGAGGATACTGTTGCTGGTTGTAGCGATAACGGTAAATGAAATTGATTATAACTTAAATGGACGAGCATACGAATATGTATTAACACTGGAACTACCAAGACCAATGATTGGTTTCAAATGTCCCATCCTATAAAAAAAAAAAATCCGCCGGTAGTTCCAGCGTTAAGCTGCCTAACGAGTCGGTCTTAAATAAGATTTACGACGCCACGGAGGATTTAAATACAAACGTTTTCTATTTACTTCTTAAAAGCAAATAAAAGAATCGCAGGGAACGAAAGGAAACACTCGTCCACGTGCACGAAATTCGCTTACAATGTGTAAACCGCGCGAAACTAATATTGGGCACGTTTTAATGCATAGGTGCACAACATTCCAGAGGGTCTCGCGGTCGGCGTTGGTTTTGCAGCAGTCGATGGCAGCTCAACGGCTACCTTTGAGAATGCAAGGTACGAGGGTAACAGTTATGCCATCGGTTCACCCACGGGAATGCATCGTACTTCGGAGTAAATTAAACGTCAAGTATTTTTGCGTCGAAAGATCCGAGTTCGATACTTGTAATTTAATTCTGCGATACATCGGATGGACGTTTGTTGACTTTGCTCTCGATATTCCTAAAGATTTGAAATTCGCATAGAGTTAAGGAAAATGGAATCGAAAAGGTTAAGTCGACCGATCGAAGGAGATGCATTCTCTCCTCGGTGGAACCGTTTGCTTACTATTTGCGCTGCATAATCGGGCGCGATACGGAGGTACGTACTTTATCGCGACATTGAAGGAGCGTGCACGCCAGTCGACAATGACGAGATTTCGATAACGTTTCGAGTAAAAGATACCCGACTCGTGGTAAAGTCGCAAAATGTCGAGATTTGCTCCTCGAGGTCGAACCGATAGTTATCCGAGTTTTTTAGGGGTCTCATAAAATACCTGTGCACACTTTGTCTTGACTTCTCACGATAAGGTGTAATCTCGGCCAATCGCAACTACTATCCGGGATATTTTTTTTGCCATTATTTAATGCGGAAATTGCGAAACCTTGGCGGTCGTAAAATTCTTTACTTCCGTGATTCCACCTCGAATCTAACGGGCTAGACGTATACTTATTTTCCCTGAGACGGAGAAAGCGCGGTTGCGACGAGGTAAAGCCCCGGACAGGGTTCCAGGTAACATCGAATGATTAAATATGTCTTCGTTATCGAGTTCCGTCGATTCGTCGTCGACGAGGAAATACTTTGGCGGAAAAGGGCGCAACCTACGATCGGTGGCTACCGTGGCACTCGATCGAACGCGAAATCACGATGCCATTGGCCTTCGCGTTCCTTATCGTCCTCGATGTTACGATTCTTGCATCGACTCCGTTCCCTCGTTCGATTTGCCCGCCTCGGGTAGCCGAAGTAGCGCGTTCTCTCTTACCGGCGTCGCGCCAACGGGCTACGCGCCGCCGCCACCAGGTGGGGACGGCGGCGCGTAGTCCGAGCCCTACTTTACCACGGCGCGGGCGAAGAGCGGAAGGATTCCCGGTGGGTCTCGGGCCCTCGGCGTCCCACACCCCATGAATGAGTTGCACGGTGGTCGCGACGGCTGGTGGGGGGCGACACGGCCTCAAGCCGGAGGCAGGAAACTTTATCGGCGGCGAGGGAGGGGGCACGCGTAGCCCTGGAATCCGACGAGCCCTAGGCGCCGCGCATTCCATCCCCACCTGTCGGCCGACCGCGGGCCCGTCCCCGATGTTGCCCGATTTTCGTCGGAGTCAGCTGGCCTCGGGAGGGCAAAGGGTCAAAGAAAAGACGGCCCGGGAGACGGTTCCCGGTCTCTCGCGCAGTTCCATTTCCGACGGAGGGAGGCCGGAGAGAGCCCAGCCTTGACCCCGGGATTCCAGCGCATTCAAACGACGCGCCGGGCCGAGTCGGTTTCCGCCACCTCTCGCCGACCATTAAGGAGCCCGGGAATGAATGGACTCCGCGCTCCTGCCGCGCGGAAGGGGAGGAGAATTGCCGGCAACGAGGCGCCCACATCGTCGGCGCACCGCCGATAGGCGATTGTCGCGGCAATTGTCGCGGCAATTGTCGCGGCAATTGTCGCGGGCAGCGAGGGGCGGAGGGAAGAGGGCTCTCGCGACTCTTGGCAACGCCGGGCCCGTTCGATAGGGGTTATCGCGCGCGCGGCCGGCGCGTCCTTCTGGGGCTGCCCGCTCGATCCCGCTCGTTCTCCTTTCTATCCTGTCGACCGACGAAGCGCGGATCCCTCCGATAAGGGGGATCGATTCTCGCCTCGTCCATCGACCTTGTCACCCCTCGGACCGCCCGCTCCTGGCGCGATGGAGAAGGCGCTTGTCCTTTTCGTCGTCGTCCTCGCGGCGGAGCAGGGGAGGAAAGGGACGAGCTGGGTCGGCAGCGGGGTCCGACGCGGCCGGTGTCGGGGACCGTCCCGGAATTCTCCGAGAGAGAAGGCTTTCCGGCTCGTTTTTTGGCCGGACGAGGTTTCCCGGTTATGAATGAACCTCGTGGCTCGGGCCGGCCGTGATAACCCGGGCCGATAACGCGCGCGAGTTGCGTATTTATAGCGCGCCTTTTCCGCGGGTATCGCGTATTCCGCGCTGGCGGGGGAGGGAGTCGTTTCCGACTTCCAGTCTCGAGTTCCCGAGCGACGAGCGGAGTCGAGTCGAGTCGAGTCGAGTCGGTTGGTCCGAGGCGGTCCGAGAGAGAGAGGGAATGGAAGGTGGAAAGGTAGCGGGACGAGCTCTCTCGGCGTAAACGCTTCAAGGAGATCCGGTATCGAGTCACTCGCGACTATGCGGATTTTTCCCTGAATCTGGGTCTGCCTTTTCCCGCTCGTTGGCGCTCCCCCTCCCGGGCCGTGGATGGTCTCGTCGGTCTCGTCGGTCGCGTCGGTCGCGTCCACGTGCCGAGAGAGGTACCCGGTTCAACGCCCGGTGGCGGTCCGAGGCGACGGCTCTCCTGTGGGAATCCGGCCTTAAGGACGTCCACTTATGCCCGGAGGATCCGATTTGTATAGGTACCGGTCGGCCCTCTCGCTCCCCCTCCCCCCGCCACGTAGGTGAGACCCGGCGGCGTACAAAGCTGCCGACGAGAGACCGTCTCTCTCGGCCGCGGAGGGAGAGGGACGGGAGGGACTCCCTTGGAGTTTTCCGCCGCGAGGGCCTCGGCGGCGGCGCGTTTCCAATGGCGCTCTCTTCCGATTGCCTCATTATTCCGCGAAGCGCGATTACGACGATAAACATCTCCCTCTCGCCGTTCGCCTCTCTCGCGCGTCCGCGCGCTTTATAATCGCCCGAGCAGAGCCGTTCGCGATGCCGTTCCGAGAACTGGACCCGCCGAGGGACCTTCCCTCCCCGTCCCTCTAAGCCCGGTGACATTCCACGGCGGGCGCGACTCGGGCGCGACTCGGGCGCGACTCGGGCGCGACTCGGGCGCGACCCGGAGGGGGATTCCCGGGATTCCCGGGATTCCTAGGAGCGGGCGAGTGCGGCGATGCCTGGAATGCGGCGGCATCGGGCATGCGCACCGCGTACCTTCCTCGGAACGGCCGCGGAGTTCGGCGGCCCTGGCCGAGTCCTGGGGGCGACGACGGCGCCCCCGGAGGGAAATGGACCGGTGGCGGCCCGTACACGGGCGGTCGGGGTCCGGAGCCGGACGGGAGCGGGCCGGGACGGGGACGGGGACGGGGACGGGACGGGGAGCGGGACGCGGCCTCGCCGTGGAGGGGGCCAGGAATGCATGGGAACGAGGCGCGAGCGGGCCGACCGCGATTTGCCCGTCCCGCATTCCACCGACGCCGAGGCGAGCTCCTCGAGACCCGGGGCCACCGGCACGGCCGCCGCCGCCGCCGCCGCCGCCGCCGCCGCCGCCGCCGCCGCCGCCGCCGCCGCCGCCGCGGCGCCCCCTTTTTCCGGACGACGGTTTTCGGCCGAGACGGCGGGGCGCTAGGAGACGCCGGTTCCGGTCGGCCGCGCGGACGTTGACCGTCCGCGGGAACCGGGGGCAAGTAGGGAAATTTCGAATCCGCCTCGGTCGCGTTTCAGGAACCTGGCCATCGGAATCGGCATCCAGAACTTCCCGGAGGGCCTGGCGGTGGCGCTACCCCTGCAGGCGGCGGGCTTCAGCACCTGGAGGAGCTTTTGGTACGGCCAGCTCTCGGGAATGGTCGAGCCCGTGGCGGGGGTCCTGGGGGCCGCGGGCGTCACCCTGGCGGCGCCGCTCCTCCCCTACGCCCTGTCCTTCGCGGCCGGCGCCATGATCTACGTCGTCGTCGACGACATCGTGCCCGAGGCCCAGGAGAGGTAAGCCGGGCCCGTCCTTCCCGTCCTTTCTTCGGCGTCGAGAGGGGAGAGGGGAGAGGGGAGAGGGGAGACGCGAGACGCGACCGAGCAGGAGTTAGTTAACGCGGCGAATTTCTTTCCCAGGGGTCGGCGCGGGAGCATTGTCATTATAATTGGCCCCTTTGTATCGGTTTTGCTCGCGATCTCCGGCCGGCTGGGGAACTCCCTTTGGGCCGGGGGAAGGACCCCTCTTCTTCCTCCCCTCCCAGGACGCGAGAGAGGAGGCGTCCGCTCCTCCGCGACGGCATGTAAAATCGATGCCTGGTCTATCATTTGGAAAAGCAGCGAGCCGGGACCCTCGGGCGCGGAGGAGAAAAGGAAACGGAGTTTGCCGGGGTCGGTCTCTCCACGTGATAATTCGGAACCTTTTCGGCAGCGGGAACGGGAAGCTCGCCAGCTGGGCGGCGATGGTCGGATTCCTGGTGATGATGTCCCTGGACGTTGGGCTGGGTTAGGGACTGGCCCGCGACCCCACGACGCGGCCGGGAAGAAGAAGGAGGAGGAAGAGGAGAGAGCGGAGGTCGAGTCCTTATCGAGGACGCGCCTTCCGGTAAGCGTGAGTATCGTCCCGATCGCGTCGGGGACGACCGGCGACGACCGGCGACGACCGGCGACGACCGGCGACCCTTTCGGTCCTCCCGTTGGGCTTTACCGTCGTCCAGGACTCGAAGGGTCGATGCTCGGGGAGGGATTTATCGAGATCCGGGGTTTTGGTCGGCCCGAGCGCGCGTTCGACGAGGATGCGATAGAAACCGTTCCTAGAAAATGGCCTGGACTCGCGAGAGGCGGAGCCAAGGTTTTCGTATATTCCCTTGTAGAAAAAAGAAAAGATTTCGATCTCGGTTCGGTGCTCCGCAATAAAGACTGGCCGGTCGGGAGGATACCAAAGATTTTGTCAAAGCGATTCGGTGCAAGAATCTCCCGACTAGCTTTATCGATCTTCGCGTCGCGTGACCCTCGCGGAGACCGAACCACTTTGCTTTTAAGCACCGTATCTCACCTCGATAGGGAAGACTTAAGGAAATTAGGAAATGGGACTTAATACCGGCTAACCGCTAGGGAAAACGTACTTAGAATTAACGTTTTTCCGAACCGTTAAACGAAATTCGTCGTCCATTCCGTATCCTTGTATTTCTATATTTGTACGTCGTAGAGCCAAAGAAAGTACTTTTCGGCTATAGGCACTTCCTACCTAGGCGAACCGGTGGAAAGAAAAATATTAATAACGCGTCCATCCGTCCTCTTGCCGTACTCTCCACCCCACCGACTGCTAGACTTTAAGGTAAAGGACGGTCGATTCGATATTTGATCGAGACCCCGATGCGTCGCTTGCGTCCATCGAGGGTATGTAGAGTAATTACCCGACACTTGCCACGCGGCCGACGCGGCCGACGCGGCCGACTCGTCGGGGCGCCGGGGCGCCGCCGGTTTCCCCCTAGACTTTTCGACTTCCTGCCGAGATCCGATCTACGAACGCGGCCATGCCGAGGGGAGGGTCGCCTCTTTTCTCTCCTCCTTTCCTTTTCCCCCTTTTACGCTATCGATGCCCTCTTTCCCACCTGCTCTCCTCGACGATGCGCTTTCACCCGTCGTAGGGCCCGAATCGATACCAAACGTTACACAGAGACCGTATTTTCGTAAATATTCCAAAGAACCGAAAATCGATAGGTAACGAACCGTTCGCTTTTGGACGCACTCGGGTGAACGGCGAATTAACGAATGACAAATTTTTCCCCTTCGTTTCTTTCCCAGCGAGTCCGTAATTGATGCAAATCGTAGGAAAATTATTTGATTAGGGCGTTCGGTTCGGAACGCGTTAGCGGAGGAAAAAAAATGCTGCGCGATCGTCCGTTTCTTCGACATCCAAAACTTGGTAAATTTCTTTTATTCGATTTTCTTGTCAAGGGAAAAAAAAGGGAAAAAAATTCGGAGGGTCCGAATATTTGCAAACGACAAAGTGCAAAAGGTAATCGGAAGGGGAAAGAAAAGGGACGGAAAGGATGGCGCAACGTTTTTGCCTCGTCGACGGTGACTGGAATAATCGGTGGAACGAATCGGTGGAACGAATCGGTGTCACCGAGAGGAGATAGTTTCGAGGTTTACATTAAGCCCGTGTACGCGCTCGGGGCGATCGTTAAACGGCGTTTAGGCGAGCCGACTAACGTAACGCCGCCTCGATGGCTGCAACGTGGCGTCGGTTTAATACCGTTTTACGGTGCCGGACAAAAGTATCGCTACTTCCGGCTCGGCCTTTTCCGCGAACCGCTTCGTCGACAGTTATCGGCCCTTCGTTTCCGAAAATCGTCCAAGAACGAAGGAAACGGAACGCGTCTCCCGTTTACTCGGCGAGGTCCCGATCGAGCGGATTCGCGGCAGCTCCTCGATCAGTTTTTCCTCTTTTCTCCCCGAGCCGGAAATCGCGCGATAACCGTCGACGACGCGACCTCCGTACTCGGAGGAGTACCGAGTATTTGCCTTAGGATCGAGAGATCGATCGGGTGTTTAACGTAGGACGAACGGGAGAGCGGAGCCGCATCGATCGACTGTTCCAGGTGAGAAATAAAGGCGCGTTGCGCAGATTCTCGTCTCGTGTCGTCCCGTCCCGACCTTCCGGGAGGCGGTTTCCCCATTGCCCCGATTAGTTTCTCCACGAGCGGGGCGGAAGCGCGCTTATCGCGTCCGACGACGACCTCGCGTTTCCGGTGCGGCGGGCGGCCGGAGAGGTCGAGTTCTTCCGAATCGAGCGAGGGATGAGGAGGGGGAGGAGGAGGAGGAGGAGGAGGAGGCGAAGAAGAGGAAGAGGAGGAGACCCTCGCATGCCGTACGTAAACCCTCTCGAGGGTGCCGAGGGCGGACGGGGCGGGAGGGGCGACTCGTGGATAGAAATAGCGAGGGCGAAGACTACCGGAGGTCACCGTCCCGTGGCCAAAGGGAGCCGCGCGGAGAGGAAGGAAGCACGCTCTCGCTCGACCGGAAACGCGAACGAAGGAAAGCGAGGCAAACGGCGCGGGGTCGATGAATGAAACCGCCGACGCGGGTGAAGCTTCCTCTCGCGCGGGAGTACTCGCTCACGCTCGAGTTTACTCGAGCGTTCGAGGCGGAAGGAAGCGGCGTCCTCGGCCCCGGCCCGCGAGGGACCGTTACGCTTCCGGTTCGCCGACGGAGGGAGTCGCGGCCGACGACCGTTCGCGGGGGTCTATTTCGAAGTCCGTCTCCATTTTCTATTTCCACGCGACCCCGGGCCCGAGCCGGCGTCGCGGCGTTATTTCGGGAAGCAGTCGGTGGCACCCGGTCCCGACGTAGGCCGACTTCCGGGTGGCGGAATTCGCGCCCGGACCGGCGGACCGGCGGGTCCGTCATCCGGCCGTCACCCGGCCGGCGGCCGGCGGCGCACGCGGCGCGTGAGTCACGCGCGGGTCCGGCGGTTCCTTTGCCCCGCGACGTCGGAGGACGACGTCGTCGCTTCCGAGGCCGCGCGAGACACAAAAGTGTCCGACCTCGGGGCCCGATTATTCCTCGCCTCGGAGAGGAATCTTGGCGCGCGTGGTCTCAATAATTCATAGGGTTTTCACGGTCGGGAGCGCGAGCCTCTTTATCGACGCCGGATTTGCCTAATCGACGAATTTCGACGAATTTCGACGAATTTCGACGAATTTCGCCGAGCCGGGCTCCGCCCTCCTCTTCCTCCTCGACGTCGGAAGGCTTCGCCCCGTCGCCGAGACGGCCCTTCGAGATCGAGTCGAAGCCTTTGCCGGGATCGTCGCCCTTTCCGTTCCGCCTTCCGTCTCTCTTCTTCCGCCACGTCGGCAGGCCTCCCGCTCTCCCGCATACCGGCGGCCCCCTCTCCGCGGCGGATCGCCCCCCGTCCCTCCTTCCGCTACATTCTTAGCTAAGTCGCGAAGGTGCGGAAGCGGCGGCGGCGGCGGCGCTGCCGGCGGGAAGGGGCCGAGGGAGGGGGCAGTCCGCGCGCGGCCGTACCGGCCGGGTCCAGTCGGTCCTCGTCCGTCCGGGCGGTCGCTCGACGGACGCGCGGGGGATTTTCCGGGAGCAAACCGCGACGAGGAGGCAAGTCCGCGCGTGGTTTCCGAGACGCCGCGAGTGCCCGGCGGCGACGGAGGACGGAGCGGGTATTCGCGGGACGAGTCTGGAGGTACGTAGTCGGGCAGCAGGACCGGGAAGATGCCGCCGCGCTCGAGCGCGATCCGAGCCGAAGGAGGGTCGAAGGAGGCTCGAAGGACGGCCGGAGGAGAGCCGAAGGAGAAGGGGCGAATTTCGCCGCTTGGCGGAAAAGGGAGTTGGCTCGGCTCGCCTCGGCGAGTGCGAGGTATGCCCGAGGTATGCGCGAGGTATGCGCGAGGCATGCGCGAGGTATGCGCGACGCGCCTTATCGCCCGGAGGGGCGACGAGCCGAGTTTCGGAGTCCTTTCCGCGGCCGGATCGTCGGAAAAGCGAAAATGGCGGCGCTCGACGTCGGTCCCTTTCGGCGGGTTCGCGCCGGGTCGGCCGGAGGGACGCAAAAAGTTTGAATTCCAGGGGGGCGCTCCGCGTCGAAGCGATATTTACGTAGATGGGATTATCCGCGTACGCGTCGGATAGGAAGGTGTCCTCCCTTCCCCGGACCTCCCCCCCTCTCTCTCTCTCTCTCGCTCCCTCCCTCTCCCCGGCCACGGTCTATTTCTGTATGCCGCGGTCGGCGTTCTAGGGCAGCGACTCTCAACCGGTCGGGCCGATCGACATTCCTTCCCCGGACCCGTTAGCGCGCGGCCGACTTCCGGGCGAGGGGCGAGCCGGCGCGCAACAGGTATCCGGGAGCGAGGACGGAGCGGCGCAACAGGTACCGCCGGGGACGCCCCGAGATGAGCGCCTCTGGCCGGCGCGGCCTAGCTTCGCGTCGGATCTTTAAAGTTTAAAAGCCAGTCCGGGTTGACCGGCGAAACCAATGACCGCGACCGCGCGTGCCGAGGACTCCGGATTTCTCCGTATTTCTCCGTATTTCTCCGGGCCGAGCCGCGGCCGAGAGGAGAGAGGCGGGTTCGTTCACCTCGGCTCCTCCTAGATCGAGGTCCCCGTTGGGGGGTTTTCCGGGGGTTTTCCGGGGGTTTTCCGGGGCGTCCGTGACGTAGGTCAGGTCGGGAGGGAGCGCGGGCGCGGGCGCGGGCGCGGGCGCGGACGCGGACGCGGCGCCTCGCCGCCCCGCCGCCAGAGGCGCGCCGCTGCTCGGGAGAGAGAGAGAGAGGGACGGATCTCCTTCCATTGAGAGGGCTCGCCATGAATGAACCACGGACTCGCTCCGGGACGCGAGGCGCCTCCTGGGCGGTCGGGCCCGGAAGCGGCCGGCCCTTCGCGGCGGATGCGCCGCGCTACCTTGTAGGTAGGAAAGGAAGCGAACTTCCTTCCTCCGCGCGCCGCGACCGAGCCGTTTATATAATCCCATCCTGTGACGTCGGGCTCTCTAATCCGTTCGTTAGCGTGGGCCGAGCGGAGCGCGTCCGCGCCGGAAAACCTAACGGAATCGCCGCCCCCCGCTCGCTTCCGGCGCGGTCTGGTCGCCGTCTGCGGGTCGACGCCCGGCCAGGAATAGAAGCGCCGCGACGCTCGGCCCGGCCCGAAAAGGGCAGGTGCGGATGAGAGCCCCTGGCCGCCGTGCGACTTTTTGAGCCGCCGTGGTCCCACGCCGCGACTCCGTGCTACGCGTACGCGAGCGGCGGAGAGAGAGACGGGGACGCGCCGGTTTCCCCGTCCCTTTCCGCCCTGCCGGCCGTCGGCGTCGAGGAGAATTCGACGGGCCGACGCTCGTAAAAACGGACACGGTCGCGAAAGCGTGCCAAGGTCTCGCGCCTCGTCGACGTCGGCCGGCCTCCTCGGGCCCCGATGACGGTGACGCAACGTCGCCGGTCGGCATTCGTTTTAACGAGGGAGACGGGACGCGATAACCCGCGAGCGGAGTCCTCCGTCGGTCGCCCCGGATCGTCGACGAGTCGAGGAGGTTCCGGAGCCGTTGGAACGGTTTTCAATTACGAGGGGCTCGGTGGGTCGGGGGGGGCCGGCCGGGACTGGACTCGTAGCTGCATTCCATTCCCACTGGCGGGGAGTGCGCCTTCCGAAGCGGTCCCACGGCCCCGGAGACGCGCGCAAAGATAGTGCAAAAATAGCGCAAAAATTGCGCAAAAATTGCGCGGAAACCGGAGAAGGAAGGGCCGCGGTCCTTCCAATTAGAAGAATTAGTCGCAAAGAGAATAGCGAGATGACGCACGGCGGCCGGCGATCGGTCGGCGAATCGGCTCTCCTTAAGGAAAAGACGTGAATTCACGTCAGCGGTACCCAGGGAAGGGGTTGAAATTTTCGATTTGTAACAGGAACATAGGATAACCGAGGAGGGGGGATGGAGCTCCCCCCCAGGCATACATTTTAACCCTTTCATTACGGGTGCCGCCTATAGGCGGCGGCCGCGCGACGACCCGTGTGTACGGGTGCCGACTATAGGCGACGGCCGCGCGACGACCTATGTGTACGTGCAAAGTGCACACTTCGCGGCGCGGTGACCCGTTCAGTGGCGTCACTCCAGCGGAGCGGACTGCCGTAAGGAAAGGGTTAATTCCCCTTACACGGCGCCGAACCGACTCTCTCGATTTTTCGCGCGCGGGAGCGGTTCCGGGGCGAGATTCTCCGGAGAGGTCCGTCACGCGTACAAATAGCTGACCTCGCTTGGTCGCCCTATCGATTCCTCCTTTCCGCGCGGCTTTTCTTCCGACGAGACCGGAAGCGACGGAGCCCAAACGGCCGACCGTCTCGGCGAGCGACCTTGGCGCGTCGCGGTTCTCGGACTCGACTCCCGTGCCGGCTCCGTTTGCCCCCGCTTGGGAGAGCGCGCGCGCGGCGCCTCCCGGAACCCTCGGGCAGCGGTCGGTAAAGGCGCGACCGCGCCGACTGCCGGCACGACAGGACTCGCGCGAGTTACCGCTCGGGTCTTGGCTCGTATCCACGGCCGGTACAGCGGAGACCTCCCCGAGATCCGTCGGTAATCGCTCGGCCCTCGCTCGTTATCGCCGGATCGCGGGGGGCAACCCCCCTGCGCCGTTTCTTCCTCCGGCTCGGAGACGACCGAATGCCGCCGTTAAAAAATATAGAGGAGGAAAATGAGAGGCCCGAGCGGTGACATTCCATCAAATCGGCGATTAATTTTAACGAGGGCAATTACTGGTTAATTAGATAAAATACGCCGCGTTTCTGGGAACGATAGCGATAAGAGGCGGGACAGTGGGTATCATTGTGGAAGCGACGGGGGGTCCGCGACGGTCGCCTCGTCCCTGGACGAGGTTTCCAGGGACGGGCCGATTCCTTCCGCGACTTTGCGAGAGGAAACGGCCGACCCGGGGTCACCGGGTCGCCCCTTATCGGGCCGGGTCCGCGCGGGCGCGGTCGAGGATGCTCCGAACTCACGGCGGTCTGTCTTTTCCCCAGGTGCGAACGCGGAAATGGCCGGAGGTCGCCGGACCACCCAGGACCAGCCAGGAGCAACCAGGAGCAGCCAGGACCGGCCGGGATGACGAGGCTGCCCGCGAGGCCCTGGAGGGACTCCTCGAGAGGCCACGTCACTCGAAGAGGCGACTCGAGACGTGGAGTGCCGGGATATCGGGAGCCGCTTTTTCGTCGGCCCTTCCGGAGGCGAGCGGTCGAGGGAGCGGCTGGAGCGCGCTATCGACTCTCGATCGTCGATCTCGAAAGATGCCCGAAGTATCACCGGTCATGCCTCGTTGCATTCTCGAGGCCCCACGGGGGCGTCGAGTATTTCCTTTCCCTCCGGGGGCGCCCCGATTCCCGGTACTCGAAAACCCTTCCAGGGAGGAGAGAGGATCGCTTTCGATCCTGTTGTTTTAGGAGTGCACCACCCCTCCGTCCCCGATCCGACGCGGATGCTTCGGGCGGTCTTTCGGACGCTGTTTCGAACGCCGTTTCGAACGCCGTTTCGGACGCCGTTTCGGACGCCGTTTCGGACGCCGTTTCGGACGCTGTTTCAGAAAGAAGAGAGAAAAGGAGCGTTCCCCGCGCGGGGGGCTTCTCCGTAGACGAAACTGGTTTTCACAATGGTTTGACAGATGAATTTGCTTCTGAGATCATTGTGAAAGCTGATTTTGTTTTCCACGCATCGCTGGACCGCCTGCAGGTGATAGAAATTGGGATCGCCACCCGGAAAGGTTCCTCGTCTTCTCCTCGAGGGAGGAGGCATCTTGCGACTTTTTCGAGCGTTTCCCCCGCGGCCGCGCGTCGGGATAATTGTTGACGGATAAATAAATAGCCTCACAAAGGGGCCTCTGTTCGAGATCCTCGGCGTAGCACGCGCTCCGGACGTTTTATGCAGCCAAGGGCAAAACATCCCGCCATAAATAAATTGTCCTAACCGCGATCGCGCCCGCGCGCTGCGGCCGCTGCGGCCGCTGCGGCCGCTCCGGCCGCTCCGGCCGCTCGACGGAAAATGGGAAAGCGACGAAAGGGGCGAAAGGGGCGAAAGGGCTTGTTTGGTCTAGTATCGGAGTCGCGTTTCGACGGAAAGGAAGGAACGAAGGGTCCCGGGCCGAGGGGGAGAGGAGGGCTTTCCCTTAGAATTTGATTCAGCCATAAGTTCCGCGGTCGGCCTGTCAAAATACGACGGGTCCCCAATAAATTTCTGACACGCCGTTAACGCGTCGACCCTGCCCGCGCAGTGCCCGATCGGCGTAACCGGAAACCAAAATCGTATATCACCGGGGTTCCCAATTTGCCAGGGGATCTTGACGAGGCTCCGCCGCGTGGGAGCCGTCGGCGTGACGTTGCCTCGTCTAGGGTTTCCTCGGCGAGCGCTCGCCTTTTCTTGCTTTCGGTCCGTTTGACACTCGATACAGGGCGCGATGCGTAGGCCTCGTGCCGGTCCGGACCCCGTTTACCTCGTCTCGGGGGAGGCAGGGGAAGCGACCGGGGAAGCGACCGGGGAAGCGACCGGCCCCGAGGAGGAACCTCGCGTCGAAGATGTTTCTTACCGCGCGCCGTTACGTCCTCGATAGGATCTTTCCCGTATGATAAATCGCTACCGGAAACGCCGGCAAAAAAGTCATCGCTCGTTCGCGCTCTAGATGCTTAATCGCCGGAGCCGCCTCTCGAGGAGGAGAGGAGCCGAGAGGTCGAAGCCGAGAGGTCGAGAGGCGAGGGAAAATCGGGCAGTTTTCAATTTCGGGAGCGCTCGTAAAATCCCGGGGAGTACCGAGAAGCGGTGGCCGCGGATGTGCGCACCATCGCCCTCGCGGAGGGCCCGGGGCGCAAGGGCGGCCTAGGGGAATTATCGCTCGAGAAAATCGCCAGGGGCCCCACGTGTGCCGACCGTCTGCCGGCAAAAACCTCTCGCGCGAGAGGCGCGCCTTTAAGCCCGACCGAATTTCTCCCGAAACGATAAGTCGGGACTTTTCTCGGGGCCTGCGACTTCTCAAGCGTCTCTCCGCCTACCCCGTTCCCCTCGCCCTCGAACCCACCTTAAGGGGATTTCCTCTCCTCGCGTAACCCTCGCGTAACCCTCGAGGAGCCGCGCCGAGGACGTATCTGCCATCGCGCCCGAGACCGAGGCAAGACCAAAACGACCATCGAGAAGAGACCTTTCCGAGAACCCTCGCGCGGCCCTTTCCCTTTCCCTTTCCCGCGGACCGGGTCGGGTCGGGTCGGGTCGGGTCGGGTCGGGTCGGGTCGGGTGCACCTTATCGCGGAGCGGACGGCGACTTTCACCTGGAAATCCGAAAATTCACAAAGAGGACTCGTCGAGATTCCGATGAATGGACAGTAAAAGGGATCTCGGCCGCGATAAAGTCGGCGGGTTTTCAACAGCTGTAGTTTAGGGCTCTTTATTCTTCTGAATGGCCGGACTGTCGAAATTTATCGAGATTATCGATTCGCCCCCTCCGGCAAATATTGACACGAGCGGCGCCCTCGCGATCTCTCCTAGTATTTTCCTCCTCTCCTGCGAGAGCTCGGCGTTACTCGATTTAATGGAAAATTAAGTTGGGCGTTTCCAGGAAAGGAGACGAGAGGTCTCGCGGTACCGAACGCTCTCACGCGATAACTCTTCCCTCGCGACCGATTGATCCCGATTAGAAAGGAATTCTCCGAAGCGAAGTAAGAGCTACCGAACGCGAGATAAGGCCGAGGATGTTCTCTACTAATTTATTCGGCCCGAGGTCCCTCGGTTCGACCGTTTCTCCGGTCCCTTCCTCTAAGGGCTCCTCGACCTTATTTCGTCCAAGTGCGAATTCCGATCGCCACGTGGGCGGATAAGTGTCCGAAGAAACCGCGGGAGATTCCCACGTTCCTCCTGGGGGATGGACGATAAGGCCCTTGCCCCGCTTCCCCGCTCGCGTTATTTAAGGAGAAAACCCTCTGGATCCACCGTAAACGTCGATCCCGCCCGTCGGACCGCGGTCACCCAATCCTTTGCCTCTCGACTCCGACGTCCGGGAAACGTTATCCACGGAAAACCGCGTCGCTAGGAAGTCTCGGAAGGAAGGGACGACTGGGCGCATCCAACGCATCGTTTTCCGTGGAATTTTCATTCTCTGTATTCCTAGAATTTTCGGAGTTACGACTCGGCGATACTGTAACATTAATATTCATGGATCATCGGCAGGAACGCCGAGCGCCTTCGGTAAATAAATACATAAGTACAAAAGCTCGAATCTGCGCGCATTATACATATTCCTATTATTAACTACGTGTATGCAAGTTTATTCATTTATTTATATATTTATTTACTCGCGTATGGATAATATGTCAGGCTCGACCAAACTCGGGTCGCTCGACGAGGCTCTCCAAAGGCACTTTGCTCGGTTCCCCTGGAATCGCGCGGTCGAGGCGAGTACGGGAAAAAAATCCGGAAAGTGTCGAATAAATGTCGAAAAACTGTCGAAAGTTGGAAGTAAATAAATAAGCCCCATAAAGGTCGGAGCGTGATCGGGTTTCGAGGGTTTATTTGAGCGGTTCGGGTCGGCCGGCAGTAAAGCCGAGGTTTACGTCAAGCGGGCGCCTCCACCACGAGAGAGTCGAGAGAATCGAGAGCACGTCGAGGACCGTTCGTTCGGGCCGAGAGTCGCGCGCTTTGGAATGGCCGGCTGTCATGGAATGACGTCATGGAGTCTCGCGGAGCGACTTTTGCGCCACCTCGCGCCTTTCCGGCGGACGAAGGTGCGCGCGAGTGCTCCCTGGTTGCCTCGCATTTGGCTATGTCCCTTCCCCGGCTCGAGGGAAAGGATCTAGAGGTAGTTGGGCCAGGACTCGATCCCAGGTACGTATCGGTGGTACTGCGCGTAGGGACCCGCCACCTGGGCTCCCGCGTGGGGGTAGTGGGACCCGGAGATGTGCTGGACCGGCGGAAGAGGAGGCTGCAGCTCGTGGTATCTCAGCATGTCCTGGGCTCGGTCCTCCCAGGAGACGTCTCCGATCGCCGCCGCGGGATCGGCGCAGTGCCGCTTGATGGGCCGCTCGACCTCGTCCTCGTACCTGGACAGAGGACCGTCGGTTAGCCCGTCGGTTAGCCCGTCGGTTAGCCCGTCGGTTAGCCCGTCGGAGGCAAGGCGAGCTTACCGGTTAAGAACCCACTGGGCCGAGGTGGTGGGCGGAGCAGGGGGGTACTGGGGAACGGGCGGATCCTGCAGGTACTGGTCCAGCTCGTTGCTGTCGACCACCTCGCACTCGGGCAGGTTCAGGGGGATGTTGAGGCTCACGCCCGCCAAGGGACTCAGCCCGCCGAGGTGGCCCTCGTCCATGGGCAGCCCCTCGATGAACCGCAGGTCGACCCCTCCCTGCTGGTGGGGGGAGTCCTCCGAGGGCGCCGGGTCCTGCCGGTAGCCCGCGTTGCCGGGCTGCTGCTGCTGCTGCTGCTGCTGCTGCTGCTGCAAACTCTGCCGAGAGGTCGGCGAAGGGGTTAGCGCCGTCGGGGGCGGAGGGACGGACAAGACCGAGGCTCTACCTGGTGGACGAACAGCTGGCCCCGAGGAGTGGTCGGCGGAGTCGGGGGAGACAGCCCCTGCCCGGGGGTGGCGGGAGGCGAGGAGCTGGTCCCGCTCTGGGGCGAGTTGGGGGCCTGGCCCCCCCTGGGGCTGGCGTCCTCCCGCTTGAGGGCCCGGGAGACGCCGAAAGCGACGGCGCCCTGGGCCCTGGGAGGCGAGCCGTCGCGACCGGAGGCTCCGTTCTTGTTCCGCCGGCGGGGCTGGTATTTGTAGTCGGGGTGCTCGCGCTTGTGGATCACCCGCAGTCGGTCCGCCTCCTCGATGAACGGCTTCTTGTCGGAGTCGGACAGCAACCTGTGGAGGGACGTTTCGGGAGTCGGTCCGCGCGAGGGCGTCGTAAAAGGAGAGCTCGTGGTTATCGACTCGGCCGCACCTACACGCGCGAGCGTTGCATACTCGAGAGGCGAGAAGGGGATCTGGTTAGTGTTTCTGGGACTCGAGAGGAGGCCGAGTCGACGCCGAACCCGGGGCTCGTGTTTACGTTCCCACTGGCTCGTAAACCCTTTGCCCCGATAAGCTTTTCCGGTGTAATATCCGAGAGATTCGAGATTCGAGATCGGAGACCGCGAAATTCCGCGTCGCGTCTCCGCGGCCGGGCGACGAGTCCCATCTGGTCAGTGGACTTTGCCTCCGCTTTTTTTCCCCGGAACCCCGCGATATCGGTCGCCCCTTGGCATCCAGATGCACCCACAGGGTCAGCTAATTTCGATCCGCTCTCGCCTCCTCCCGCGCCGGCGCGACGCGATTTCTTCTCTCCGTCTCCCGGAGCCCGAAATTCACCTGCCCGCCTCGCGTTATCTGCCCGCAGGGGGAGAACGAGAGGAGATCTCGGAGCCTTTTCCGCCCGCGAGGCGGAGCCTCCCGGAGCCTCGGGAAAATTCACCTGACCCTGACGCGGCACAAAGCCGGGCCTTGTGATCGCGATAACTCCCCTCGGCTTATCACCGGCGGGAACCGGGCGGGAACCGGGCGGGAACCGGGCGGGAACCGGGCGGGAACCGGGCAGGAACCGGGCAGGAACCGGCAGCTGACAGCACGCGCCAAGGATGCGGCGATAAAGGGGGGCAAATATCGTAAAAACCCTCGCGCACCTGGGCCCCCGTTATCGGCGTCGCCGAATTCGACGGGTCGCGCCCCCCGCGCGAAATAGAGAAACGGAGTCCGCCGTCCCTCTCGAGCGTTAACGAGCTCCGAGCCCAATTTCGCAGGCGTTAAATAACGACCTCTTAGGATCCGGACGCGAGAGCGACTCCGCCTCCGCCCGTCGCCCCCGGAACGAGTCGCGGCTCGATTCCTTCTCGAAGTGAAATTGTCCCCGACGCGAGTCATCCGCAAATCGGCCGGGCCGATCCGACATCGCTCGGGTCGACTCGATCGAGAGGATCGAAGCGATTCCCAGCGGGGGTTCCGTCGGCGGGCCCTCTGATGGCCGTCGGGGCCCCACGGGGCCCCACGGGGTCCCTCGTTAGGCTCGACCAGGAAACGGACTCGGAAACTCTCTCCCTTCTCCGACCCTCCGCGGCGACTCGACTCGCGACCCCGACCGCTCCGTCGGCCGACGGACGCGACTCGGCGCTGCCCCTCCGGACGAGCGACGGAGACGCTCCGCGGACGGTCAAAGCACCGGAGGGAAATCTTACCGCCACAGCTTGCCGAGCGTCTTGGAGAGTTCGGCGTTGTGGAGCTGAGGATACTGATCGGCCAATCTCCTGCGAGCCGCCTGGGCCCACACCATAAAAGCGTTCATGGGCCTTTTCACGTGGGCCGCCCTTTTGTCACCGGAGCCCCTGCAATCGAAAGGCGTTATCTTCCTTTCCGTCCTCCCCGGACCACCTGCCGCGCGGTATCCGCGTCCGCTCGGAGCGGATCCCTCGGGAGAGGCGCGAGGTTAGCGCGCAACCTCTCGTTTCGGCCTCTTTGAAACGACGCGAGTGCTAAGTCCCGGAGTAAACTCGAGGAGGCCGGGTAAAAAATAATTAGCGCGTCCTCACTAACGAGAGCCTGCGGAGACCCGGCTACCAGGCTTCACCCGAATGCGCGAAAAAAAGGAAATTGAAAGGGGACCCCACCCGTCTCCGCGTGTCGGAGAGCGTCGCCGGCAATTAATAAGGAGGTGCCACCCGAGGCCCCTCGCCTCCTCTTCGTTCCACCCTCGATAACGCGGAACCGGGCAGCGTCGGCGATAAGAGCCGACGACTCTGCCGTGGGAATTCCATCGGGCGAAAAGTCGGGCCGCGGAAGGGGAGGCAGCGTTCCCATGGGGGGCCATGGGAATCGAAGGGCGAGCGCTATCCGGCCATCGGCCCTTCGACGAGGCGGGCGCGGAAAAAGTCTCCACCGATAGCTCGACGGCGCCGAGGGCCGAATTCCGAAACATTGACGGCCCCGCCTCGGGGAGCGCCTCGGGGAGCGAAAAGCGCGAGTCGATTAGCTAATTTCCGTTAATAGGTAGCCGAGGACGTTTTTCCCCGAGCGTTTTTCCCGGGCCGTGGAAACGAGCGCGTCATAATTGAGTTAGCGTTTCGCGTCTTCCTCGGGCCGCGCGTTAACGCCTCGCTAATTCCGCGCGCCTCTCCTTCCGCAATTTTCTCCGGATCGGGAGAAATCGCCGGCCGGCGAGGAGACTCACTTGACGGTGATCGGGAGCAGGTTCCAGTCGTAGCCCTGGAGGACCTTGGCGACGGCCGCGCTGATGACCTCGCCGCCTCCCTCGGCGCCCTTGGTCCCCGAGGTCGAGGAAACGGACCCCGAGGAGACTCCCGTCGTCTCGTCCATGGAGACGCTTCCGTATCGATTCGGAGGAAGCGCCTCGCCCGTCCGCGGAGTTTATTGCTCCTCGGTGACCTCGCCGGCGATTCGCGGGAGTCCTTCGGTCGGCTCTCGCGATTACGAGAGCAAATCGTCCCGATAAGACCGGCCGCAATTAATTCCGCCGCCGATCGAGAAAACTCGCGGGCGCGATTAGGTGGCTCCGGGAAAGGGGCGTTTATCGTCGTTTTCCCTCTTATCCGCGCGTTGCCTCGGTCGCCTCGGTCCGCCTGGCGCGGCCGCGGCACAAAGGAGCCCTCCTCGTCGCTCACGACCGCGACCGAAGGCTCCGCGGTTTCTGGCGGGACATCTCGGCCGCCGGAACGTGGAAAAGGGATCCGCTTTGGCACTTGTCTTCCCGATCGGGCCGCGCGGCCCGCCGTCCGAGAGAGGAGAGAAGAGAGTCCGACCCGGCGCGGTGGACGCGCGACGCGGCGGAGAGCTCGGAGCGAAGTGGTCGTATCGCCTCGGGGTACTCTCCGCGAGGATCGCGAGCCGATCGCGCTCTCCCCCCTCGGCCCTCCTTCTCGCCCTCGCGGCGGGCCCCTCGGGGGTCTCTCTCGCCTCCCTCGCCGCCCGGTCGCGGCCGAGGGAGGGCGGGGCGTCGCCGGCCGGTGGCCACTTGTTGCTCCGAGGGAGGGAGACGGACCGACGCGGCGCCGCCGGCCCGGCCGCGCTTTTCCGAAATCGCGCCGCCCGAGAAAAGCGGCGACCCGACGTGCTGGAATTGATCGCGAAATTCCTTCAAAGGGGGAGCGGATCGCGAACAGCGCCGCCGATTTCCAGGAATTCGCGGGTCGACCGCGCAAGAACGTCGCGGCGCATTTTCCGCGACGCGTTTCGTCGCGGACGCCGACTCGCGATTGGACGGCCGAGTCGCGGCAACCGCCCCTCTCTCTCTCGCGTCCTTCTTCCTTTATTTCGGAGCGCGTCTCTCGTGCCAGGAACCGCTCGTTCCCATGGCGACGGGAGAGGAGCCAATCGGCGCTCCCGGAGGTTCCGCCTTCGCTCCTGGGACCTCTCCCTCTCGCTGGCGCGGCGCCGCGGCGACGCGGCGACGCGTCTCCCTCGGACTCGGATGACGAGTCGCCCCCTCCCGCGCACGTGCGCCGCCGCGACGGTGCCATTGGTCGGGGCGCGGCCCGCACCTCGACGCCGGTGCCGCCATCGCGACCCCGAAACCCCCTTGGTTCCCTCCCCGAGCCGGTCGCTCTGGCTTTCCGCCATCTCGAGCACGGGCCGGACCCTTTCGACTCGGAACGATCGATATCCCGCGTCCCGATCTCGATCGGTAAATGTTGTGGCACGCGCTTCAACGGTGAATACCCCCGGGGAGCAAGGTCGTAGGCCTCGGACGGCACTTCTTCCGGGCCGGTCCAGACCCAGACGACGGGTCGGAATAGGCCTCCGCCAGTGGCGTCGCGTCCGCGGCCGATGACCACGCGGAATGCCCGGATGGGAGTCTCCGTCGGGGGTCCCGACTCGGACTTGCCTCCTGGGGGCGACCGCGCGTCGGACGCTCTTTCCTAGAGTCTTTCAAGTGGCCGACTCCGTCCGTTCCTTCCTTCCCGTTTTTCCTCCCGTCGTCGTCTTCCTCGGAAGACGCTCCGAAAAGGGACACGAAACACGTAAGGCTGCGGTCGACGCGGAGGCACGCGGATTGGCACCACGTGCGCCCTCGACGTGTTTACTCCCGGTTGGAACGGATTCGAATCAATATTATGCCACGGCCCTGGGTTAAATTAGACTCGGCCGGCGAATCCCGCGAGGGCGCCGCCAGCGAGGCGTCATCGGAAACGGGGAAAAGCGGGACCCCTTTCCCGAGGGCGGCCGAGATTCTTTCCGGTCCTTGGCCCGCAGCCGATCCCTTTCGAGGAAGGTTCCCCGTTGACGTCGCGTCGAGCCGTCCACGTGGTCGGACGCGGCGCTGCCAAGTGCGAGGGCCCTTTGATCTTCCACAAAAGCCGCCACACGGCATTGACCGTGGTTTATACTCGCTCGCGGGTCTATGGGCCACTGTCCTCGGCCGACCCGGTCATTCGTTAAACTTCTCGTATAATTAGTCGGTTGCGAGCATCAACCCCCTCTCGGGTCGGGCTCGTCGAGTCCTCCAGGGTAGTCCCGCGACCCTCTCGCGACTGGATTTACCCCCTCGGCCGGGAGCGCGTCCGACTTGGCGCGAGCGTCGGGGAAGCGAACAGGGACTCCTTGTCTGCTCCCGAAATACCCGAAATACCCGGTGGCCGGCGCGCACGCGCGGCCCACGTGGCTCGGGATTAATGTCGCGACGCGGGACTCGCGGGCTCGCGGGATTCGCGCGATCCGCGCGCGAGTCCAAGAGGAGCACCACGGCGGCGGAATGCGAGACGGCCAACGTCGTTCCCTTTCGCCGTATTTTTTGGAAGCTTTCGATCCCGGAATATCGGGGACGCGAGGGAGGCGGGCCGTCCTTCCTCTTGCGGCCGAGGAAAGAGACGCGGGGAGCAGCGAGGTAAATAATCGGCGGCGGCCCCTCCACGGGCACCTCCGCTCGGAGGTGGTCCACGGAACGCCTCCTCTCGCTGCCCCTCTCGCGCCCGCTCGCCGAAAGGGAGACGCGCCTCTCTCGGGACTCTGCACCGGGTCCGCACCGGGTCCGCACGAGTCGAGCCACGCGAGTGCGCGGAGAAGATCCTCCAACGAGACCGGGACGGTAGCGCGAGCCCTCGAGGGCGTAGGGAATCGACTCTCGGGAGGGGGGCTCGGACGTCTCGCGATAACTCGCGCTTCGAGGAAGATCCGAAAGCGGAAGGTCGGTCTCGGAATTACAAAATTGCCCTTTATTTCCGGCCCCGTTATCCCGATAACCCGCCGACCGATAAGGCGACGAAAGGGTGAAGAGACAGGACTTCCAAGGAGCGCCGACGGCCGAGATACGGCCGCGATACGGCCGACATACGGCCGTCATACGGCCGAGATACGGCCGCGAGGAAACGAGAGGATACGATAACGCCGAAATTCAAATTCCTCCGACGTCCGAGTATTCTTCGAGAGTGGACGCGACGCGAGACGCCTTCCGAGAAGAAGAGAAAAATGTTCGATCTCGTTCGTTCCTCGGGAATCGTCGCGCGGCCGACGACGACGACCCACTGAACCGCGAACTTTCGCACTTGGGCCCTTCGGAAGGCACTTCGCAAGGCCCCAGAAGGGGAAATCGCGAGATCCGTCGGGGGCGATGGAGCCTCGTCGCGACGACGGCGCGTCGTCGGCGAAGGAGGCCGGGCCGTCGAGGGGGACGAGCTCCTTGGACGACGCCGTAGGGAAACTTCTTCAAGGTACGCTTTCTCGAGGAGGAGACGCCATTCCTTTGGCGGGTCGCGAGATATTCCTAAACTAATATTCCAGGATAACCGGCGATAAATCTCTCGCGGGCCCGTCGCGGCGGTCTCCTTTTCACCGGGTGCGCCGATCGGGTCGTTTAGCGGGGACATTTTAATTGGCGCTGAAAGCCCGTTCCTCGTCTTCCCTCGGATTTATCCCGGCGATACTCTCTCCCGAGGAGACGGCCGCGACGGAGACGGAAAACGAGGCGGAACGGCCGCGCGAGGGAGACGCCGCCGCGCACCGGGCAACCTCGAGGGACGACAGGTGCTGCGAGTCGAGCGCGACCGAGTCGCGGAGGCGCACCAACTAATTACGCGAGTACCGAATTAAATCCGACACATCGCCTCGTGCCCGCCGTCGTTTATTTCCGAGGCGGCCGGGGCGCCTCGCCAACGTGAATTTCGAAAATCCGACCCCCGGCCCCGGAGAGGCCGCGGTTCGGAAAATCCCGAACCCCCGTAAATCCCATAAAGCATTCGCTTTACGACGAGAGAGAGAGAGAGAGAGAGAAGGGGGGGGGGCCTAGGCTCGAACGTCTCCGGTTTCGCCGATGCGAGTCTTAAATATTTATCCTACCGCGCGATAAAAGAAGGGAACGGCCGAAATAGAATCCCTCGTTTCTCGGCCACTCGATCGCACGCGACGCGGCTCCAATCCTTCCCTTCCGCGTTCCTCCGTCAAGGATCGCGATGTCGCCGAACCGCGCGCCCCCGAGTTCGTTCGGGAACTATCGCGGAGAACTCTCCCAGGTGTCGAAGCGTTTAACGAGGGCCTGGGTCGGTGACAAAGTCGACCTTGTGGGGCAGCTAATGCGCCGAGGAGTCATCGAACAAGGGGGGATTTCACCCGAGGGAGAGAGACGCGGGAGAGATGGGTGCCCGGATTCCCTGGAAGATTATTCCTGCTTCTGTTTCCGGATTTCCGGGTAAAGGTCCTGGACCTTCCTCCGGGAAGGACCTCCTGCGACGAAAAAGCGCCGACAAAGGGGCCGCGCTTCTGGACCGTGGACCCTCGGCAATTAGGTCTCCGCTTTGTCCGCTCCTGGGGACGAGCGGACTTCCGAAAAAAATGCCTCCCCGATTGCGTCCTCGCGACTCCGTTTGCGTCAATCTCTAAACGGGTCAGAAATATTCCAACGAAGACGCGGTAGGTTTTTACGAGCGGTAATAATTACTCCGGAGGAAGCCTCTTATCTCGTATAGATACGAATTTCATTTCCCTCTCGAGTGCGAGTTTCTTTCTCGCAATTTCTCCTTCCGAGAAGAGCGTCGGCGACGATGACCGTGTTTTACCCGTTACCTAAAATCCTCCAGGATACGACTGGACTCTGCTCCCGGTTACCTCCAGGGCCGGAGGGAGACGAAGCGCCCACGTCAAGAGGCCCATGAACGCCTTCATGGTCTGGGCCCAGGCGGCTCGCCGAAGACTGGCCGACCAATACCCGCAGCTCCATAACGCGGAGTTGTCCAAGACCCTCGGGAAACTGTGGAGGTACGGAGGTACAGCCGATCGGTTCGAGGGGAAAAGGCGCGGGCGATTCTACCCTTTCGAAGCGATCGCTCGCACCTTGCCTTCTTCCGTTCGCCCCGACGGTGGTCCTCATTTTTTCGGGTACCTCTGCCGCTACCTTCTTCGTATCTTCTTCTACCGTTCGGGAATCCCTTTTCAGGATCTTGAGCGACGGCGAGAAGCAGCCCTTCGTCGAGGAGGCGGAGCGCCTGAGAAGCGCCCACAAGAAGCAGCATCCGCACTACAAGGTGACAGCGATTTCTCGCCGGGATCCTCTTCGGTTCTGGAAAAAGGGATCGGCAAGGTAACGGTCTTCCAGTCCGAGTGAAAGGAGAAAATGATTTCAGTATCAGCCGCGTCGGCGCAAGCCGAAGCCCGAGGAGCAGCTCGGCGTCCTGTCCCCCCGAGGGCCCCTCCAGGTGCCTCGCCGGGACGCGATCTCGTCGTCGGACTGCGGATACGGTCGGCTCTACCCCGAGGCGGGGAAGCCCTGCGACCGCCCCTCCGTTTATCAGGACCCCGCCAAGTCTTTGGACCAGCCGAAGCCCTTCGAGGCCCTGCCCAAGTACGACCTTCCCGGGTTCTCCGGCAGGAACTACCCCAGCGGGAAGTGCCTGCAGGCGAATCCGCAGAGATTCGAGGGAGACCACGACCTGCCGCCCAGGTACTCCGAGGTGGCGGGACCCGTCACCAAGTCGTACACCTGCGTCCACGGCCAGTACTATCCGCCCCAGGAGGGATACCCCTGCGAGGAGGGCGAGTACCAGGCCCAGGGGGTCCCGGCTCGGTCCTTCTACCCTTACATCTCCGCCTCCGTCGCGCAGCCTCCCTACTACATGGACCCCCGATAGGTCTTCGGCAGGTCCTCCGCCGTGGACGCGATCGCTTATCCCTACTTATTTCGTTAACGTTCCCTGAGCATAAACGGTACTTAATGCCTGTACTTAATTCATTTACCGACCCATTTAAGGCTCGGTAATACGTACGCTTTAGGATTAAGATATATATATATATATATATATATATATATACCCGGGTAATTCCTCTAAACATCGATCGATCTGCCTTCTGGTCCTCCTCGTTAATTTATTCAACTTTAGCAGGCATTGCGACAATAAATAAAAGCAATTGTTCTACGAATCGTTATTAATCCTAACTAACGGTAACTTGGAGGTTGAGCTGGACGAATAGCGAGTTCACGGTTACCCGAGCTATCCTACTCGAGGCGCGATAAGTGCTCTCCGCTAGTCGACGCCTCTGAAGCGACTACTTTAACTCTAACATTTAATTCATCGAGTACGTCCGTTTCAATTCGGCAACTCCTCGACGCATCGACGCATCGACGCGCTCGTCGTTTCACGTAATCGCTCAAGATTATTTACCTAAACGTTCCCTAGGGGAAGAATCGTGGGATTAGTCAATGGATCTCGGGGACCGTCTTCCGTGCACCTAGGAGTACTGGTCGATTATCGAGGCGAGGTCCTTCACCTGTTCCCTGTTGGCGTGCATGAACGCCTTGGCGGTCCAGATCATCTCGGCTAGGACCTCGTCGCTCTTCTCGTCCATGGGGACCTCGGTCGAGAGCTGGGGGCTGAACCTAAAATAAGGGACTCCGATCATGGAGCACCAGCATCTGGCTCTGTCGACGACCCTGCCATCCGACGAGGTGGCTTGATCCACGAGGAGCGAGCCGAGAGTGGAGAGCCGCATGGCGAGCTTGGCGGTGTCCCAGAGCTTCTCCGGGAAAAAAAAGTCGATCTCGGTGAGGGGACTCACGGGGACCAGGCCGGTTCCGAGGGAAACCACCAGAGAGAGCGGGACCACCTGGTCGTCCCTGCCGACGGCCATCTGGGCGAGGTTGTACTCGTGGATCTCGCTCATGGCGTCCAGGGTAGGATTATTAGCGATGAGTCCCCCGTCGAGGAACCTGCCGAATGACTTGAAGTAGGAGGGCGCGGCCCCAGTGGCCCTGGCGACCTTCCAAACGAGCTGCTCGCTGGGCCCCAATGTGGGCTTAAATTGCTGGCTCGGGCTGACCATGAGAATCGACTCCGGCGACTCATAGTTCCTGAAGAGGTGCAGGTCGATGGGTTTCCTGTCGGCCAGGACCCCAGTCACCAAGACTCGGGGTCTGGGGATGTCGGCCATGACGGTCTCCGAGCCGAGGCACTCCTTCAGGACGTTCTCCAAGCCCTCGCTGCTGTACGGCCGAAAGCCCACGAAGGCCACCTCCTTGATCCTGAAGTAAAGGGCTTGGCACTCCCTCAGGCTTTTCCCGGTGGCCAGGCCCAGGGCCAGAATGCCTCCGGTCGACGTGCCGGCTACCCAGTCGAAGCAGTCGACGACCCTCTTCTTTAAAACCGACTCGATCTCGAGCAGAGTCTGGACCAGGACCAGGCCTCGGATTCCTCCTCCGTCCAGGCAGAGGAGTCTGCCGCCCGGGCTTCGTTTCTTGCCACTGCTCTGGCCCTTGTCCAGAGCCATCTTCTCCATGCTGGCCACGTACAGCATCTGGTCCAGAACGGTTCTGGGCACGGCGGTGGGTGGCTGCGGCGGGGACACTCCTTCGTAAGTTTCGTTGCATTTACACCCCATCTTGCAGTCCTGCATGACCGGCGGGCACCGCTGGGCACCCACCGCGTGCAGGATGTAGAGTATCTTGTGCCCTTCGTTGCTTTTCAACTCGACGAGATGCCTCGGCGTCTCTCCTTTGTAATTCATCGCATTGATGTCGGTTCCGAAGCCTATGAGCAACTGCACGATGGCTGGGGTGCTCGTGTGTACCGCCAAGTGCAGCGGAGTATTGCCCTCGTTGTCCACTATGTCCACCGAGGCCAGGTTACCCAGCAGAGCCGATACACACTGAAGTCTCTTCCTGATAACCATCATGTGCAGAGCTGTCCGACCGTCAAAGTTCAAGGCGTCTATGTCACAGTTCTTTTCGATAAGAGCTTCGATGGCCTCTCTACTGCAGCACCAGTGCAGGGGCGTCCCACCAAACTTCATATCTTCTGCGTGCAGAACGTTGGGCTTACTATGCAGGAAATCCCCTACGTAACCTGGACTCGATGGCTGACCCTCCGTAGCAGAGATGTTCACGTCGGCTCCCATCAGCAAGAGAGCTTTCACGCATGCAGGCTTGTCGTTGAGGCAGGCCAGATGCAGCGGAGTCTGGCCTCCGCTGTTACGACTGTTCAGGGTGTTCGGCAAGCCCGAGCCCAGTGCTAGGATAATCTCTTTGGTCGTGTTCGCTGCATAGTGGTAGACCGTGTTAGCATGGTAATCTATGTGCTCCAAGGAGCTCTTCGAAGTTATCAGCAGTTGCACCATCCGTAGGTTATTGCACTGTATGGCAACCTGCAGAGGAGACATGCCTGTCTCCAAGTCGCCGCTGTTTAACTGGCTGTTCACCTCGGCGTGATTGAAAGCTTCGTAGAGAGCAAAGTATGCGGCAAGATGAGCCAAAGTCCATGTCGGATGCTCCATCAATAAGTCGCACAGTTTTTGAAGGTTACCCGTGGTGCACATCTTCAGCCAATGAAGCAAAATCATTACTTTCATAAGTTCTTAAGAATATAACGACATCTCGATAGGCTTCTTATTACCTCTTTGGACACCCGAATTAGCACAGGGATCTTTTCCTTGTAAATGAGAAACCGATCCTCCGCCAAAGTAACGTTCTCACTGCGGAACAGGCTGAAAACATAACGTTCACTGCATAGAAGCTATCTGTACCTTTGTTTTCGGTACCCTATATTTTCTTTTCGACTTGAATTTACCTGTAAGCCTGATCCAGACTTTCGGTGAACGGTAAGTGCAGTACCACATCGTACTTCTCATGATGCTTGACATCCGGAGTGTACAATACGATGCTGTCCTCCCTGCAGTGAATATGCCTGCTGCTGTATTGCTGCTGCTTCACCTCCAGAACCGCGTTCGGCGGAGAATCAGAAAAGATACTACGAAAGACGTTACTTGCTATAGCACCGAGCCACATTGTAAGAGATGCCGTTTCGAAAGAAGAAATTCAGTGATGATTCGCCGCGAACCAACGTGTCTTCTAGGTTATACACCACCGCATCGAGTCCGGCCTAAAATTAGACAAGACCGAAAGAGTTATTGTTCAAAATGTTTGAAAATGTCCACTCCACTGATAAAGATCGAAAGATTATTTAGTACAAATTCTTAATTGACATTTAATTCGTAATAGTAACTAATCACTTACTCGAACTCACTCCTTTAGTTTTTCAAGGTAACTACAGAGATGAGTTGGGAGATTGCTCACGGGCAGGATCGTGCGATTGTGGCGTCGGCAGCTAGGACAACGGTACCCGTATACACAGTTCAGGCAAACGCCGCAAGTGGCGCTCCGAAAGGGCAACGCGCAAACACACCTTAGTTCACCGTGTAGTTAGATATACAAACGCGGTCTATTAAGTTTGTAACAAAAGAGAGTTTATATATGCCAAGTAGGCTTAATAATAAATACTGTGATTATGTCGATACAGTGTTTTATTTATCATTAAGAAAAATAAATAATAGGCGAACGAGTCGGGTAAAATAGTGCTAACACGCATGTGGTCGAACGCGCCATAATCGCACGACCCTGCCCGTAAGCAATCTCCCAACTCACCTCTGTTTATACGTTTACCCCTGGGAGCTGATCTTATAACTTTCACTGGAGTGAAAATGTCAGATACTTCACGTGAGAATACTCGACAAGAATCATCCCCTGACGTATATAAGTAACATTCAATTCTCTCAAAAAGAAGGAACTCGAGTATGCGGGTGCACGTGTTTAATTTAATGCTTATCATGAATAAAACGGTAACAAGGATCCTCCATTTTCGGGGTCGCGATCAATCGCGAGCTTCTGCGTAAACTGACATCGCTTGAAGTTCAATCGTCTCTGTATGTCGTTCGAAATTAATCGGTGTATCCGATGTATGCGGAAGAATCAGGAGTAATAAAGGGGGGATAAGGAGGAGGAAGAAGGACCAACGTGGGGAGGTGTACATACAATACAAGTCCTTGGGCGGGCGTCGGCATTGTTCGGCGACGCCCGTAGGGAACGCGTACTTTTGTACAAAAACTACAACTAAAATATATATATATAATATATATAATATATATTTATATGTATAATATGTCCGCACCATGTAGTTAGCAATGACCTCAGGCAGGTTATTCGCGCAAATAGCTGCCCGCGAGTTCCCTCTCGAGTCCCTGAAGAGATGCATCGTTTTCCGCAACGCCTGCGTGGATGTAAAGTTGCGACAAAGAGATTATCGGCATTTAAACGGTCGATCGCGAAAAATGTCGGATTTTTATGCCTCTAACCCGAACCGCGAAGTTTACGCATTAAACAGTGCCAGGGCATAATATTAACGAATGATACCAAATCTAGGTTCCGATTCTAAAAGGATCTTTAACGAAATCGACGAATCACGCGGGAAATGATTTTCTAAATCTATCCCCAGGTCAGGCGCCGGCCTGCGTTTTATTTCCTACAGACGTGAGAACAGCCCGCGGGTACTGTATAAAATAGAAGGCGTGTACAAAAGCCCTGGGAATGCGTATTAAAAGACCTATTTTACAGTCCTGAACTCACTGCTCTCGCATGGCGCCCGTATGTATGGATGTAGTGCGTATGCAAACCTCTACCTGCGTCTCTGCAATCGTGCATACCCGACACTCACGGTCCGCTCGCACGCACCCTAAGAGCTCTTCTTAATTAATGTTAGCGAATATTTATCCTCGTCAACGAATGGAGATCAATCGATACTAGTCCCTGTACATCTTGACGGCGATCCACGCGCTAAGTACACGAAAAAAAAGTCTACATACGTACACGTAGAAAATTAATTTCTAGGTAGAGTCGCGCGAAGAAAAACTCGTCTCTAAAATTCGTTAACCGATGCTCGAATAACAGCGCTTAATACTAAACTATCGCTTGCAGCCTGGGCAAGGGAATAATTGACGCGTGGACGCATAATCGCGTGAACATTAATTAAAAGTCCAGCCCTTGGTGCTCCCGTTACGCACCTACAATAGTTAACAAGAGACAAGCCTGGGGTTCGGTGACCAGGTCCTAGAACTTAAGTTAATTCTTTAATTTTGGGTCAGCGTATAATCTGCCGTGTGTGGCGAATGCGCAAGTACTCATTTCCCGTTTTCCATCCCTTTCGATCCTGGCACTGGTTTCCCTCTCGTTTCTCCTAGGATCCGAAACCTTATGTTTTCCCTTCTCCTGCCCCGGATCGCAGGTCCCTTATCGGTAAAATGCCAAAAGCGTTATCACGATTATCTATCGCGCGTGGAAAATCCGTTCGAAAAATCTCCCTAAATTCTCGGATGATTTCTCTCCCTCGAAATCCGGTGGGAATAGACTTCCTCTCGTTTTTTCACGAGACGTTATCCCCTTTTTCAAGAATGGAAGTCCATTTCTTCTTTGTCGGAATTTAGGACGAGTTTAAAAAATCAAAACGTCCCCTAGAAAATCTACGCGATGTAAAAGAGTGGCCGATTTGCCGCCGTAAAAAGTTCAATACAAAAAAACAACGGTACAAACATCGTCGGCGGAAGTCCCGGTGCGTATCAGTTCTGGGGAGGACGGAAATGGAAGAAGACACGGGGCTCTCGCTCTCTCTCTTCCTCTCTCTGCCCCAAAGTCAAAAAGCGGAAAACCGGAAAATCGGTGTTCACCCAGATCCTGAGTAATTAACTCTAGCATTAATCGCGTCCACGTATATTCCTCAATATATTCATCGCATGCCTGTGTCCTAACTGGTGAACATCGATTCGTCTTCGGCACGTCCGTCAAGTAAATTCATGTCGTCGGGTAGTGCATCGTTACGTACGTTGTTGGCGGAATGTCGGTCCCGTCCTGGAGTACAGGAGGGGAAGAGTAATTTTTCTTTTGCCTCCTTGGGGCTACTCGGGAACCAAGAACGCGGGTCCTGAGATAGGCTCGCAGGATCTAATCCTCGATAGACGCGGGCAGTGGCTCGATCTTGAAGAGTCTCTTTGTTCCTACTGCATCCCACGTCTATCTACGAGCTCCCGAAGGTTCCTAAGAGTCCCGTTTCAGCTACAGGACATCCCGGAACGTGTCGCGAGTGGCGAAACGTCCTGGACCTGGGAAAAGGGGGCTTGCGGCGAGCGAACGGCAGCTACGATTAAGGATTCAGGCCCTGACGCTTCTCCTCCTCGAGCATGGCGTCGAGCTCGTCCGTCAGGTTGGCGAGCATGTTCCCGATGTCGTTAAGTACGTCCGCAGGCTCGCCGCCGGCCCCGAGGCCCTCGCGCTGGCCTCCCATGTTCCCAGGACTGCTGCTGTACTCGGGGCCCCGGGCCGTCCGCTGCTTGATCGTCCCGGCGTTCTCGTTGGCGAACGGCAGCGAGTCCGACTCCGCGCTCGAGCTCGACTGCAAGGAGAACATCGTCGGTCACTCTAAACGCCATCGACGAGCGAACGATCGAGTGACGAAAAACATCCCCCCTAGACATCGACCTTGAAACTGGCGTCGGAACCGTTCCTATGCTGAAGAGCGAGCGAGGCGATAAGCTCGTGCTCCTCGTTGACGTTGACGCTGACACTCCCCCAAGACCTGGACATGGAGGACGGAGGCCGGCTCATCTGAGGCGGGGTCGAGGGCGCGGACCCAGGGCTCTGGCCTTGGGGATGATGATGCGGAGGTGGATGACGGTGGTGGTGATGGAGGTGGTGATGATGATGGCGTAAGTGTTCCTCGCAGGAGGCCGTAGGAACGGGACCGCTGCAGTCGATGACGACGTCGCCGGGTCCCGGGGTCCCTGGGCCGACGTCCCTGGAGCTCTGGCGACGCGGCGGCGACGGCGGGCACCTCTTCGGCAAGTGGGGACTGCTCTCGAGACCGTAGGTCAGCTGGTACTTGTTGTCAAACTCCCGAGGCAGAGACTTGAATTGGCCCGTCGTCGCTGTCACCTACAAGAAGGTTTCGAGTTAGACCACCGTTGTCGCTCGCTCCGTCGCTTGTCCCTCGACTGGCGATTCTGTTCCTCGGGAACGGATGTCTGGGCTGGCGTGGAAGTGGCCCAGGCGTGGCCGGGTGGTGGGCGGGTATCGCGGATCGATTTCTGCACGTTGCGTATGCACGTACGTTCTCCGTAACGAGCGGGGACGTGGGAAGAGGTCGTGGCAGAGTGCCACCGCAGCGTGGACCCAGCCAGACCTCGAGGAGAACCGACCGAGCGGAAAGGGACGAGGAGTCCTCTGGAATGATTTCCGTAAAAAGGACTCAAGGCCCCTCTCGCCTCGTCCACCGGCGGCCCAAATTCCCCCCCCCCCCCCCGGGACGGACAACTCCTAGGGAATTTGGAAAGGCCATTTCTTCGGGCGCCTCCGATGCTCCCGGAAAACTAATCCTGAGATTAAGGGCGAAAGAGATGGAAAGGAGAAATTACTTTGGCCACGGGTCTCGGTCGCACGAGGCAGTGTCTGGGCCTGGGGAGGGTGCCACCCCCGGCCTCGACGGCGGAGGGCTCGTTGGTGGGCGTCAAGTCGCCGTCCTCGAAACTCCTGGGCCTCCACTCGACCGCCTGAGGGTGCAGCGAGGGCGCCGGAGACGGGGGATAGCCCAGGGGAGCGTCCTCCAGGCTCTCGAGGGACTTGCCCCGGCATCCTCCACCCCTAGCCCCGCCGCCGGGGGCTGCGGCGGTCGTCCCGTACTCGAGGGTGGCCGGTAGGGCGGCGTACATGCTCCTCCAGGCGCCGCTCGTCGCCTCGGTGCTCGCGCCGCGCTGGAAGGATCTCAGGATCGGCGACGAGCAGTCCTCGTCCGGGGACGGCAAGTCCGGACCTCCTCTCTGGATCACCACATCCTGAGGACACGGATACGATCTCGTCCAGACACGGTTCTCCAGAGAGTCGCGCGATTCCACCTCTCTATAACCGACCGCGGGCAGCGGGACGGGTTTCGGCTCACCTGCGTGTGTCCAGGGTGGGGAGGTAGCCGCGCGAGGTCCAGGGGCTGAATCCTCTTCCCGGCGCGGATGTCCTTGACCCGCTTGATCGCCAGGAGCAGCTTCTTCTGGTGGCCCAGCCTCACGATCCCAATGTCCTCGAGGTCCTCCCAAGTGAGGGTCGTGACGTCCTCGACCGAGCGCATGCCCTGCTGGTGCAGGGCGCCCAGGTACTCCTCGAGTCTTAGCAGGCGGAGCCACTCCTCCAGGGAGCCCGGCACGTGCTCCGGGAGACCGTCGCCGATGTTCAGGTTGTCGATCTCCGCTTTGAGGCGCTTCCGGTGGTTGGGCTTCTTGATTCCTGGGGGCGGACAAAGCCCGTCTGTATCGAGAGAGAGAGCCGAGGGGAGCGGAATTCGTTCCTGGAGCAAGGCCTACCGATAGCGGTGAGGTCCTCCGGAGTCATCCGAGTGATCGTGGCCAGGTCGTAGCCGGCCGAGGCGAAGAGCGGAAAGTACTCCTCGAACTGCAACTCGCTCAGCCAGGCGTGGACGACGTCCAGGTCGGCGGGTCGGTCCGGATGGCTCCCGAGGGAGCTGATGGAGCACCTAGGGGACGAGGCCAGGGCCCCGGGGCCCCTGGGCCCCAAGTGGTAGCCCGAGGCCCGACCCGAGTCCAGGGACGCCGTCGAGTGCCTGGAGCCCGACCCCGAGCCCGAACTCCCGGGGCTGTCCCTTCCCGGGCTCTGGGTCATGTCGATTCCTGGAAAATGGGAAGAGCGATCGGATCGAGTGGCCGTCGGTTCCGAGACGGCGCCCGGGCGAGATTTAAGGAAGGAAAGCCAGACGGAAAGGTCTCGGCTCGCACCTTGGTCCTCGGCGTGGGCGTACTTGCCGACGATGGGGGGAAAGGCGAAGCCGGGGTGGGTGAAGACGGGGCCCGGGCTCTTGCCGGACGGCATGCCGTAGGAGGCGTCGTCGGGCGCGCCGACGCCGTTGCCGTTGCCGGGGCCGGGGCCGGGACCGGGACCGGCAGCGCCGCCGCCGGCGGTCGGCAGGAAGCAGCCGTCCTCGCTGCTGGCGTAGCCGGCCGAGCCGAAGGACGAGCCCGAGTGCCGGAAGACGTCGGGCACCGCCGGGGGCGCAACCTTCTTCGCCTGGGTCACCGCTTTCGAGGGCCGACTCATTCCGCCGACTGCAAAGGAAAAGAACGCCATTAGAAGAGCAAGTCGAGGGGGCCGGTCGCGGGGCCCGAGGATCTTGGAAGGCGGTCCTCGCCGAGGCCTCGGCATCGCCCTATCGGCCGATCCGAGGCCTCGGCGAGGACCGAGGTTGTCGCTCGGGGCTCGGGGCTCGGGGCTCGCGGCTCCAGGAGCGGGAGAAGGGCCGGCGCGGCAAACAGGTTTCTCCACTTGCGTAGGTCTCGCCTTTTATTTCGCCCGGAATCGACGAGGGGTCCGGGGGACCCCCCGCGAAGCGCGGCCCAGGGCGAGCGTCTCCTTCGGCGAAGAGGGCCTGGCGGGGGCGGAGACGCTTCCGCGGCGAGTACGCCGCTGCTCGCTGCCGAGACTTATTAATATTCCAGGCCATATGCGCTCTTACGCGGGCTCGCAGCTGACTATCCGCAACGGGAAGATCCCGTCCGGGCGCCCCCTGCGCGTGGATTCTTCCACGAGGTAATTACGTTTCGCCAATCGTAACGACGTACGGACCACCGGCTATTCCCCCGATAACGATCCATTCTAATTTGGCCCGCTCGAATCGCCGCATTTCGCTTTCCAAGTGCAAAGTGCACCGGGGTGCCGGCGTTCTCCCGTGGAGGATGCGAAAAACTCTCGGCACGTGCTGGACCGGCCGCGGATTATTCCACGGGTAACCCGAGAGAAACACGTGTTGAGAGGGCACGAGGGGCAAAAAAGAAGGAGAAAAAATAGACCGAGTCGAGGGAGCGTTTCTTACGAGACACCCGACTAAATCCGGAGGACATTTCCGCGTGCATCGCGCCAGCGGGCCGAGCGGGGAGCTCGGAAGCTTAAAAGCGTGCGGGGTTCTTAATTTACCCCCGCCGCTTCCGGTCGAAGGCTCTTATCGGGGCCAGAATTCGGCCCGATAAGGCGAATTCCCGGGTCGATCGGGGCCGCGCGCCTTTTACATCCACGCCTCGGCGAGTCGCCTTTCGCAAGCCTATCGAGAGATCGCCTTGGGAAACGTCCACTCGGTAAGCTAATCGACTCGCCAACGGCCTTGCCTTTTTCCAGGAGTTTCGTCTCGCGACCCGGTCGCCTTCCCCGGGCCACGAGGAAACGGGAAAAAAAGGAGCCGCTCTCCCGGCTGCCAAGGTCCCGTCCCCGACTTACGCTGCAGAAGGTTCCTCCAGCTCCCGTAGATGGCCCTGATGCACCTGTCCAGAGGAGTCGGCTGACATTCCCGGGCCTCGCCCGGGCGGAGGTTCAGGTTCCCCTCGGAGCGGCTCCGGGGGAGACCCCTCGCGGGCAGGACGGCCGGAAGGACGCAAGGACGATGGGCGTCGGGGGGCCCGTCTCCTCCCGACGGCCACCAGGACTCCACCGCGGGATCTCGGAAGCTCCGGTACGTCGAGGAGGACTTCCTCGAGGACCTCTGTAGGAATCGCTTCCCGGGGGGCAGCGGAGGTGGGCCCAGGCAGCCGGACACGGCCGTGATGGCCATCCTCCCCTCTTCTTCCCTCGCTTCCTCGAGGTTCGCTCGGTCCCCCGAGGTTTCCTCTTCAAGGCCGAATCCCTCGACGCATGTCAGGACTTCTCGTGCTCCACTTTCTCCTCTCCTCGCCTCTTATCTTTCCTTATCGAGAGGCGTTCTCAGGATTCCATCGTTCGATCTCTCCTCGAGAGGGCATTTTCGCGCCGTGTCCTCTGGGTCGATATCCTCCGCTTGGACCCAATCCAAGTACCTCCCGGGGAACGACCCGCTTCGAAATCTCCCTAATTCTCTACGTTTCCGCTTCCTCTCGAGAGTCGTCACCGCGGGCGAAAGGAAACGTGAAAAAGTTGGACGCCATCGTCCCGGGATACCGGGAGAGGGAAGGGCGGCCGAGGCCGCGTCTAATCGGCGGTTCGACGGGCTTTATCGTCCCTTATCGTCCCTTATCACCGGCGTAGGGGCGTCCTAGGCGCGACACCTCGATCGATAGTCCAGCCCCCCTCCCAGTCGATTTCACGCCCTGGGACCGGGAATCGGGAACCGGGAACCGGGAACCGGGAACCGGGCTTTTCTCGCGAAAGGTTCACGCCTATTTCGCGTTCGACGAACCTTATCGCTCCCTATCACCGAGAGAACCGGCCGCGTATAATGCTCTCTTACGTAAAGACCGCTTTCCCGGAGTGACTCCCCCTTTTTTCTCTCGACGACCCATGGAAAATGGAATAAAAGGAAAAGACGCGACGCCGCGCCGCGCCGCGCCGCAGGGCGAAATTCGCGTCGATTCGTTTGTCCGGATTAACGCTCTTTACGGGCTCTTTAAATTAGCGAGCGCAGAACTTGGCGCTAAACCGGCCGGTCGATAAGCCTTATCACTCCCTATCACCGAGTGAACCGGGTCACGCATTACGCGCCTCCACCTTCGGAAATAAAGGAGTCACTGTGGAAGCACTCTTCATCGGCGAATCCCAAGCGACGTAACGGACCGTTCGCTCTCCTCTGCCTCGCGAATGGTTTCACCGTTTCTCGCTTCCGACTCTCGGGAGTCGTCAGGACCCGCGACTTCCCCGACCGGCGGCGGTGCCGACTCTGGACGAGAGACCGGTCGGAGGCGAGTCGAGGCGAGTCGACTCGACGGGGCGAGGTCCTCGGGTGGGTGAACGGGTTGGCGAAAGACGCGCGTGGGTCGCGGTCGCCCGCCCCGAGTACCGCACCACGGAATCGCCGAGTCGGCACCGCGCCCCCGTCGCCCGAAAATCACCTTTACGTTTCCATACTTCCGAGCGCATCCTGCCCGGCCGCCGCAGTGCCCGAACAGGTTGCTCGGAGGTCCGACCAGAGCATTTGCATCCTCGCGAATTGCCTCCGATTCTCGTCGACGTACGCGCGGACGTAAACGTTTCCCGGAGCGATCTCGCGTTCAAGGTCGCGGGGTACTTTCTTTTTCTTTCGATGCAAATCTAGCGCTCCTGCGTCGGGCAACTCCGACCAAGGGGTGAGAGCCTCCATCCCCTCTGTCGAGGAATTTCCCTCGGTTTCGCCCCATTTGGGAAAGAACCGCGGCTTCGAATAAAATTTAAAGTGCAACTACATCCACGGTGCCGTTTAAAAAAATCACGTTGACGTCCGCGACGGGCACATGCCCGTGGACCGGAGACGGACCTCCACCCAGAGTCTTCCTCTCGTCGTTATCGGAAGCAGCTGGTCCGACGCGGTTCCCGTTGATTCGATTACTCCGAAATAACCATCGTACCGATACGAGGCTTCGCGTCGTTCATCGGCGAGATCGACGAAGCCTCTCCATTCCGTTCCGTTCGCCTCGACCTTTCGAACGTCGCGTATCGCATCGCATATCTCCAGATACGGCCCTGTATCCACGCAACGGGTTATCACCGCTATCGTTACCGTTACCGCGCGATAAGGACTCCTTATCTCTCGGAGAAGAGAAGGCAGAGAAAACGCCCGATTACGAGCCATCGCGAATACGTCATCGTTGTCGACCGAGTTAGGAAGGAGAGGACGCGTATGAAAAAAGACAAGAAAAAAAAATGGAAATCCTAATAATCGGGACCGGTAAAGTAACCTCCGGGCATGGGGGATCCCTGCATTACCGGCGACCAACAAAGGGACCGCGACGGTCGGCTCTCTAGGTATCTCTACGGATCAACCGAAAAAAGAATCTTTCGGAGCCTCCTTTCTTCTAGAATTTAAAGAAGAGTCCGATACCCGGGGCCCGCTTTCTGACCTAACCTCTCCGGTGTCGGAATCCCCGATACGCGGCGACGGTACAAGGAAACACGCCACCTCGGGGTCAAGGGGGGGAAAAAATAAATAGGCGCGATCCCGAGAAAGCAATATGATTGACGAAATGAATAAATCGGCCGAAGGATCGGGCAGGTTCCGGGGTCTCGAAGCGAGGCGCCCGACGGCCTCCCAAAAGCTACAAGAGTTGACGAACAGGCAAGGCCACCGGGTCGCCATGGCGAGTGCCCGGCCGCCGAAAAGGGCGTCTCTCTCTCTTACCGCTGATCCGCCTCATGGCGCGTCCCCTTTTCCGATCTTCTCTCTCCCTTGCGCTTCTCCGGTCCGCTCCGTCCCTCTCAGCTCTTCTCACTCAGCCTCGCAGGATCCAGGCGACGCTCTTCGATCCGGCGCCGTCGGCGGCCACCATGTCCCAGTTATCACCCGTTATCACCTGTGACTCGGCGACGCCGTTGATGCGGGCAACCCGGCTGCCGCCGACCGGCCGTCGGGGCCGCGCGACATTTCCTCCGGGCCGAGTTACCGGGACGCCGTCCAAGCCGCCATCGTCGTCGCGAGCCTCGAGCGGCCCTTTGTGCGCACCATTAACCGAAGGAACGCGGCAGCCGGTCGACGCGAGACGCCACTCGATGCTCCCGCTCGTTCTCGGTTCCGACACGCGACCGAACGCGACGCTACTCGACGGGACACTGCAGGACACTGGGCCCGCGTCGTCCGTACTGGCCCGCGGTGCGCCGCGCCACCGCCAGAGCGCTCCCCCGCTGCCGGGCGGGTCCATTGTGTGCGCGGTGTGACGCGCCCGCCATCTTCCGGGAACCGGGCTAACCTCGTCGTAAGACGACGCTCGCTTTGAAACGAATCCCGATGAACGGGTTATTTTCTCGACACTTCTCATGCTGCCCGAAGAATAGAGAATATCTGCTCAAGGATGTATTGGGAGAATTGTATTCGGAATGTTAATTTTTAATGGAAATCACCAAATAATGGTTATCGAGCTGGTTGGCGTAGTCTGAAGGGCTTAAATTTTTAATTTGTAGAATTGAAATTTGGAAGAATAAAAGTTTATATAGACAAAATGACTTATTAAAGCATTAAAGTGACACCTATTTGTTAGACTCGCGGCAACAGAACCAACGGAATGCGTTCCCTCCCGATTTCTCGTTTGAAATTAAAGGTATCCAAGACGCACCTTCAAATTCAAAGTTAACGCTATAAACGGCGAGGCGGTGCTGCCATCTTGTGGAAAGTCACTGAAACCGATAACCAGCATAAATGTCGGTAAATAACGACTCCTATCATCGATACCGAAACTAAAAGTAACCGATGATTAACAACTAAAGAAAAATATGTTTTGCAAGAGTTCCGAACTGCTAATAAGGTGGAATCCACCAGGGAACAATCGTTATTACGAGTAAAAAATCCTAATGGAATGATGAAAGAATTGCGCCGTTGAAGTTTTCAAGGTCAATTCGCGTACCACGACGGAAATGATCGCAGGCGCAAATTATTCCGAAGCCTGGCGTCTCTATAAAAAACGAGACTTCGTCTCCTCTCGCATTAAACGATGCGCGGGGCACCAAGAATAATTTACGACCCTCCGGGAACAGTTTGAATGGCGGCACGTCGAAGCGGCCACGCCGACTTTCCTCGAGGAACAATCGAGTCAATTAACATCAATTGCCCGGCAGTATTAACGTTAAGCCGACCACAACTACTCGGCAACGTTTAAAGTCGGCCAACGGAGTACCTACATACGAATGAAATGCACGCAACGATCACGCGATTCGCCTTCCAAAATAATCATTGGGTGTCACGACCTCGGGAGGCCTGAACGAATCATTTCGTCACTCGCGACTTTCCACGAAAACAATTTTACTCTCGGATAAATATTAATCTCTTAAAATCAAAGCGAACAATGCAAGTATGGAAAGATAAGGGGAGGAATGATTGTACAAGTTAAAGAATAAAAGAAAGACCGAGCACCTTACGCAATCGCAGTAACCTCGGCGTTCGGTCACACCCTTTACACGTGAATCCTTTGCTTTGCTGTTTTCACGAAAAGAAAAAAGAATTTGCTGGGAGACAAGGGGAAGGGTCGGGGACCCTTGACGGAGGATCCTCGCTCTCGAAAATCGTCGTGCTTTATCCCAGGGCAAAAAGGGGGATCCTTTCCAGGACGCGAGGGTCACCACTCGTTACTCGTCGCAACGACCCTCCCGTGACACGCCTAATTAACGTAAGGGAAGCGACCAAGGAATCCCGGCATTCGATCTCCAACGATTTCTCCTTACCCAAGCAAAGCAAACACCTCTATACCGCGTATCCCACGTTAGATCGGTCTCAAAGATCTTTCGTTTCTCGTCGGCACCTGGTCCCCGGGTATCCCCCGCGATCCTCGAAACGATCGCCCTGCTTCCTAAACAAGTCTCCGCGGGGAGTCACCATGGCAACGATTCACACCTCGCCCCTTTATGGAGGTTCCTTCGGTACCCTTGTCCCTGTTCTCGTCCAGGAGTCCGAGTCGCTACAGAACCAGAGAACCAAGCACTCACCGGTACTTCCAGGTCCATTAGCAATCATCCGCAACGAGACCAGGGCCTCATCGTGGCATCGATCCTCTTCGGCGTCAACTGCGGACGGCCCAGCACGATCCAGAACGGTCTTAGCGGCGTACCGCGATATCCTTGAATCTCGCAGGACCCCGAGGGAGATCCCGAGGGAGATCCCGAGGGAGACCCCGAGGTCCTCTCTGTCCCCGACTCGGAGAGACCTCGGATCTCGAAGGTAAACGCGAACGCCACCCTTCCACCCAGTCTCGGCTCCTTCCGCCGTCTCCGACCCTGAAGTCGGTATCGATTCTACGGGCTGCGTGTACTCGGGTCGAGCTAAAGGACGGTGCCGGCCTCGGAGTTCATCGAGTTCAACCGGTTCGAGGTTCGACGAGGATTCTTCCTTCGCCTCTGGTAGGTTTTCACCGAGTGGAGATGATCTCCCTGGGGAGGGTGGATCCTCGCCGGAAAGGTCGAGCCGATCGTAGCTTGGAATCGATGCGTTACATTTTTCAAGGCCTGATCGAGAGCTGGAGGACGAGTCAAGTTGACTACTTCCGAATGTCTGCTGATGATGGTCTGTGGAATGTAGAGGATTTATTGACAGGCAAGGAAAAGACCAGATTTGACGGATAGGTTTCATCGTTTTAGTCACGTTGGCAGCGGGTAAGAAGCTACGACTCTCTTACTCTCCGATGGGCTCGTGGAAATGTATTTCGACTCCTCCGGTTTGGTACCAATCCCCGCTTAAAACGTCACATTGGAGGAACTTTGGCATCGGAGGATGGCTGCAAGAGCACCACGAAGAGTCAACAGCATTCGTTGCTGTGAAAATAAATAACAAGATAAATAATGAGCACAGGTCTTGTAGGCAAAACAAGCACAATTTTCCTCCACAACCAGGAAGCTCATCCTCCGTTGACATTCGTTACATGTTTAATTTCACAGACGGTATATTGCTACATAATTGTCACGGCAGCAGTACACACTCTTGAAACAGAGCTCTGGCCGGGATATATATATATATATATAATGTGTGTATATATATATGTATACATACACACACACGCGCGCGCGCACACACACGCACACTTAGTTGGACGTACATGGAGATACATGGATACGAGTACCTATGTAAGAACGGTATACGTGTACATTTTTAAATACAAATAAATAATGTATTGGCAATACTTAATAGTAATAGGGTTCGAAGGGACCAATCGATGGTCTCTACAGTGGTTTCTGACGGAAATCCCGAAGTGTCAGAAAACTAATTCATAAGACGTTTGGAGACACGTGGCATGGCTCTAGCTCGTAACTTTGTACACCAGTCAGGAGGGCTCTCGGTTGGCAGGAAAGGTAGAGGTTCGAACGAGGCATCGGCACAAAACTATTTAATGGGAGATATTGATTCCATCGAATGTCCCACGTACCCTTGGAATAACTACGTCGAGGAGCTGCTGGAATAATGCACTTTTCACTGTACGCCACTAAGGGAATAATTGTATTAGTATTGTTATCGCACGCTAGAATTTTAGTCTCGGGGAGTGAAGTTCCTGGAGATTCCTACGCCTTCCTAGTGAGATAGTGTGATAAGCATCCACAGACATGCAGGTTGCGTCTCAAAGCTTGGTTATACCAGCTTGAAAAGTAACGCGACTTCTTAACCTCTTTTGTACGAAAAGACAAAACAAAGGGGTCCGAGAGAAGGACCTTCCAAGGGTAAGGATCTGGTCCTTGAGAACGCATCCTCTGGTGCACCGCACCAATGTGGAAGGTCCAAGCATTTGCACACTTGGAGACGCAGTTCGCTTTGTCCGTGGCAAATAAAAAAAGAATAGGAAGCATAATATCGTGCACGATTCATCGCATTGCACAAAGTAGTAGATGCTACCGTTTCTTCCGTAACCCTTTCCGATATCCCTTGCCAAACCAGCCTGGATTTTTGGCACTGGCTATCGGAGCTCTGGAGTCGAGTGACGACGTTTCGGTGTCCTGGATCTGTTCAAGGTTTGAGTCATTCTCGTTTTCCAAGGACAGGGGATCCGTCATCACCAGATCATCATCTCCGTTCCTCCGATAGAACAAGCATGTCAATGAGCCCTCGTTCTCCATGCAGAAAGTGCACGCAGGTTCAGACTTCGGTGGTTCCAAAGCCACAGCTGGGACCTGTACGAACGGATAATAGAGGAACGGCGTCAGTTGTGGATACATATACATTGGAGGAAACGGCAAGCCCATTGATAGAAACGGCAGGGCAGCGAATATCGGGGCAGGATATGCAGTCATTGGCTCCGATATCGTTATCTGGGAGACACAGTCTTCGGTTTTTGGCATTGTCGCTACAGGGATCTCATTCTTAGGAGCTTCTCTTAAATCCACACAGGACGATGAGTTTTCTACGATGGAGACTGGCTCCTCCAGACAGGGCTGCGTTGTAGTCAATTGTTCCCCGGGTTGCAATCTTATAGCATGATGGAAGATTGGATCCTTTGCTCGATTGTACTCAGGGATTTCAAGACCAAGATGCGACATAATCTTTCTCATAACTTCGTCGCATCTGCCATTTATTTTCAACACTGCATTCTCATCCTTTGGTGTCCACTGGAGATTCACAATGTACAACAAAGGTCTTTTATGAGCAGGCCTGTCCATCTGCCACAGCCATGGGTACTTTTTCAAGACCTTTAAACTGGATCCCAGACAAAGTATCACGTCGGCTTGCTTCGCAGCTCGGCTTGCCCCGTTCCAGTTGATCGGCCAAGGTAGGTTGCCTCTTTCTCCAAAGTGCACTATCGAGTCTTGCAAAATCGAATTGCACTTATGACAGAATCTACCAGTTCCGTGAGAATACCTCGCTGTTTTCTCGGTTACATCGAATAGCCTCCAATACTCTTTGAACGGCTTACAGGTTCTACAGACTTCGACATACATGTTCCCATGCACCTCTGAGAGCAAAGTACGTGGAATACCACTACGTAGATGAAGCCCGTCACAGTTTTGAGAAACAATATGTTTTAAGACTCGTGCTTTGTAAAGAGCATACAGAGCCATGTGCGTCAATGTTGGCTCTGCCTGGCTAAGATCATGGTTCCTGTCAATAAAACCTACATTATTTCTACAATTCTCAGCCATCCCGTATACGTAATCCTTGTATATTCTATTGCATACCCAATATCTTTTCCTTGTTGCATTCTTGTCCAAACTCCATTAGTACCTCGATAATCCGGAATAGAAGCAGCGGTACTGATACCAGCTCCTGTGTAGACCGCAAGCGAACTGGCTCTGCCAATTGCCGCAGCCAACCGCATACACTTCTCTTCCAAGATGTCTGAAGCATCTTCGACCTCCTCTAGCCTTGCTTTGACTCGATGCCTCTTCTCTTGCCTGCAAAACAAACAAGGCAACCTTTCATCTGCAATTTTCTGCAAAATATTGTCTCAGACAGGATCACGTTCCAATAAGAAACCATACCTCAAGTTAACCTCCTTGACCACATCTACGCAGGAGAGTAGTAGCTCCTTCTCTTCGGCGGTCCTGCCCTCCTCGGACTTGTTTAGAATAGCCGTAATCTGTAAGGCACATAAAAGAATAGTAGACTAGTTTGTTTATGCCTTTAAAAAGTAGAAAAAAATCGCCGGTCGGTGACGGCCAAATGCCACGAGAAATCGTATTAAAAGGAGCCATAACCATGGCAGTGATTAAAAAGGGCGGCAATCGTACCTTTTTGAGGGTTGCTACGCGCTCGTCTTTGACCTTAAATGCTTTCAGGGCAGCTGAACGTCTTCTTGACAGGAACTTCTCATTACCAGACTCCTCCATCTTTAATCAAGACGAGAAATTCGCAGGAGCGTCTTTAATGCGACGGGAGCCCCGCTCCGCGCCGCGTACCACGTGACCGATGAACGAGATTCCAAGGAACCAGGACTATTGCTTTAATACAGAAGCCACCCTCATTTATGACTTCCTTAGCCAAGTTTTACATTTATTAGGCATAGCGATATTCGAGATAGTTTAGGTAATTACACTTGGAGGTCATATCGGAAGTGTAATGAACTCCAAAGCCCTTCACCCGATTATAATTAACCCTGTCTCAAACTAGATGTGACGCCATTTTGGCTGCCATCTTGGGAGTCAAAATGGCTGCACTTTTCAATTAGGCACGATTCCACAAATCGAGTTAACCGAAGTTTAAGTGGTTTACACGCGGTTTAAACTCTTAGTATCTCCCAAGACGAACGTTCGCCCAGGGAGTCGATTCTGTATTTTTGGTGAGAGTGAAAGAACAAAAGAAAGAAAAAGAAAATCGCAGCCACTCGCTCGAGAGATCAATTTGAAGGGAACAACCTTCCCCATTGAGCTACTATGGTCGCACGTGCGAGAAAAATTCACCGGCAGCTGCGTAGCCCGCAAACCGGCTGAAAAAGTCATGGACCTATCACAAAAGCTTCGAACTCTGTGCCTACCTGATTGGCTGAGATTTGATTACGCAGATAAACGTCATTGACCGTGTCATTTCATTAACTCATTATGATCATTTATATTAGATTCACCTAGAAAGAAAAATGTTGATCAAGGAACTTCTGTTTCACCGGGCAGAATAGTTCAACTTACAACTCATGTATTATAAAAAATAATCGAAATTTCTTTCAAACTTACGCGCCGCTTTCTAGAGCCAATCCATGGACGTAAATATTTGTACGAGCCAATCAGGAAGGCTGAAAAATCAGAAGCAACGTACCCCTCCCATTCCTACACGTAGGCTTGCCCCTGCCTGTATACATACGCATGTGTGTTGCACGTAATACTTACGCGGAATACTACCAGATACTACGGACAACTCTCTACAATAGAGGATCCAATTTTTCAACTGGAAGCGACCGATTCTCTCCTAAATCACTCGCGCATCGTGTTTGGTAATTATGCGAGGGGCCGGGGGCAATTAACGTGCCGGGCCCCAGGTACAGTGATGCCGGGATTAGAGGAGAGCATTTGGTTCGACACGAGTGCACCAGCGCACAGCCTAATGTCCGATGGAGTCGCCTCGGAACAAGTGAAAAAATTCATTTTCACGTCGTGCTCATTGTCGGAAGACGAGCAGCAAGACGAGTCTCTGGAAGTCTACATACCCGAGGTATATATTACGCCTTTCAAGGAAACACATAATTAATCCTCGCAATTTTGTATTCGACATATCAAAGGTTCCCTGGTGCTACCGCGTTACGTACTATCGCGTTCTAAATTAAAAAGGAAACTAGATTCTGTATTAAAAAAACGGACTAAAATGTAGTTTTTGACATTTTTACCCTCTTGCTAATCTCTTTTGTCTGTATAATATTAAGGGTGCAAAATGAATTATTGATTCGATCGTTAAAAATTGAAACGATAGCCATGGGTATAGGCAACCAATTAGGATAGGGTGATATCTGTTCTTTTGATTATTACAGCTGCTTCAGGCAAGTTACAGCTTCTATACTTGGCCATCTGCTCCGGTTCTCGCGTGGTTCCTCTGGGAGCAACGCAACGAGCTAGTCGGAAAGAGGGTTTTGGAACTTGGGTCTGGTACTGCGTTACCAGGAATTGTTGCGAGTAAGTGCGGAGCTTCGGTTATTCTCAGTGATTCGGCCAGTTTCCCTAAGAGTCTACAACACATAAAACGTAGTTGCGAGTTGAATGGAGTATCCTCACGAGTCAAGGTCATAGGTATTACCTGGGGGCTTTTCTTGTCGGGCTTATTCTCCATCGGTCCATTGGATCTGATATTAGGCTCGGATTGTTTCTACGAGCCAACGGTGTTTGAAGACATTGTTGTGACGGTTGCGTTTCTCTTGGAGAGAAACCCAAGTGCAAAGTTCCTATGTACGTATCAGGAAAGAAGCGCGGACTGGTCTTTGGAACATCTTTTGAATAAGTGGGGCCTTGCTTGTACCCACATTCCTCTGGCCGAATTGGGAGCAAAGGCTGGGTTAAATGTGCACGAGTTGATGCAAGATCATACAATTCATTTGCTAGATATCCGAAGAATTCGTTGAGATTAAAGGCTAATAACATGGGTCGTGTGAAGGTTTACAAATTCTTTGTTAGAAATCTACCATGGACCGTCAACACCAAAGAAGTGAAAAAATACTTTTCAAAGTTTGGTCAGGTGAGTGAGGCAGTTGTTGTCTTTGATCATAATACTGGTTTCAGTAAGTCCTATGGCTTTGTGTATGTCATTGGAGATGAAATGCGCACTAAAGTCATCAATGAGACGCATACGCTAGAAGGAAAACAACTGGCCGTTATCGAATCGGAGAGATAAGAAAAGCTGCTACACATCTTTAATATGGCAGACAATAACCAGGGTTTCAACGTAGTAGATTTGGAGGAGACGTTCAACAGAGCAGCCGACCATTTGCGGTCTCTAGTATCTGGATTAGACTCTGGTCAGCTTCTGGGATTTTACGGGTTGTATAAGCAAGCAGTCATGGGCCCCTGTAATGAACCCAGACCTAATTGGTACCAAACGCAGGCAAGGCATAAATGGGAGGCATGGAACAGCCTCGGAGATACTAGCCGAGAAGTGGCTATGGGCAGTTATATACGTGCCGTTCAAAAGTTGGACCCAACATGGGAGGAAAATTCTCACAGTGCATCAGGCACGTGGGTTGCTGTCAGCAAGATGCCTAACACTGATGTAGAGCTCCGTGATGTCGAGAAGGGCCTCCTGGATTGGGTTAAGGATGGGAACGAGGAAAAGGTGCACGAGGCCCTCACTGAAGACACAAAACAAATTAGTGTTCGTGACGAGGATGGCATGCTGCCAGTACATTGGGCAGCAGACCGAGGACACGTATCGATCTTCAGACTTCTGGTGGACAGTGGTGCGGATATAAATGTCAGGGATAACGATGGGCAGACTCCTCTACATTATGCTGCCTCGTGTTCCCATATAGAAGTGATAAAGTATCTCGTCTCCATTGGCGCTGCAATTCTACCTGACAACGACGGCATGACACCTCCAGACATCGCGGATCCTGAACTAGCAGTGATGTTCACAGAGGACAGTTAGTGCACTTTGCCAGCCAGATTCGCTCTTGATAAGATTTCTGTAATAAACGAGACAATATAAATCCTCCCGATGGGCATTGCGTAGTATGACAATCTCGAGATGAGTGGAGAAACATTTTATTTTATATACAAATAAGTCTTCTAGTATTCCGATATACTCACAGCCTAAGCTTCCCTTAGGTAAATGCGTGCTTCGCCATCAGCGCCACGCCGGACCAACGTCCCTTAACCTCCGAATGCAAAATAACCTAACTCGATAAAAAGGCACATCATTACAAAAAACGGAAATGAGAAATAGGAATTCCTAGCAACGTGCATCTCACGTGGAATATGCGACTCGACTTGTCTCGCTTTGCGAGGTTACCTCAGAATTTTAACTTGAATCTTAGACACCTATACTTTGCATTTCACTTTGGGCGAGCCGTTAACTTACACAACCTATAATAAAAGTAACCGTCATTAACTCACGATCGACCATGTCGAGCCCCCGATTGACACTTGGCTGTTCCTTCTCATGCACGACGGTTCTCTTTAATTTGAATAGCACTTAATAAATACACTGTCATTGAAAGGCCTCCAAAGGCGGTGAAACCATTCCAAAGGTCTTTTTTACGTAGAGGATAGCAGAGTAAAACTGTCTCAGAAACGTCGAAAAATTATCTTTACGGTTCTCATCTTGCGAGCACACCGGGTATTGTGCGCTTAGCTGCGTATCGAAAATAGAGATCATGCCCAGAATCGAGGGACAGAAAACATTGTTTCGCTCCGGCACTCGATCCCACTTCCTCCGGACCTCCCAGTTATATGGGGTAAAAGCTCATTAAAATATCTAAGAGGTCCCAATTGTCTCTCAAACCTCGGTGAATCCAGACTATTCGCGTCTCCCGCTCTTCCGAATTATCGTTAGCTTAGTTTTTGCGCTGACCTTCCAGCCGCGGAATTCGATTTCCCTTGCTTCGGCGTCATCGTTCGGGATCCCGCCGGGACCCTCCGTTGTCTTCGTTGGTCCTCCTCCACAATAACCATCCAAAACTGGGCGTTAAAACTGAAAATTCAGCTTCCACCGGTCTACGTCGCTTTCCACCTCGTCCTCGTTTCCATCGTCCGAGCTCGCCTGGTTTAAAGATTGGTACTCTCGTTTTCGGCTCTCAGTTTGGCGGCGATGGGCGGGGGCGGCGGAGGCGGCTGGGGCCTAGGTGGACGTTGAAGGAACCTCGGCGAGGCCGGTTGCGGCGACTTCGGCATTCCTTGGGTGGCCTCCGTCTGAGTCTGCACGTCAACGATGTTACCCTCGGATCGGGTCCTCGCGTGCGAGGACCGGGTATGCTGTTCCCGGGGCGCGTCCGGCCGTGGAGGCTTCTCGGGACGATCCGCGACAGCCGACCCCGGGATCGGAGCCAGGACCGGGACCGAGGCCGGGACCATCCCCGAGGAGGGTCGGCTCCCCACGCTCGGGCTTCTCTGCAAGATCGAACCCGAGCCAGTGCCATTGCTCTCGGCGGGGCTGTGGCCGCCTCCACCGCGCACTCGTATTATACTGACCTGTTGCTTCTCCACCGAGTACACGTGCGCCCTTTCCAACGTTAGGGGCTGAAAGGGCGGATTTCACTTTTATTAATCGCCTGAGCGATTCAGAGTCGCATTTTCAAACGATTCGTCTTCTAGACTTAAACCAAGCGAAACTAGTTTATGCTCCTGACACGTTGTAAAGGACTGAAAAGGAATTTGGTTTAAATCTAGAAGCTATTAAAAGTTTGCAGTCTACGTAGCTGGTATTGGATAGTCGTTAGGTGGATAAAAGTCGAGGCTAAGGTGGTTTCAAAATGCCAGACCGCGGTGAAACATTTTACGAGACTCGGCGTGTCACCTTCCAGCCTTTGGACGCGCTCTGGCCCTTTTCCTTTGTTAATATCGTTACGAGAATTTCATCAATATAGTTAATATAAATTCCGGTAATTGTAATTGACGGTATAGACCGACCATTTGGATTAAGTAGACCTATGCAAATTCCTTACCCCGGAGTCGATGTCCAGATTCTCATTGCTCTGGCGATGCTGGTGCCTGATCAGACTTGCTGGCCTTGCGAGACCTGCAGGTCTCTCGGGTACCGCAGGTTTGCTGCTCCTATCGGTACTGTTGTTTCCCGGAACTATACCGGTTTGGTCTTCCGGTTTCCTACGGAGCTCCACCACGTCTTCAACGCAGCCGGCAGCAGGAACTGAAAATAACGGCATTGAGCAAATGTTATCACATTCTTTTGCGGATAGAATCAGTTTCGACAATTTCTAATTGAAGCCACGGACCTGGATTATGATGAATAACATTGGTGACACTTCTAGGCGCAGCTACAGGCACTCTTCTTCTCTCCAAGGTGGACGGCGACGGTTTCTCGGCAGGCACAGGCTTCGCTTTGGCCCCAGGATCTCCGGAGTCTTGCGAGTCCCCAAGGATTGCCTTGTTCTGAGGATTCTCTGAAATGCTTCTAGGAACGAGACCTTCAAAGCCAATCGGTGGGCTGTTTTTGCGGTCCAGGTCGTGCCTCTCCACTCTCGAGTCGCTTTTCGGTGACTCCTGGGGCATTTTGACTTCCGAGAAACGTTCCAGGACCTCCGAGGCCGAGGAGTCCTCGGCAACGATTTCGAATCCCAAAGGCTTCCCGTCGACCTCCGGAACTCCCTCCGACGTGTCCGACCTGATTTCTCGGAGGGCCGCGACGTGCTCCTTGGTAGGAGCCATCGTCGTTTCCTGGTCCTGTCTCGCGGGTTTATGGGCAGATCTCGTCAGCGGGATGGTTGTCAAAGGTCTCGGGGGTTTGTCCGGGGCTGGCGGGGGTTTGTCGTCACATCTCCTCTCCTGCTTGTCAGGGGTGTTTCCTGGAGGTGTAGGGGCCGGCTTATTTTTCCTCCGGGTGGCCGGTTTGGGACTCCCCTGGGGAGGACTCTCCCCATGGTCACTCAGGCTGCTGTTCGAGACTGCCCGGCGCATTCCTACCAATTGGTTCTCCGAGCCGTTCACGATACCGATGTCCAAGTCACGGTCGAAGTCTACCTCCCCCGGGAAGAACCAGTCGGCGTACGTGATCAGCTGGTCCACAATAAGACTAGAGTTGTTAGCGGTGCTCATGTTCATCCTAGGAAAGCGGACAAATTAGATTGCACTTGCAGAGACCCAGTCCTTGAGAAGTCGTAACGTTACATCGAAGGTAATCTATGGATAAGTGCATCCTTACACCATGGTGTTCACATCCTCCTGAGGGCTCCAGATCAAGTTCGGGGCGATGACGATGGCGATGTTTTGCGGGGACATTTTATTTACGTCCTGATTTTTTGTGAGGACCGCCAGAAACTTTATGAGGAACCTGAGGTTTTCTAGGTTCGAGGGTGGCAGTTTGTGAAGGACCTCCCAAAGGGCCCTGAGCCTAAAGTCGTTTTGGGTGATTTTTGCAGCCGCCATCCATTCTGGATACAACCTGAATTAGGTTAAGCCAAAATAATTTCATGCTCTTCAGAGGGAGTTTGTACACCCATCGAGGTAGTTTACAAATCAGCGAGACTCGCTCCCGAGGTCAAACCAATTGAAGGCCTCGCCTCGTCCAACGAGCTACCGCTTAAAGTTTCATTGTACAATAAACAGTAATAAGGCCCGTTACCTATTTACTTTGCCTACCCCTAGGTGGGTTCCTATGAGAATTACAGCCTGTCGGATGTTTGTAATATCTGCCGACGGAACCATGGCCCTCCGATGGCTTGACTCACAGGAGACGAGAAATAACGTTTAATTGATACTGCCTCCTTACTTGAACGTGAGAAGAGGCTCCGGCAGCTCTCGGAGGTAGGATTTCAGAGCACCTGCCACTACGTGGGGATCCTTGTACTCCAGTGCCGTAGGCAGAGTCAGGCAGCAGGCATCGAGGCTCAGCTTGATCCTACGTAGCTTCGATGCTCCACCAGCTATTCGAAAAAGGCCCTCTTCTTCCATGCCAAGTCGTAATAACGCGGAGACGCACAACTGAATGGGCAGCGCGATTTTTCTGTTGGTCACTCGCAGATGCTCCTCCAAAGGGTAACCGTACACTGGTTTCATCTCGTTGTCATCTACCGATGCCATCGGAGAAATAATTAGGGATAAATCATACCATTAATATGTATCTCGATAAAATCAGAGATGATGCTTACTGATGTAACTCTCTAGGCCTGGGATCAGCTCTTCCAGGCAGTGTAAAGCACTCTCGTGGTAGGCCCTTTGTAACTTGACATACTGAATAACGGTCTGCGCCAATTCGGTCTCCCGAGACAATAGTTGAAACATGTCTGCAGCTAGTTGATCGCGACACTGCTCGACCTTGGCCTCGGCCTCCTCCAATTCCTCCCGCAAGCTGTCGACCTTCGTGGCGCCCGCACCTTTTGAAAAGATTTTTGTCACGTACCGATTACAATAGGAGAGGTCAGGTTATCTTATGGTCTTCGAATACCTCCAGCACTGTGCTTGCTGGCTTGCTGGTATCGGGTCCTCGCGCTGTCCATGTCCAGGGTAAGCCTAGCCAGGTTTCTTTTGTGCTTCAAGATGTTTGGCACATCTGTCTCTAAGATGTGCTGTAGAGGAGCAGCGACATACTGCTCCACCTTGGATTCGTGATCCATTGTCTCCTGAGCCAATGCCACCTGTGCCCTTCCACATTCCAAAAGGGCAAAACTCATCAGGCCCTCGTCACCTGCATTCTCTAGCATCGTCTGACCGAGAATGTATTCTGGACATTTTTTCTGTACATAAGAAATTCCCCATTACTCATACATTGGAATATTCATTCCACCGTAGAAGTCATAGTACATGTATTTCATATCACCGAGCAAAATCATTTCCTTCGATTAAAGACAAGGTATCAGTAGATAATCGTCCAAATGATTACAGGCAACGCCCGGTTTGACTAATCCCTGTAGCCAAACATTGTGAAATAAAAGACGAAGCTTAAAAACTAACCTTTGAAACAGGCAACTGAATTTCCTTTGATACCGATATTACTTACCAGGCGTTTCTCTTTATGTGCAGGATCTTGTGCTACTGCCTGATTCGGTGGGTTTCCAAGTCGTTTACTGAGTCCAATAAGTGCTGCTCTGATCTGTTCCACGTGCTTATCCGCAGCTTGCAGGTCATCCGTTAAGACTTCTGTTTTTCCCGCTCTGGAACCAACCACTCGTATAATTTGTTAACCATTAAAGCAAGGTTACACAAATCACGAACAAGTGGATCTTCCAACAACCATCTATATCGAATCCTCTCTCTAAGCAATGCATGCAACATTCTTTCGATCTGATTCACATCGAACCCCGGCATGAAAATAGATCTCTGTGCAGTATGACCAGTCGATAACCTTTATCAAGACAAGTGCTCAGCAGGGACTCCTGTACTCGGTAACGTTACAAATATCCTAAAAATAAATTTATCCCTAGTGAACGATCCATTGGAAGGACAGAACGCGACTGCGCAACAGAATCCGTGAGGAAACCACGTCGAAGACGTCGTCGACGCGACAGGGATACCTAACCCTCAACCTCGAAAAATGCGTGCTACTAACCTCGACATTGAGTAATATTCCGGCGCTTCGAGGCAGAATTAATTAGTCATTACCTGGAGAACGTTTGATCGGCGAGCTGCTTCACCCTAAAAAATTGTTTCTTCATGGTCACCTCGACGTTTGACACTTGGCGATCTCTCTAGTTCCTCGCGAACGGTCGCGACACACCGTGTCCACCTGCGCACCCGTTGCACCCACCACGACCCTTGCGACCGGCCAATCGGGCACGGCGCCTTCCGTTGGAAACACCCGACTCGATCCGCGCTTATCTCTCTAGAGAATCGACATATTCCAGGCTGCTCCACCGAGAGCGCGACTTTTACCGATTACGGCGACGACGGCGGCTTATCGAGCCCCTTTCCACACCTAAATCCGACGTCAATTCTAGGCCCTGCGAAGTACCGACCGCACCTCCGTAACCAGGATTCGTCATAATCGCACACACGGTGATCTCACTTTTTCCCCTGGTGCCGACGACACTGACGGAAACGAATGTGAACGCCAACCGAGCCGGTATGTGACCACAAAGTTCTGTAAAAAGGCACGACCGGAGAATCAGCAGAAACGGTCCGTATTTTGTAGCTATTGGAAGGTGCTGCCACCTCGATAGCCGACGAATCTAGAAGCGCACACTGAAACGGCTCATGGGCAGCTCGCCTTAACATATTTTAACACCTTCTACCAACAAGTGCAGCAAGCTCGATTTCGATTAACCCCTCCCCCTCCCCCGTGTATCTTACATTTTCACCATAGTGAAAGTTACAGAATCGCGGGAGGTGTTCACTTTTAGCATTTTCACTCGATTGGATTAAACCCTCGGGTCGCTATCTTATAACCGCGTTTCACTATGTTAAACTACGCGCGTATGGTCAGCATATAATTTTGTCGCCGCGAAATGCCGCGACAATTTCTCACGGTAAATCTGGTATATCAACGAACGGTATAACGGTGCTAGATTGTTCGTGGTGAAACGTTTCTACTCGTAACTCATTATGCAGTTTCTGGGCAATTGACGAAGATGGCGGTGCCCGTCTCGTCTTCGGAAATTCCACGTGTTGGCATAGCATGTGTATGGATGCATATACATACCACACAGTTTCTACACTACAAAACAGTAAGCATTTTGACCGAACACACGTAATAACGTGTGCTTGGTACGGACGGTGCTTATTCGTGGGATGTGCGCGCGATGTCGGTATCATTAGCAGATTCTTGTCTTTTTTCGTGGGATGCGAACGTCTTATTGGGAAAAATTTAATACACAGCTGGGGAGCATCGTCGACGTAATTAAATAGAGATAACACCGGATCGAGGACTCCGCGAGGAACGCGGTACTGTGGTCCAGTTGTCGCCACCCGTTCCACGTCTCGTCTCGCCATTCCGCAACCATGATCTGCGAGAAGCGATTTTTGAATGTTTCGACTCTTAGTTGGGGCTTCATGTTGCTCTTCACCGCGTTTCAAACAATGAGCAATATAGAGGTGAGTTGCCTTACGTACTTTTTCTTGCGAATTTGTATGCGTTCTTATGGCACTCGGGTCGAGTATCTCTGCGTCAAGCGATGGAATTTCTGTAAACACCTGTTGCATGGATGCTTTAATCTCGTGAGTTAAAGGGGGTATATTGACTTAATTTTACATACGTTTTTATGAATATAAACTATGTATTCTTTTATATTTTATAGTTACTTGAATTTTTCTACATTAACTTGACTTGTTACGAAACAGTATTTAATGCATGGTTGCAATGCTCATCGAGTAGGTACTCTTGCATGTATTTTATCAGCAGCCTTCTGAGGTAAATAAAAGAATCAAGAGCATTTCTCTCTTCGTACTCTGAGATATTGCAGATTACCATATAGGAGACATTAAAACTACGATACATATGAAGCGAGCAAGACCAATGATAATCTGTCCAAGGTGAGAACGATCTTATCGGGCACTTTAAAGAGTAGCATGTTGCTTTGTGTAACAAATGAGGTAATCCCGATAAGAAAAAACAGTTACCTGTCTGTTGAACTCGGTCATTGGTATACATTGAATTCTTATCGATTGCTCAATAATAAGGAAATTCTTCAGAGAATAACCTCATTTACTGTTTCTGAGGAGAAAGCAGAAAAATCTGTAACCTTTGTTTTATACGTACTTGGTAATTTTCTTCCAAAGTTACTCCTAATTTCTATCGCTGATGTCAGAGTGTTATATCATATAATTTTCCTAACTAGTTGTGCCGAGATGATGAAATAAACATATATGTTATAATATTAAAATAGTTCTAAAAAACTAATTACGATAGAAGGGGAGTATTGATCCCTTACATTGAAAAGTTTACATATGTAGGAAATTTAATTGACACTCATTTCCTCAGAAAGTCATCCTGGACAGCGTGGCTCTGGATGACTCAAGCTTTACCGGAGATGGATATGTCAGCCTGGGAATAATTTACACAACCTTTGCAACCTGCAACTGGCTTACACCGTCTTTCATCTCGGTGACGGGTCCCCGAGTGTCGATTTTAACTGGAGCCTGCTGCTACGTCTTCTTCATAGCATCCTTTCTTTATCCGAACACTGGGTTCCTATATACAGCCTCAGTGATCCTGGGTATCGGAGCAGCCCTGGTATGGACCGGCCATGGCCAGTATTTGACAGACAACAGCGACTCAGAGACCATGTCAAGGAATGCTGGCATGTTCTGGGCGATCTTTGAAATGTCCCTTTTTGTGGGGAACCTCTTTGTTTACTATATGTTCACTGGGCCCACGATAGAAGCCTCAAAGAGGAATCTGGTCTTCTGGGTGTTGACAGGCCTGGCTGTCGCGGGAACTGCAGTGCTTGCCGGAATGGGCAAGTCTCCCCCAAAGCTGGCTCTCGGAGAAGCAGAAGGAGTCTCTAGCGCCGACAAGGAGCTTCAGATCCCAGAGCCTGTTAAGGAGAAACCACTTCCTGCTGCGTGGCATGCATTTAGAAAAGCACTCAGTCTCCTGCTAACCTCAAAAATGCTTATGCTGGTAATGACGTTTCTCTATACTGGTCTGGTCTTAACCTTCTTCTCCAGCGTGTACTCGTCTAGCGTAGGCTTCACTAAAAACATCAGTAAGGATCCACAGAGTCTTGTGGGCCTCTCGGGCATCTGCACAGGTGTCGGGGAGGTAGTTGGAGGAGCTCTTTTCGGTATTCTGGCTGCCAAAACCATTTGGTGCAAAGGCATGCCTGTCGTTGTCACCGGTTTTCTTGTACACGTAGTTGCTTTTATATCGATCTTCTTAAATTTGCCAAACAACGCACTTTTTGAGAGCACCGATGACATTGGCTTTATCCAGCCCTCTGCAACCCTAGCCATGATCGGTGCGGTCTGCTTGGGCTTTGGTGATGCCTGCTTCAATACTCAGATTTATTCTCTCCTTGGAATCCTTTATAGTGATGACAGTGCCTCAGCGTTTGCTTTGTTCAAATTCTGTCAATCGATCGCAGCAGCTGTTAGTTTTTATTACAGCAATCATGTCGGTCTGCATCCTCAACTAGGAATTCTTCTCTGTATGCTTATTCTAGGCACTGTCACATTTTGCTTGGTGGAGCGCAGAGGAAAGAAATCCAACATCGAAGAGCCTATCAATGTTGACCCCATTGTTAATGTTACATTTGTAGAAGAATGATCTGCCAGAATCTAACCTTTGACAACATGACCGGAAATGCTTTCAGTTAAGTGTGATATCTGTCTCTCGGTATGAATCCCTGGGCACTGGTAACTACATGCGACTTTAACCTATATTAGGGTTTTAGCATTGGGAACGGTCATCGATTCATGGCCATTACGCGTATTGATGATCTGGATCAGGTTAGTTATAGTGCAGGAATTACTTCTAGTTAAACGCCTTACGATTTCTCTTAATTCAATGGATATCAAGTACTTGTTGCTAACCTCAAAACATCAAGGATCTCTTGCAACAAGGGAATTTTAAGGACAGATATACATGTTTCTTTTACTAATGTATTAATGACCGAATGCAGATGTTAATATAATTATTTCCTTATTACAGTGTACTGCCAGGTTTTAGTTTCTTAAGTGATGTATGTTTAAGGTCCAGTGCAATTACCAGAAGACTTGGTCTCGTTAAGTGAGCGAAAGGGACATTTCTGGAGTATCTCGAGCATTTTGGTTTAGAAGTTTAGAAATCAATTGTGCATTTAAGGCGAAAATTAGCCCCATAATCTTTTAAGGAACTTCGGTTGACTGTTTGTAAAATTCTGTACCAGAATTGCTGTTCCAGGAAGTGGTTTGCTTTCCTGTTCTTGCAATTGTTAACGTAAATTATCAAGTAGTCTCAAGTTTTTTAGGAGAGCGACCTGGCTCTTTATACCGTCTGTAAACATTTTTATAAACATTACCCTCCACGATCGAAGCATATTATGAAGGGTGACATATGATTGGTTTTATATCCTGATCAGATATTAAATATCTGGTAGAATCGAATACGATTTTTACTATTCATAACCAGATAACTTTTTAAATGATGTATCTCTGCTCGACAGGGGGGAGGGAATATAAGCAGTGATCCCATAGCCAATGCAAAGTCAAATCGTTAAGAGCAATGCAAAGTGTTATTATCCATGGTGATAGATTTATATCTACCGTTTTCATACGTGAAATACAATTGTTATTTAACTAGTTGGTCGTTCTGAACCTACTCTGCTCATCGATGGACGTTTTATCTGTGCGTGCCAATTATGGCACTTCATATTTCTTACATGCGCACCGGGATAGGTAACGGTCTTTGTATAATGCGAAAAGGAAGAAATCTTTGCTTATCCTTGCGAGCAGACTCGCAATGACAAGATTCTTCTTTTTACATGTAAGATGGCGCCACCGAAACGTTTCTACGTGCCGTAACAGTATCTCGTTACATTAGTCTACGATTTTTTTTTCCTCTGTAAATAATACTTTCCTCCAAATTCGGCCCTTTCACTTAAATTGTCCTTTCCAAACGTGAACGATTTAACCTCGAATCTTAACTGTACCGACAAAACAGAAATTTCCGTGTCTTTGCCTAGTTTCCTTGCATTTCCATCGGATGGCGCTGGTCAGTTTCCCGCTATCAAAATCTCCCACTCAGATTTTCAGTAAGCGGAATGGCTTTAACTGCGTGGATGAGTTGCCGGCTTACGTGCACGTTCGCTTACCCCTTCCACTGCAAAGCGGCTACACACACACGGTCTAGAATTTGATTTGGTCAAGCGTCGTCGGCTCACGTGGTATTCGAGTTTACTCCTTTCACTGCTATGCGAGATCTAGATATTTATGGTCCAAGCTTACAGCACGCCGCAATGTTCCGAAATCCTTAATTGTATGTACTCCCAGTTAATTGTCGATCACTTTATTTCAATCGCGTTTGTGCTCTCTTCAATAATTGGTAAGATAAAATTCGGGACCTAACCTAAATTCGCGCAGGAAATGCTCAACATATTTTTTAAAGTTTTAGCGTGACTTTCACGTGTTTGTGGGACTTTTTTGGAAGCCTTATCGAAGGGATCTCACGGTCTTATGTGAAATTAGATCGCGACAAGCTAGAGTTAACGTTGACCCGCATATATATTTATATGTATACTCATATTGATAGCGGTGCATCCTCGGAATGCATGTAAACACATTGATGTTTTTTAGCGGTCCGGAACCGAAGAACCGGAAGGATCGGCTCGGAATTCCTCGGTACAGTCGATGGGGAACGAGAAACCAAGGCTACATTACACGGCATTATGCAGCAGCATTATCCTAGCCGTAAACTCCGAACCGAACGCATATTTAGCAGAAATTCGAGGAAGCGGTCGTATCTTGGCTTACGATTCGTCTCGCATACGTGAGCGCACGTCTACGCGCGCGTTATTACACCTCGAGTTATTAAATCGATTCGGAGAATAAATCTCCCCGGCTCTCGGATCGCACGTTACCCTTCGCTTCGTATACGGTTCGGCGGGTAGCTCGAGGGGGGTCCCTGTCAAGGATTCGGGATCCGGGTGTCTCGAGTGCCGAGTACGCTTAGCATTCCGCAGGAATAAGAGAGGCTAGTTTTCGATTTTCCAGCGACTCGAAGCCGAGCCAACGAGCCTTGTCCTCGCGCGCCGCGCCATTATGTCACCGGACTCGGTCCGTTTCAGGGTGTTCCAGTTCACCGATCGTGGCTCGCATGAATAATCGAAAGGAACCCGATACCGAACCGCAGGGGATCGCGGGGGACCGCAGGGGAACCGAGGGAGTGGCCAGTATTTTTTCCTCCTTTTTTTCATCTTTCTCTCGAGAGCCGTCTAGCACAACGCTCTCTACCACTGCTCCAGAATTCACTCCATTTAATCCTCCCTATTTCTCCCCGCATTCCAAAATCCGCGCTTCAACCCGCGCTTCGAGTCGACGCCAACCGTTAAGAAGAACGGTCCCCCGGAAACCTGTTCGACGGAGGAGACTCCCGCGAGGTGTGAGCGCCCTCCGTTTCTTAGCTGTACGAAGAAAAAACCTACGGAAAAGAGGGGAAGATAAAGAACGATTTCTTATCAGAGTGTGCATATCGCGGACCGTGCCGACAGAAACGTGTGCCTTAGATAAGGATAAGGATAAACGCGGCGAGATAAGGTCGGCCGCGATGGCCCCGACCTTATCTCGGACCTCCTCGTCGCTCTCGCGCTCGTACTCGCTAGGAAGGGAGCGACCCGGAATTCGGAGGCCGCGAAAGACTGGGCCCCGGGTCCAGGAACACCTTTTCCAACGACCCTTTCCTCCGAGGATACGAACCGGGGTGACGTTACGGAGGAAAGCCACACCTTCCTTGGATTTCTATGCGCTTTCTCGTAAGTCCTCCGAGTTGTGACTTGACTTCCGCGTTCGAACGGTACGCCACTTGTACCGCAAGTCTTGCCGTTCGACGTGCTTTCTTTCCCACTAATTCGGTACATGTGTACTATTTCGTATTTTAATATCGTATGGAATTGGCACTTACGCGAGGAGCTCTTTCGTGCCGTATCCCGGGGGTTTGTAAAGTGGCAAAAGACTCGAGCGCGTGATCGGAGCCCCGCGTCGTCGAGGCCGGGGTAAAGAGGTGCAGAGTAAAAAAGAATTCCTAAGAGGCAGAACGTCCCCCGAGGTATAGGACGGATCCTGAATAATGCATGACGATCGCCGTGAGCCGTGGCCCGAGAGGTACCGATGGGTACGTACATACATACATACATACATACGTACACTCCTCGGCGAGTCGGGAAGGAATCGAGTGGAAAGCTGCCCCGCTCCACTTCTCTTCCGATGGGTGTCCGTCTCGTCTCTTGCCGGGCCGGAGGGCAAGAGGGCAAAAGGGGGAAAAGAGAGATCTAACGAAAAGTAGAATCGAGTCCCATGTTTGAGCTTCGAGCGTTGGCCATAGGTTGGACGAATTTACGTAGAGGTGCGATTAATATCGAGAAGCTATCTTCCATGAATTCTAGGTAGCGGTCCTAGACGATAGGGACGAAATGTCCTCCTTCGAGCTGGGGTGAAAATAAAGCGAGGCGATCAAAAAACCTTAGGTAGAAAGGTGCGCCTTAGCGGAGAGTCGAGCCGAGAGAACCGAGACTCGCTCGTCCGAGGGGCTCGGCCACGAAGCAAAGGGTGGACCTAGAGGGCCGACTCCGGCCTCGGAAGTAGGGCTCAAACCGGTTAAATTACAATACTCGCTGTGCAGAGAGCGGTGCGGAGTGCTCACGCGTATGCGCAGCTGAGTCACCGCGATGTATATTACATATCGGGCAAGAAATTACACCGAGTCGCCAGTCGGCCGTAAAAAGATCGACTCGCCTAATCGAGCGCGTCGCTCTTATTTCTCTCTTTGTCGGCCGAGAGGGGGCTACATCTTCCCGCTCTCTTTCTCTCTCCCTCTCTCGCGGGGCGAGCCTGGATCATCGTTTAACGCGACTTATGTAGATGTATGTGCGTTCTTTTCCATTTCAATTTATGACAGAATGATATTACTTGTACAATAACGATCTCCTTTCCCCGTAGGAGGTTAAGTTGTGACCAGGCGGTGGACCAGTTGAGCCAGGTCGAAAGGTCGGCCGTTTGCGGATTGGTCAAATTTGGAGAATTGGCACTCTCTCCCGCACCCTTCCGGTAATCACATCCAGTTGCCGCGTGCCAGGATCGAAATCCAAGTACGCTGAATTTTATCAAAAGAAAATCGTAAGTAAATTGAATCAAAACGTAGTTCTTGATACGCGCTTAGTTGTCCGAATTTAACCGATTCGTTTGTTAGAATTACCGCGTGTCTGAATTCAATGAAAATTGTAATCGTAATATTAGATAAGTCCCGGAGGTCTGGAAGCCAGCCGGGTGGTCGGCGCCAAGGATCCTGAAGTGTTATTTGGACTGGAATAGGATCGCAGAGCTTTCGAGGGATCTCGAGAGCGACACTTGACTCAGGGAGACTGGGGCCCTAGAAGAGGGGAATTCGGGGGAACAAGAAGGCTGCATAGAATTTCGGGAAAGGCCCCTTTCGGTATCTGGCAAACTTTTAGGACCGTTCTTAATTCTTCGCGAATCGGTTTCCCCGAAAATCTCGACCCGTCGTTACTTTTGCGTGTGTACGACTGCAACGGTACGGTGTATAATCCTGCCGATTGCTCCTCTGGGTCCCCAGGACCCCGGGACCAGAGCCTGGGGTGCGAGGTCTCTTGTCGAATTTCCCGTTTTCGAGGTTCCTCGGATCTCGAGCAGCGCTCCAAAACCGATGCAAACCGGAACGCGAGGCCAGGTATGGACAGGTAGGAGGAGGACCCAAAGGAGGGAGAGAGGGATTCGGTCGGTGTGGGTGCGGCTTTACGGCTCGCTCGGGTTGTAGCCCAAGGCACGGGCTCGGGCACGGGCTCGGCACGGGACAAGGTCCATTGTTGCCGGACCGAATGGAGCAAAAAGTGATAAAACGCGGGACTCGAGGCGCGCCTTGTCTTCCCTTCCTCCCCTTCTCTTCTTCCCTTTCCCGGCCGGTCCAGCGTCGAACCCGACCAGCCTCCGGGAGAGGAGCGGTCCCTTCTCTGCCCGGATACCCCATTGTTTATGCTAAACGACCGCGTATCGAATTTATGCAGGGTCCTCCCGCAGGACCCGTCTCTCCAGAAGAGGACGACGAGACTTTAAACAGTAGGCCTCTGAACGAGAGACCTGGAAAAAATCTTCGCTCGTGACTGAAAAATTCTCTAGGATTGACGGTTTGCCATTCATTTCATTTCCCGGGGAGGACGTTTCCCTTGTGGTAGTACCCAAGCTTCATTTGATTCTTTTAAAAGAAATTCGTCATGATTCCACAGAGTTTCGAGGGACGTTTGAGCAAGAGCACATGCTAATTCAGGGAGCAGGAACGGTAACGACCTTCCTTTGCGGATAATTCGCTCGCGTAAATCCCACGTAATGCCGTAATACGGAAATGAGCAGCAGCCGCCTCTAAAACGGCAATTTCCTCTCCCGTCGTCTTGGAGCTCGTCTCGCGTTCGCGTTCGCGTTCGCGTTCGCGTTCGCGTTCGCGTTCGCGTTCTCGTTCTCGTTCTCGTTCTCGTTCTCGGTCTCGTTCCCGCGGTTCGTGTTTATATGGAAACAGCGCAACCGCCTACGGGATCTACCCGTAAGTCTCGGTAAAAAAGCGGCAAGTTGCAAGCGGCTTTGCAACGTTCCAAACGCAGTGCTCGGTCGCTCGTAAACGCGGCCCCTAGCTAACTTCAGCGCAACTTAGGAGCACGCTTGCGCCCTACCTTTCCCCCAGTAGGACCTCTCCCGCTTTCCACATTTATCACATTTTCTGTCCAAACTTTTCTACGTTACCCTTGCATCGACGCCATGTACGAATGCACGGTCGGCTTTGGTTTCTTCGCTGTAACTTTTACCCGCGTGCGATTCGACGTGGCCCCAACTCGGAGAAGGCGGAGGAATATTTGCGGGATATAGTTGTAACGGGTTCCAGGCCGGTTATATACACGATATACGGCCTGTATCCTGATCTCGAGCCCCGGGCGGGGGCGATCAGATGGACAAGGAGAGAGAATCACGGGCTGCCCATGAGGACACAGGACGGAGAGATCGAACTGGAAGAAAGGCGCGTTTTAAGATCGGCTATGGACGCGGGCGTAGGTGATATTTCTTAAATGAAACTCGTATCACGCGCGGATATGCCTTTCACGCATGTACATTTGACATTCGATGCTAACCCGACGGAGAAGAGGACGCGAGATAGCGAGCTCCGGGCGAGGACAGCCTCGAAGAAGGAGAACAAGAGATAATCGCGTCTGGCGTCGAGTATTCGCTAAAGAGATCGAGCGAAACGGGTCTGCGAGGAAGAAGTACAGAAATTTTCCTATGCGTTGATACGAGATATCGGATCGAGGGAGTCGGCCACGTAGACGGCGAACCTCACCCTGGCTGGAACCGGCGGGGCCGACCCCCCGCACGAGGCGTTCCGACTCCGAGGGGGCTCCGATCGAGGGACCCTTATCGACGATCGATCGGGGCACCGAGAGCTGTCCGACCAGCTCGGTCGATTAAATTTTCGAAATTAGTCCAGCGGAGGTAACCGGCGCTGCTGACGCGGACTCGCGTTACAACAGGCCCCGAGGGTTTGCCTGCAGAACCGGAGAAAAGGGCCGTATCGTCTTACGGGGTGCACGAATTTATTTACAGCCGACCTCGGCAAGCGGATCCGAGGTTGCATATACGTCTTGGTTATCTACGGCGCACGCGCGTCGGTGTGAAAAGCTCGAGTTTGTAGGAGGCCAAGAGCTAAGCCCGCCCGGACGTCCTCGGTGCCCGAGCTCGCGGCGAACTTCACGTTTCCGGCAGCGCCGAGAGTCCTTTTCAAAGTGAGATTTTTCGCTCTCCAGGCGATACCACTTTTCGTGGGGCACTCTTTTAACGTAGATAACACCTGAAAGGTTCACTTCACGCGGAGTGCCAGGTGATAAAATTATCGCGGAGAACGTTTTCAGGCCTCTCAGGGCGCCCAAAGGGTCCTGGCCCATTAAACGTCTCGGAGGAACCCGATCGGGCCTCGGAGATCTTCGTAAGACTTTACACAGTTAGCACCTCTGCGCGACAAATTTAGACACTTTCGAAGACCCGCGGAAGGGAAATCGCGGACCGGTTCGCGAGAGGCCAGGGGGGAAGGTAAGAAGTGCAAACGAACCAGTTCAAGACTCGGCTGACCATCGACGGGGACGAGATATGTCCTTACAAGGGTGGAGAAAAGGATCGCCCAGTTTTCCTAGAAAAGGAGGTCGTGTCCTTTCTTCTGGACCGAAAGAACCTAACCGGTTCTTTCCTCGCCAATCGCTGGATGCCATTCCAGGGGAGAAGCACGTGCCGACGTGCTTATCCTCGCCACCTCGGTTGCAACTTCGTCGCGGAACTCGCAGGATCTCTTTCCCCTGTTCGCTCTATGGCACTCGGTACGAAGAAAACGCTATTTCTGGAAAACATACGTCGAGATCGACGCTCTCGACGGTTCCGACGTTCGGGCGCGTCCCCGTTACCTATCTAGACGTACCCCGCATGGTCCACGTGGTCGCGTCGTCGTGGCAACGAGGACGCGAAACACATCACCATGGCAACGGGGACGCTACTTTTCGCGCGGTTCACCCTAGACATTCTCTAACGAAGAATTCATTTTGAAAATTAACTTTTATACCTACGACACTGATTCGACCATCGAGATTATCGAGCTAGGGATGACAACGTCTGAAATGGAAGTAACGATTGCTCCAGAATATGTGAATTCTCTGATTGGACATCGAAGCTTCGCCGCCCGAAAAATCGTGAGTTATAGGGATAGAAGATTGTTTCCGACGGTATCTCGAGTACACGAAACCTCTCATTTTGCCCTTCGAGTCAAGAGTCCCGTGTGCGTCGACCTCGAAAGGCGGGAAATTAATGGGGCTGCGGTTTAAGGTGCCTGCTAGGAAAGCTCTTTCTCTCTCTCTCTCCTGTGTTTATTATAGCTCCTCCTTTCCTAAGCGAAACTCCAGGTTTCCCACAGGCTCGCCCTAATTCCACGCCTGCGACTCAGAAGGAGAGGTTTTTTTTATCCGGACTCGTAATACTTGCATGAGCACACGTGATATCGCTACAACGAACAATATCGAACAGAGCCTTGGAGTTAAATTTACTCGCTTATTCCGGCCCTATCGACCCCCGCAAAGTGGACCTTGGGGCTCAGCGACGAATTCTTAGACGGGATTCTTCCTAATTAATTTACATTCCTCGTCTCGATTTTTGCCTCTCGAAACATCGGCCCTCTTTATTTTTTACTTTGTGGAATTAATTGGAGGGGGGAGCATTCATCACGTATAATTGAAAATGGTACAAACGATGGCTCGAGTTTCAGATTATTCAAAGAGAGGAAGAAGCCCGGAATTATTTGGAGGAGTACAAGATTCTAGAACTATTCGACTTCCTGATTGGTTATCTGTTGGTCGACATGCCTGACGATCCCGTGGGATACCTTTACAATCTCCTGGACGAGTGCATTCTCTTCAGGGCGGGATTGAGGACACCTCCGTTGCTATTCGACGATAGGTTTGCAGTTTGATTCCAGATTAATCTCCTGCTTCCTCTCCCCCTCGTCTCATCGTTCGTTTGATAATTTATCGCGACTCGAGGGACTCGAAAAGACCCGGACCAGTTTCGTCAGCTCATGCGAAATTTCAGACACTCGAGGAGCGTTTTCCGAAGCCTAGACCCTACATGCGTGGGACACGTCTCTCTGGAGCAATACGAAACGGGGATGACGACAATGGGCATCCGCGACTACGTGGCCAACCCGAGGGAATGCAGTCCCGGTTGCGTCGACGAGGAGACTTTCTTGGAAGAGGCGTAAGTCCGATACCTCGATCGAGGTCTTGACGAAATTCTGCACACGGAGACTATGACGCTCTCGTTACGTCGCACGGGAGAATTCAAGTCCTCGCCGGGAGCGTCTCCAGCCTCCGGGCTCGCGGCTCTCCTCGTCGCGTCGTCCTCGGTGCATACGTGCTGGCATTTTTCCGTAATTGCAAAGATTACTTTAATAAACGGGGGTCGCGTGGCCCGCGGCCCGTGAACCCGGCCTCCATTATATGCATAGCCGCTGCGCTCGCTCGCGCCTGCTCGCGCCTGCTCGCGGCATAATAACGAGCTCCCGGCTTCTCGCTCGCACTCACGGGGCCGCGTCCACTCACGCGATTCCCGCTTTAGCGCGTGCAAACTGCGCTTCCCCGAGGGCGAAGAAGAGCTCCTCGTGCCCGGTAGACTCACCTCTCTCGAGTCTTTAGCGTTAGAGATTCGACGAGCCGTTTCTTGAAAAAAGAATTCCACGGCTTTAGAATTCGGGACGACAAAAGGATTAGGAGCAAGTATGAATTTCCTTACGTCCGCGGAGTCCTCGTCGCGGAATCGCGTCGTAGAGATTCGTCGGAACGATTAAATGGGGGGCAGAGGGACGCCTTCGGTAGCGTTCGCGACTACGTTTATTAATTTCCGACGAGCGGCTGGCTCGCCGGCAATTCGGTCCAATTAGGCCGCGCTCGCGTCTCGGTCGATTCTTTCGCATCCGCGGACTCGCACTTGTCGCTAGCACGTGACGTCACGGGGGTCAATTGATCCATTCTCCGCGGACCCGATCGACTCCGAGGAAATCGGGTCGTGGTCCCGTAGTCTTCGAAATTCGCGGATTCGTCATTGATTGCATCCAACTTTCTTTGGCAGGAAGAGACGCTCGGTGGAGATACTCGAGGAGGCGATCGGCGCGGCGACGTAACTGGACCAGGGAAACGCGGCAAGGCCAAGTGGGCGGCCGTCGAGCTCCTTTCCTCCAACAGTCGAGAGAACCGGAAAAGGAACGAATAAATATGTACGCAGAGTGGATAAAGAAGCGAAGAATAAAAGGGGTTTTCGAGGAGGTGGACGAAGCAAACGGCGGCGAGTCGAGTGGTCGCTCGGTCCGGTCGGTGGCAGGGTTAGCCCACGTGCCCGCGTGTTTCCCCCTCCCAGCGACGACAGCGGCGACAGCGACGTCGACAACGGCGTCCACTCGCCTCCGGATTGCGGGCCGCCAGTCGCTTCCAGATCGCGGCCGCCCACGGTTCGCCGCGATCTCCGTCGAACGTTCCTCGACCATCCTGCGGTTCATTCCACGCGGTCGAATACCGACGGCAAGAGTGCGCTTCGTTCTCTTTCTTTTTCTCTCTCCCTCTCTCCCCCTCTCTCCCCCTCCTGCCCTTCTTTCCTTGTCGGTCCCGTTCGTAACTCTGCGTCTGAAAAGGCCCGTCGACGTTCACTCCATGGTAGAAACTTAGTGGGTTGAAATTAACGAGAAAGTCGTCGCGACGCGGATTGCAATATCTTTCTCAGAGTCACGGTGGTTTCGAGAAAGTAGAACCGCACGGAACCGGGCCCGGAATGACCGAGGGAGGTGGCCCGACGCGCTCAAGATGAAGCCGGCAGCGGAGTTCCTCGCGTCTTTGGTGATCTTGGGCCTCGTCGTCGCGGCTGCTAGGGCGGCGCCTACCGTCCCGGCCGTCCCGACGGTCGATCAGTGCGACTGGGCCGGAATGTAAGCCCCAAGATTTTATCTTTTGCGACCGAGAAAGTATCGACGCGATTTCGTGCAAAGAATAGACAATCTCTATCGCAAACGTCCGAGTCCCTCGATAACCATTGAAACAGGTGTCAAGTAATGGATTACTAGGCTATCTTATTCGGTGGACGACGAGTAAGAGAGAAACGAGTTGTCTCGGCGTTGAAAGTACTTCTTTTCAAGTAAAATTATTTGTTTCGAATCGCTGACGGTTCTAATATCTCAGAAAAAAGATGCGATTAAGCAGTCGAGAAAAACATTCCTTACTCCAAAGAAAATGACGGATTTAAAATTAGTCCCGGGGGTCGATTTTGCATTTTTGGTAAGAGTGCTCACATCTCGCACTTTCATCTCACTCGAGTTTATTCATCCGATTTTGCATTTTCCGGGTGAAAATGCAAAATGCCTGGATTGAAGGCGTACCGTGTATGGCTTAGTTTACACCGATCACTTGGTACGCGTACGATCGTTGGTACCGTCTCTGTACGCGACTGTTTGACAAAACTACTCCTTTAGTACGCGTACCAAGTCATCGGTATAAACTGAGTTAAAATTTCTTGTCGAGAGATCTCATGTGAAGTATCGCACATTTTCACCCTAGTGAAAGTTAGAAAATCGTGAGTGTCCCTTTTAGCATTTTCATTAATTCAAGTTACAATTACAAAATTGACCCCGTGGAGGTTAAGGATTACTTATTTTATTTTTGAATCGTTAGTATCCCCTGTAGCCACGTTCGAATGGATCTTAACACGAAGGTCGGGGTGCAGTCGCGCGATCTTTGCTCGCGATAATTGAATAACCAACGGAGCAAAAACCTGCTTTATTAAAATCGACGAACCAGTCTCTCGTTGCTCTGGCGCGTCCGGATTTCAAACCGGTCCCTGATTGCTTCGTCCTTTTGCCGCGCCTCCCTTTTAACGTGGCCTCGAGGTCCTTCGAAATCGCGCTAACCTTGCTCCTCGATCGTCAAAACAAGAAATGTACATCCATTCTACTTTGCGACGCGTCGATGCGATCGTACAGGTTATCGCAAGGTGTGTCGCTTTTATAGTATCCTCGGTGTTAACTGGTTTGAGCCGCTGAACGGTGTCGAGGACAGATGTGAAATGGAAAATGGTTCCATGACTTAGCGCTTAGGGTAACCTTAAAACTGAGAGTTCTCGTAGTTGCTCTCGCTTCCTTCCGGAACATTTAAAGAGAAGAGAATCGATCGGACGATTTTAGTGTTTCAATTTGTTTTCTAGTGGAAACGGAGGGAATGGCGCCAGTCGAGGAGTGCGTCCGGTGTACCTAAGATGCTCTCGAGGGACGGTATCATGGCGATATCCTGGAGGAGCTCTTCGCGTGGTCCTTTCTTCGGAGTCCGGGAATGGGTTTCGCGGTTGTATAAAGGTCTCCGGACCTGCCAGGGTGTACTTGGAGACCGGAGGTGCTCTAAGGCAACTCTATGCACCAGGTGACGGGAAACACGAAGCTTTGCATCGATGTTTCCATTCAAGAGGACGAGTCGCCGGCCTCTTTGTCGAAGCTGACTCGGATGGAAAATTTATCGCCGTAGGCAAAGGAGTTTCAAAGTCTAGGGTCGAGCTCAAGTACGACTTGGAGGCCAGCAATCGTCTCGAAATCGAGGAGGAAGAGGTCGAGTGCCGACCCTGCACGAAAGAAGAGTTGGCAAAGGCTTATTGCCAGAGTGATCTCGTTGCCAGGGGCACTGTGAGCGCCGTCGAAGCCAGGCCCGAACTGGAAATAGCAGAACTCGTCATTGGGCTGACCAAGACTCTTCGTCGGGTCGAAGAAACCGAGGTAAGGCAGCCTTCGATACGAATCGTGCTCCTCTAACGAATTAATACATCGCTAACGAGTGGATTTAAAGTCAACGCTCTTTTAGGATAACGAAATCGAATCGGGAGATATCGACTTCCGGAAGGAAGTCAGAGTTAGAGTGCCTGCATCTTGCGACGCGAGACATGGCCAGGGAGAGTTTGTCATCATGGCCAAGAGACGATTAGGGGATCTCACGTTAGCCTGCGCGCCAAGACTCGAAGCTTGGGCAGAAGCTGTCAGAGAACTTGGAACCGCACCCTGCGTCCTCAGGAGTTAGCGGAGCTCAATTCTCCGTTAGGAACCAATGAAATGCCTTCGGTACACAGTTCGGTAGTGCTCCCCTTCAAAAGTGGCGTTTGTCGCACGTTGAGAAAATTCCTTAACCTACGAAAGAATCTCGGATCCGATGCCTCCTTGTTTCAAGCAACGACTCCGACATCCAATGAAGATGGAACGTAATCTTGAATATAGGAGTCTCACGGCAGTATCATCATTCGGTATTTGTCACAGTTCCTTCGCATATTTCCAATTGGTGAAGTTTTGTGACAAATGTAATTCCTTCGCATTATCCCATTGGAAGTTACGTTTATCATCGCAGTGGATATAGGCAGGACAAGGTGCTTCGCAGAGTGTAGAAAGATTGTAAATACTTGCGCCCGTGTACATATACATACAGGCACGAATGCGTGTACTTTGAAAGTAAGACACCGATCTCCTAACTGTGATATTAATGTTGTATTATATATGAGAGGTTTATACGAAGGTATATTTTTACGTGAGACGATCGCGTGCATCAAAGGGTGCAAATAAAGTAGAAGGAGAGAGAAGAATTGCAAGAGAATGGAAGTTCAGTTTGCATTAATTGAAAATATGTGTCAGGCTGATATCGAAAGGACTGAGAAAGTAGATTTCGACAAACGCGCAATACACATAGTATTTTATTAATTTGATAACAAACACGTGCGAGTACTATGCGGAGGAGCGCACAGTTCTACGCGCTTCCATAGAAAAAAGCTACCTTTCTCCTTTTTTCTCTCTGTCATTTGTATTCTTCTCTTTTTTTCCAAAGTCTCAAAAATTACCAACAGACTTCTATTCATCTTCCCAACTATCCCTCGGACTTTGGCGCGTAATCGTCGACCGCTCCGAACGGTAGGCGCATCTGCACGCATCCATGCACATCAGTGCACTCGACTCGACAGATTGTTGTTCGGGGAGAACAGGAAAGAACCGAGAAGGAGAGAGACCAAAAGCGCCTCCCTTGCATCAGTTTGCACTTTATAAAGTCTTAATCACAGCTTCAAAACGTTAAGCACGATTATTAACAAGAAAGAATAACCTCCTCGGTCTTGCAGTCGGGTGAACTTAGGTTAGGTCATTTGATTGTCGGTTACTTAAAGACTCGTATACCAAAATATCTCCGATCTCGACAATAAATATTCCTTTCAGAGGCGTATGCCTCTTCTCTGGCCTTCGGAGCCAATCAATGACACACTTTTCGCTCGTTTCGTTCCACCGGGAGCGAACCGGACGAACCGAGTCAAGGTGCGCACCATCGGTCCACTTGTAAATTAATCGAAAAATAGAGGTCGACGAGGTTGGAAAATGAGGAGAAAAGCCTCCTACCTCCTTCGGCTGCTCCTTAGGTTGGAATTTCGTCAGACTTTGGATAGAAAAGAAGGGCGTTTACGAACATACGAATATAGATATACAAATAAGACTCGGTCTCGTACAGCGTGAAACTCTTGAGGGGAGGAGTAGCCGAGGGACTCCGGAGTCTCTCGGAAGGAGGGAACTGTCACCGGAGACTTGGAATGCAGGCACGAGGAAACGCAGGATAACGAAATCACTAAATAAGCCCCGACTATCGGGGAATTCGATACTTATGTACATCGGTGCAGGCAGCGAGACAAACACGTCGGATCACATACTACGACGACACGTACGGATAGTTCGGACACAGGGGTATAACGAGGTCGTCCATGTTTGGCAGAACGACTAGTTTCTCAAACTCGCGCAGTAGTTTCGACTCGATCCACTTGGTCACGTAACCATTCTTTACAGTCTTTTCCCCCAGAGCTGGCTGAGCCGTGAGACTGATCTTTGGAACGTTTCTGAAGCCATACCACAATCTATCGGCTGGTGGCGGAGGGACGTTCAGTGCCAGGCAGCCCTCGATGCTCGACACGCTTACCATTAAACGAATCTCTGTGTTGGAAACTCCTTCCATGGCTCTTCTAATGTAAGATAACTCCGTTGCCTACAAAGTTATAGATTAACGGAGGTTCTCTCCTCCGGAAGAACCGATTCCACATCGGAGTACATACGTGCTGGAAATACTTGTTGGCTGCCAATTTGTCCACCATACTCAAGAACTTCCTTCCCGATGATTGGGATGGCCTGGAAGAAATATTTATTCATTCATTCAATACCGACATAAGTGTCAAGAGAACAAGTAGGCACTCACGTGGACTCCTTCGAGGCCCCGCCATGACCGGAAGCAGAGAGATTGGCACCGTCCTCTTCTTCCGTGGAGGTCTCCGGGCTGTCCTCGACGTCACTGTCGAACATCGGAGATCTGGCTACTTTGGGTTTGTCCAAGTCCAGGGTGTCATTGGAGTTGCTCGACAACGAACCAGCTCGTTTCAGCTTCATCAGGTTCAGCTTGGTCTCTATGGTCATCGTAAGGTATCCATCGTAAGCTATATCCAGATCCAACCACAGGCCCCGCTCATCCAGGACCGGTTTCGATGCCTTGTGTATCACCGGGGCACCCTGACCTATCTTCAGCTCCGATACGTGTAAGCTTTCCATGAAGTAAGGCAGCTTTATGTTGGACAGCTTCCTTTGAATCTTGTCTTGAATCGGACTGGTCGTATCCGGGCACTTGTGCATGTCGAAGAGTACTCTGGCCAGAAGCGCATTCATCCAGACGACGTCCCCATTTTCAGGATTCGAATCGGTCTCCAAGAGAGAAGAGAACCGATCGTTAACCACATCCAAGTTATACCGCGTACTCGGAATACTACTTCGTCCTTACCGTTTTCCAGACGGTTTTCACCGATAGAAATTTGACAGTTTACTTACCTCGATGTAACGGGTCATGTAAGCGTTATAGCTGAATTCGGGGACGGTCTCACTAATCGTTAATAAAGTAGCAGCACTTTTCGACTCGTTGCTAGGGGAGAAGGAATTCGTCGACGGTGCCGCCGCATCCTTTACGGAAGTAGACGAGTTTCGTTTGCCGAAGACGTTGGTAGCAAGTGCCAACCTCCTGTACCTGTCAAATAGAAAGGAGAGAGACGACGCAAGCAAGCAATGAGATCGAGGTTGGAGTCCTGGCCGTTGAGCGTAACACGCTCTTACCAATCCTCTTTTTGACGATCGGCTCGAGCAAAGATGAACATTTTCATTTCCCGATCTTCCTCTTCATCCTCGTCGATGTCGCGAAACACTTCCCGATGGTCTCTGGATTGGGAGAGGTCTTCGTCGGTCTCCTCTTCCTCGAGAGTCGGCGTTTCGTTCTCCGGGTCCGCTCGAGAAGTCTCGTCCTCTAGCGAAGCATCCATCGTCGTGCACTCCAGCAAGGCCTCCTTCCCAAAGGTTACGCAGATCGGGTACTTTTTACTCCACCTCCTAATAATCGAGTCAATGGACAAGGTTAAAATCAGGATAGAACGTAGGGACGCGTCGATAGGTGGTACCTTCGCCTGATCAAACCATGCGGGAGTAACTCGATCTTTGCACCAGCCAGGGTGTAGATTCGTTTCTTGGTGAACTTTGGTTTCTGAACGGTCTCATCCCAGACAGTTCTCTTGGGTATTCTGTTTCTGGTATCCATAACGCGCAGCGTGTCTCCCTCGAGCTTAAAGTATACCGGATTCGTCCTGGCAACGTGGTAGTTTTCTGGGTCATACTTGTACGGCAGTTCGTTCAGCCAACCCTCGAATCTGTCGACCACCGCGTGTTCCGCCACGGCAGGGATTTTGAATACGGGCACGACCGGTTTTCGACGGTTACTTGCCTCAAGCGGTGTCAACAGGATCTTCCTAACTCCAGTTATCAAATTGCTCACGGTAATCGCGATAAATATTCCTCCAAAGAGGCCTAGCATATAAGCCGGTAGAGGTATAAAATAATAGGAACAGCAGAGTATCAAAGGCAACATTAGCAACCGATAGATGACAGGACCCTTCAATTGCGAATAAATGGACACGGTGTTTCGAAATTTGGGACCGGAGAACTCTTCGGAGAAAGGGCGAGGCCCGGCAAGGAACCGTAATCTCTTGGACGCATCGTCGGAATACGTAATCTCGCCGATGCCGTCTCGCTTATCGTCCGGAACGACAGGAGCATCTTCTTCGACAGACTCGGCAGCCTCCACTCCGCTTTCTATGCCGTCATCTTCCGATTTTTTGGTTTTCAATCCAGTTTTTATACGGGGAAATCGCGAAAACCCTATAGCATGACCTCGTCGACACAACGTCGGGGAGGCCGAATCCTTCTCCCGTTTCTCGGTCACGGATTCCTCGGTCGGCGTAACATCCCCAAACTCCTCGGACTCGCTCACACTGGAATTTTCTCCGCTCCTCCGCTTGCTCCTTTTTCTCTCGTTCTTCATCTCCGACAACTTTTCTTCAAAGGACTTGGTAATCTTGCCCTTGATGTCGGAGAGCATCTTCCAAGGAACAGCGGGAGGCGTGCCCTCCGACAGGTCGTCCTCGTTGCTCTCGGGTCTTCTCTCGGAACCCCCTTCCACGAGCAGTCCTTCCGTAGCCTTACTTTTCACGTTCTTACCAGGACTATTCTTCGGAGAGAGTTTCTCCAGCTCCGGAGCGAGAGGTTCTTCCTCGGAGCTGGGATACAACTCTTCCAACTCGTCGTCACTTGCATGATAACGAATCGCGGGAACCGACGTAGCAATCGATTTACCTGTACAAAAGAAAAACGGTGAAATTAAAATACATAACGATCGGGACAAACATTTCAAACAAATTCGAACAAGTCGACCTTTTAGCAAGCAGAGACTAGTCTTTCCAGGACTTTGCTTCGACGTCATGTTCGCGCTGCTACCTTTGGCTGTAAAACAGTTCCTTTTAGATCTTTACCACACTAAAAGGAATATCAGAAACGATCGACGATCGTTGCCGAAATTAATAAATGGCCACTAGGTAGCTCGATCACGAAGCGTAACAACGTTCATCCGAGACATGGAATCGCCCACTCCGCGTTTCGATTCGCAGCATCGTCGAGGCTTTTTACACAGTCGACCATTCGCATGCTCCTTATACGCGACTCCGTCATTATCATGGGATTATCGCGAATAAACGTACATTCGTTTTACGTATTCATCGCACTCGCGTCCACTTTGACTGCTCGCTGTCGATTAACCTCACTTTTTCCCTAGGAACTGTCAATGAAAGGAATCGGACCACGAAAGCATGATCATAAGAGCGGAAGCATGAGCACAAGAATACATCATGGGGTAGGCACTACCGCGCATCAGTAAAGTATAGCGCTGGACACGAACCTTCCCTGCAGCCACAGAAACGGCAATGCACGACGAACGCAATCGTGTCCGCCAGTGTACAAGTTTTCCCACGCCACCATAGGCGACACCAGGAAGCAGATAACGAAAACTTAAAATGGCGGGCTATTTCAAGTTTTAACAGAGCCCGGATCAAACCTGCTCCGTATCTCACCAGGTACTAGACTTCCGCCGTGGCATTACACCGCATCAAGATCTACGCTGCGTAGGAAAAAACGGAAAAGGAAGTTTCAATTCCAAACGACGTCCGCCGTCGATCCCCCCGGGTCCCAACATCCTGTACCCGAACGGACAGGTAATTTATCTTAACCCGTCGTAACCCATTCCTAACCCACCGTAACCCATTATTAACTCATCGTAACCCATCCTAATCGATAACAGGGGTATATGGGTGAATCGAGTCAGTCCATTACGTGAACATTCCGCAATGATCGACGGGCAGGCTGGATGATACTCGTACAGCAGCTCTTATATATTCGAACAAGGCAGGTTAGGATAGCGTTGGTAGGAGATGCGTGGGAGAGGGGGAAAAAGGGGTGGGTCAAAAAATTGTTCCGCGCGAGCGCCCATGGACGCCCGTGTGGGGTCTCGTCCGCGTGGCAGGAGAAGATGGCAGGGGGTGCCTAGAAGTGGGGGAAAAAAAGGGGGAAAAGAGGGGGAAA